CGAAAATCCAATTTTCTAGGTAAGGAGTTAACGGAACTTATTGTAATCGATGCGTAGCCCGTATTATAGATATTAATATTACTAACGTATTTTTGTCGGGAGGAAGAGGTAGAATTGTAATAAATCAGCTAAACGCTTCACATTTTAATTAATTTAACTATCTAATCTATTAGAAACGTAGATTCAAATAAATAAAATCTAATATGTAGTATAAATTTCTAATAATTACCAGGTCGGCTAAATCTATTTTAGGCATAGTATTAATAGATAATAATAATTAATTAATTAGTTAATAGCGGTCCGTAGGCCGATATACAGCTTGCGTGTAAGGTGTAGAGGTCGGGCGAAATACTTGTTAAGAAAGGGATAATTTCCAAAAAAAAGTTAAATGGTATGGTATGGGATGAATAGTTCACATCAATTGATTATTGGGCACCATTGTGAGATGAACGGCACGATGGATACAAAAATGGTCTGAATTGTATTGTCTTCTCTAGAATTTAACTGCTGCTTGGATGTATTGCGGCACCAGGTTTTATACCCGATATATAGGCGGTTGAACGCCCTGTCGAGCTTGCCCAGTGCCTATCGAGCTTGCCCAGTGCTTGACCATTAGTCGTCCCGACTGTCAACCTTCCCTAGGCTGCTCCTCTCACAGGGGAGGAGGGGAGTTCTAGCGGGCGAGCAGTAGAGGGATTATTATTTAAAATAAATTTAATAGAGTTATTAAATAATAAATTAAGTAGGTTACCCTATACTCTTTTGTAAGACTCTAGCACTAGTATGCTGTATGTATCACGCATATACAGTCCCCCCCCCTCCTCCTCCTCGTTTAGTATATTGAATATATCCTCCTTATAAAGCGGTATATACCCTTCTTTTAATTATTCCTTCTTCTAATTATTAAAGTAAGCCTTCTACGTAACTTTACCCTTACCGTTAATAGAGTTATTAACCTATTACTCGTATAATTACTTCTAAATCTTTTTATTCTCTAATTTAATAGCTAGTATTTGCCTCCTTATATTAATAGCCTGCTCTTTCTATACCCGCTCTATAGCTCTCTAGTTAAATTCTCCCTTAGAGAGGGAGAGAGACTCGCCCTCTCGTAGAACTTTATATACCCGTCTCCTTATTTTACAATCTAAATTAGCAGCCTTCTCTCTATCTTATTAATTATATTCTTAAATAGTATTGTATATTAATAATCCCTTATAAATAATAGTCTTAATAGCGGGATAATATTAATAGGTAGGAGAACCAAAAGTATAGTAGTATTTATCTTTAATATAGGCAATGACTTTTACTACCTTAATAAAGCGGTCTTCGTTGGGGAGCATTGAGGGTAACGTAGGGTTGGATTATTTCGGTTGTTTTACTTAGATTTAAAGTAAGATTCGAGTCCGGTTAACTAGCTATATCCTAATATTAGAGAAACTGTTGAAGATATTATATACGATTATACTACTATTAAAGATACCCTAAAAGACTGGAGGTAATATAGTTAGTTAATTAACGAAATTGTAAGGGCGGATAGTAGTAATTTAAATCTAACTTACCTTTAGCTCTCTAACGAAGGTAGTACGAATAAAGTTGTATTTGTTTCGTTATACGAACTGCCTTAAGACCTTCTAGTAATAAGATTTAAATAAAAAGAATATTCTAATATTAAGCGGTTGTATTATATACGTTAAATAGAGAGGTAAGCCTATTAAAACAATATTGAAAGCGTCGGTATATTCTTTAATATTTATATTATAATAACTATTAAACCTATTAATAATTAGGATACGGTAGATTAACTTATATAGCTTCCTTAACCCTACTCTATATATTAAATTTAGGATTTTCTAACTAAAGGCGTTATAGCTATATTAATCATACCCAAACCACTTAATAAAAGAGAACCCTTTTTCTCTTAATTTATAACCGTCCTCCTCCTTCAACCGTATAAAAGTTAATAATAGGTAGAAGGAGTAATAATTAAAGTACTTTAATTAATTAAGGGTAAATTCTACGTTTGAAAAGCTAATTAGCGATTTAGTAAATCTAACCCCCTTATCTAAATTATTAACGAAGAAGTTTTCTATTAAATCGGTCTTAAATATTAAGTACACTAGTACCGTATACCCCGCCACGCTTACTCCTACTATAAACGTAATAGATTTATAATTAATAATATTATTAATCTCTAACTTTTACTTTACTAATTCCCTTAATACAATTACCCTTACTCACCCACCCACTACGCAACCGAATTTTACCCCTATTTTATTATAATTCCAAATATTACCTCTTTCAACCTTATACTTTTTAATAATAACTTTATACTTATTAAACTACTTATTAACAAACTCTTTATTCAATTCCCAAAACCTTCTCTTAATATTAACCGTATAGTAAATAGTAGTTTTAAATTCTAAATAGTCTTTAAGGAAACTAATTAACTATATTGCATTACAGGTCTCCAACGCACCCCGTAATAAGCGTAATCGATTTACCGCCGTAATAACTATTTAATATAGCGCTAGGAACCGTCCCTAAAAATAAAATATTACGTACAATATAATAGCGCCTTCCTCGGCTTCTATTAATATACGAAGTCTTCCTATTAGGCGTAATAAAACGGCGGGCTTCTAGAATTCGTATAGCGATTTAATATAATGAAAGATTAATATACGGGATTTACTAATAATAGCGGCGATGTCCCTAACGGTTAGTAGCTTCATTACCCTATTTCTAAGGGTTTTAAAGCGCCGATAAGCTTCAAGATACATACAGGCGCCGCGGTAGCCAGCGGGCGCCTTGCCCAGCTCTTTAAAGTACTAATCGAAATTTACGGGCACTGTACGGTAAATTAACGATTTTACTATTAATCTATAAATATATACAAACTGCTTATTTTTTACAGATTCACACAATGAAATTATACGAATTGGGGTACGGTTTAATTACAAGGCTATTGCCGATTTTATAATACAAATAAGCGATTTTGCAGGGCGTTAACAAGCAAATCTGCATAGTACCCATCGGCCTTGTCCTATAATAAAACGCTATCCTACAATTACTTTACCCCCTCTTTAATAAAGAGGGGGGGAGAAAAGGACCCACACCAGGCCGCCCTCCAACCCCCAAGTAGAACCATCCTTGTCCGCAGGGCAGCGAGGTCTCCACTAAAAAGTTTCTGTCCCACCCGGCCTGTGCAACTGCGGACAACTGCAAAGTGCAACTCCCGTCCATTTGTTTTGTTTGGTGATACTTGCCGACCGAGATAACATCGACAGCGAGCCACATCCACATCGGGAACAGACAGCCTCCGTCTCGAGTACTTCAACTACCACGACAGCACGCTGCTGTGATTACCACTACCATCCAACCATTCAACGATTGGCCACAGTTAATCCGACACCATGGGCAGCGTCGCGGAAAAGGCACGCTTCTATCTCGAACGGGCAGCTCCCCAGCTCCGCGAGTTTGATGAAAAGGAAATCTTCAATAAGGTTGGTCTTTCCATTCATCCCACCCTATTCTCTACCTTTCATCTTTGACGCCACCTCTAACAACCCCCTTACTATGTCTACAGGATGAAATCCGCTCTCTCGTCACCAAACGCTCCGACTTCGAGCATCTCGTCCTCTCCCCAGGCACCAAGCCCTCCGACTTCCTCTCGTATGTCCAATGGGAGCGCTCCATGGACCGTCTCCGGGCCAAGCGCTGCAAACGTCTCAAGATTCGTGGTTCCAACCCCCGCCCCTCCGAGGCACGCGTCTTTGGCATCTTCGAGCGCGCCGTCATGAAACACCCCGGGTGCATCCCGCTCTGGATCGCCTATCTCGACTTTGCCGCCGAGATCAAGGCCACAAAGCGATGGCGCCGGGTCATCACCAAGGCTATCCGTATGCACCCGAGGAGCGCAGTGCTGTGGACAATGGCAGGACGCAATGCGGCGGTGCACGGCGATATGGAGAGAGCGAGGGCCTATTTCCTCAGAGGGTGCAGGTTCTGTACTGGGGAGGTTAGTCTGTGGGTGGAGTATGCAAGATGCGAGATGGAGTGGTTGGCGAGGATAGAGGCCAAGAAGAGTGGCAAGGGAGTGCGGAGGGGAGTCAACCCGCTCGAGGCCATCAAGGCTACCGAGGGTACTGAAATCGAGGGCGACCATATTGCGCTGGACGACTCAGACGAGGATGACGTAGTCGACGGTGATGAACTCATCTTGCCCGATCCGGATGCCGGCGAGAAGAAGAAAAAGCCCGTCTTCGACGCCGAAGCTACCCGCAAGCTCGAGCAATCACCCGCTCTGTCGGGCGCCATCCCAATGGCCATCTTCGACATTGCCAAGAAGCAGCCGTTCTACGCCGCTGCGGCATGCGAAGCCTTCTTCGACATGTTTGCCACCTTTGGCCACGTCTCTTGCCAATCCAAGATTACCCAGCATGTACTCTCCGCTATGGAGGAGTCGTTCCCCATGTCGGCGTGCACTGCGAGCTGCTTTATCAGGCAACCGCTTATTGGCGTGGATATCAACACGCCGGAGTTCCCCAAGGCTTTGCGCGAGTCGCTGGCCAGGCTGCGCAAGGCGTATGCGGAGCAGACGGAGGACAAGAAGGCGCTTGCTGGAAAGATTGTGGATTGGGCCAGCAAGATCCTGGAGATCGAGAGCTTGGATCCGGCGATCAGGATGGTGCTGGAGGCTACGAAGAAGGGATTGGAGGCGGAGTTGGGACAGGAGAAGGCTTAGAGGTAGAATTGGTTAATGATACCCATGAAAGAGTAATTAGTTTATCGTCGGTTTTTGCCTTAAGTGTTTTATTGATGACACGAGCTCCTTTTGGTCTTGGCGTTGGTTTCGTGCGCACAAATCTCCAATTTGATATTCGGGACTTCATCCGACGTCGGTCTACTTCAAGAAACGTCATTATCAGTGGGTATCACTAACTTCACTCCCTGTTCACTTTTACCCCGAGGCCCCCATCTCCCATCTCATAGCAAGTGGGTAGTCACCTCCCCGTCCTCCCCCCAGCCTTGTCCATCAAGAACTCCCACTCCCCCTCCCCAACCCGACTAACACTCAACCTCCCCAGCCTTAACAACTCCATGCCCTCCAACGGCCCTCCCCCTTTTCCCCACTCTCTCAACTCCTTCAGTCCCAATTCCCTCTCAAACTTCTCCCTAAATTCCACATGCACCAAACTCCACGGATTCTCCTTGCCCTCCTCCTTGGCCTTTTTAGCCTTTGGATCAAAATAAGCAGCCTTTGGGTCAACAGCCGTCCAATCTTCCTCGGCTTCGCGCACAATCTCCATGACGCCCACGATGCCTGGGTTGGCACAGTTGGAGTGGTAGAAAAAGGCAAGGTCGCCAACACGCATCGAGCGTAGGTTGTTGCGGGCTGAGTAGTTGCGGATGCCGTCCCAGGGTTCCGGGGAGGTGCGGGCGGCAAGGTCGTCGATGGAGAAGTGGACGTCGTGGCCGTTTTCAAGACGGGGGAGGGGTTCGGCTTTGAGGAGCCAGTATTGTCGGGCTGGGGTGCCTGTGGTGGTGGTGGTGGTGGCGGTAGTGGGAGGCTTGGCTGCCACTGGGGGTTGGGAAGGGGATGGGGTTGGTTTGGTGGATTTGGCTGTGCGGGATCGTTTGGTCGGTGGTTGTGACTAGAGAAAGTTAGTTGTGGTTACATGTATGGCGAGTGCTGAGTGAACAATGGAGTGGCAGTGATGAGGTGATGAAGAGATGTTGTTGTTCAGGCATGTGATGAACTGTCGGTCCAAGTAAAATGACGAAACTCATCAGCTTTCGTGTACTTACCTCCACTTTCTTCTCCTCATTCTCCTCCTCTTCCTTGACAGCAGCTGGTTTCCTCCCGCCCTTCTTCCCAGTAGAAAGTGCTTGGGGCTTCTCTTCTTTCACAGGCGCCATAACTTCCTCCGTTGGCTCTACACCCTTGCTCAACCGCGAAGAACGTCGACGCGTCGACTGCTCAGACTCAGACTCCCCGTGGGTGGATTTCCTTTTCGGCATGTTGGCTGGAAATGTCGTTGAAGTCCGCTTTGCTGCGAGATTGGATTGGAAAGCAGAAGCGATTTTGGGAAAAGTGGGAAGTCGTGGTTTTGATGCGAGGTGGAAGGGTTGACGTTGGGTTTGACGTTGGATGTTGTTAGTGCCAAGACCTTCTGGTCTGGACGGACCTTGCTGCAATCGCCGAGGAACATTGTTTGGGGGGATGGAAATGGCTTCCTTACGAGACAAATTTAGGAGGAGAGTATGTCTCATTTTGCATATAGTGAATCTTGAGTCAAGCAACTCCAAAACGCTTCTCTCCTTGATGTATATAGTTTTGCCAAGTTTTACTTCTTGAACGTCTGAACTGTGAACCGTTTGTTCATCGGTCCAGCTACAGCAGGCTGCACGGGCCATCCAGGAAGTTCACTGTAGCGTCAGTCATCTGTGGGTTAAACGTTAAGGACAGTATTTGACAGACGTGATTGCAGTGTTCAGTCGTTTCGAGATTACCTATAAAGCCATTTGTAGATAGGTACTAGATCTGTGTGTGAATGAGTTGTAAATCGATATTGCAGACCGCTCCTACGGATGTTCAGGTACTTACCGATCCTGTTGCCGGTCCCGGCCCCACATCCCCGGAGTGGACCCCACTTATCCGTTCCGGCTCCTCGGATGTCCCAGAAACATGATAAGCCAACACCATCCGTGAAAGAAGGTGCCTCGTGGACGTATGTATTCTTGACAGTTTCCCACATCCTCGGATTACTTTCCATAGTATTTTAATGTATCCCAGTTGAAGAGAATTTGAACCCGGTCAGGATTTATTCTATTGTCTGTCAACTTCCTTTTGTGTCTTCAAAATCAATACAGGTAGTTGCGTCTTCGCAGTGACCACTATCTCTTACCTTCGAACCACAATATTAGGAAACCTTACTGCTGTATTGCGACAAACTTACGAAGAAAAGGAGAACTTCTGCCAATCGTGAGCGCTGCTTCGTCCGAAAGCACACCTGCTTACCGCCGAAGTCGAACAGTCCTTGGATTTCAGCAAGGAACTGCGCTCACATGCCTTCCACTTTACACGCATGTATGATTTGGCCGCTATCAACATGGCACAGCCCCTTTCCGTGTTTCTTCCCCAAGGTACACGTCGCAGCACCGAAAGTTCAACAAGAGAGACAAGCCAATTCCGAGAGCGGTTGTATGACCTTGAATTGTGTGAGCAGTGGGACAAGTCGGACAGACGTCGTGCATAGCTGACCCAAAACGGAACAACAGGGAAGTCTTGTTCTGGAAGAGGAGCGGACTGAGAACGAAAATTACTGTGGAACTCAATCAGGGATTCGGGAGCCGGACTGTCAATCAGGATGCTTGGGTGTAATGTGCGTGCCGGTGAAGATAGCGGTTGTAGTCAGACCACGAGTTGCCATGTTCCAGGCAATTGTGGGACGTCCAGATCTTGAAACCCCACGTTCTGTTTCACGATAAAAGAGGTATGGAGCTGAAGTGTTCAAGAACACAGGCCAGGGAAGGGAACATTCAATCATTAGACGATATCGCCCAATTGGCGGAATGTTCCATCACTTTTGTGAGTTCAGGATTCCCACAATTCGATTCGCCTTGACTCGACAAGGGTCGTTTGCAACGTTGAAGCCACTGTGTGTAAAATACCTATCGTTTGAAATAAGGGTCAAGTTCTTGATTGCCTTCGTTGATGGAGTTTGACAATTCAGCAAAAGGGTAAGTAGATAAGCCGGACCAGGTCATCCATTGTGTCGGGTTCACCTACCGTACTTGGGATTGGCGGGCGTGGGTGTTGGGTCGGTCACAAACGCAAGGCACCTACCTACGTACGCCGGCGATGTGCGTGGTGTGTGAATGTTGACCGGCCTTGGAAGTTTCACTTGGAGACTCCATGTGATGCTTCTCAATGGAATACTGAGGCAAGTGAACATGAATCAAAAGCAAATCATGCGCGACAACTGAGAAAGAAAGGAAAAGATGGCCTGAAATGAGACCATTCCCTTCCAAAGCTGTCGGGCAGATGACGAGGGGATTGCATGTTCGCAGATGTCTTCCCGCCCGACCCTGTGCTAGGGCGGGGGTTTTTAGCTCCCGCACATAGCGGGCATTGGCGAAAGGGGTGAGTGACTCTGCCACCGAAAGCAGCAGAACAAAAAATGGCCCGATCGCCCACCTCTGTGCCTGTTTCTCCCTCTCTTTCCATCCTTTTCTCGCTTCTTCAGGCCGTGCTTTCGATTTTCCACTCATTTTGCGTCTTTACCGACCATCGTTGTGGATTGATTGACGATAGAATCCATGGTTGTTAACAGCAATCAAGTACCCTGCTCCAACGGAAATTGTTAGTGCAGACGGTCACTGCTCGACAATTGAACGACACCTCATACGAATGACATCCGTTATGTACACGACAGCAACGACAACTACTTTACAATCGGAAGTCCTCTTGTGAATGACTTCACAGCTCAGAAGATTTCCAGGCAAATTGAAAGGTCCAGCAGGCACATGGCGTCGCGTGGGCCACCCAATTCCCCATGGCCGTGTACCCAGCAGAGTGATGCGGGTGACCAGTCCAGGTACCTTGTTGACCAACACCAATGCCTGGCCGCCCATGTGGAGGGATGAGGACACGCAAAAACCCAGCACACACCTGAGAAGTGGAAGAGAAACCACCAATCCAGTCGACCACCTCGACTTTCATTACGGGGAAGACAATTTCCAAAGTCAAAGTTACACACCCACCACATTGGGCGTGGAAATGGGACTTCGACATGATGCGGGCATGTTGATGGGTCGACATAGAATCCAGTTCTTGCCAGACTTCAACTTGGTGGCTGGTGGGGTACGCAGCAGGTACCGAAGCGCACGGCAAGCCGAAGAGACGACATGACGAGATGACGGAGTCAACTGCAGCGGTCAAGCACCATGGAGAATCGGCGACAAAAAAGGGACTATAAAGAGGGGGAATGAACTCTTTAATGTTTCCTTGGGAACTGAACTTTCTACTGACTTTGTAGCTTGGCACGCGGAACTCACTCAGCGATAAAACAATGCTCAAGTCTTTTCGGCCGAAATTCAGACACCACCCTGTACAGCATTATCACATCGAAACCGAGTGTCAATTCCTTCACAAACCCGAAAACATGATGGCCACTCCTGGGATCTCAGATATCGGCCATGGACTCATCTCTCGAACCTTGATCGTTTGAAAGAAACAGGATGCCGCAACCTGGGGCCGAAACCGAGAACGAAAGACCATATCGGAGCAAGATGGGATATAATGGATGAAGATTCATGGCCTCACGGGAACCGTGGGTTTTGATTCGCCATCGACCTCGACCATAGGTAGCCACGAGACTGCCGCTATGACTATTGAATGTCCATGAGGCAATTTGTTTCGACATTGCCGGACATCGATGGCAAAGATGTCACAACTGGGAAGTTTGGGGAAACATGGGTTGTGCACACAGGAAGAACAGTTGCTATGGCCTGCTAGTGAAGTATGGGCGGCAACACCAACATTTGGCGGCATTCTGAGGTATCTCACTAGCTGCTATTATCGTCGGCCATGATTGGCCACGCTGACATGGCGGCGCTAGCCTGTTGTGAAACTTGGAAATGACTTGGGTTGGGGGGCTGACCAGACTCACCACTGAGGCAGCATCTTCTTTGCTGCTCTCACTTTGACTGCAGCTTTTCCTCCATCGGTCAGTCGTAAGCCTAGACGGACAGCTGGCTGGACACCATCAAGAATATAGCCGACCAGACAATAGGGGAGCAAACCGCGACCGCGCTTGAGCAACCACTCCATACCCGCACGATCTGCTGGTAACATAACAGACCGCAGGTAAGACTTTCGTCTCGTTATTGTTATTGCTACTTCTATCCCTTCTCTCTGCATGGCGTTTCGGAGTCAACCACACCTACCACCAGCTTCGAGCTACAGCCTTGTGATCTTTTGGAGACGAGTATTTCCCAGCATACATGGCACTGGGGCTCGACGATCACATACCTAGACTTTTGTGTGTTTGTTAGCCCCCATACCGCTGGTCCGCTTCAATTCCATGGCTCCTCCGAAAGTAGCACAACGGTCCCGTCTCTATCACAGGGACACTCAACATCACACTGTCGTGTAGAAGCTCCCCGCCCTTATCATCGGATTTCGAAAGCAGCTACAGTCGATGTCCTCTTCTCACAAACCGAGTCTCTGGAGACAACTACACCACGGACCTCACCCAATCCAAGTGGACGCTTTTATTAGAGACAGCACAGAAGGGAAGCATTCCTCAGTGTTATCAAACGTTTTTCTTGGGTACGAAAACCAACCCTCGGTTAAGGCATTGCATCCGAAAGGCCGAGTTTTCTGTCAAGCGAACCAAATCACGCTGAAATTCCCCTTTACTCATGCTACCCAACGTTCATGATCACTTTATGAAGGCACTCTGGTGTTCAGTGACACTTTCCCCTTCGTTGGTTGCACTCGGCTCATAGCCTCATAGAGAGAGCTCCTTGCCAGTTGCCGAGTTGGAGAAGCAACTGGCGGGCATGCCCGAAAATACCGCTAGTCAGCTGCTTGGCAGTCTTCCGCCAGCAGGCGACACTCCGAGTCAGCACTGCCCCCCTGCCGTCTCAGTAGAGGTCAAGAAGGTGGTAGCAAGCCGAGCCGACAAGGGCCAAAAAGTGACAGGATCGTTGAGTGGTGGTGTTGCGCACGGGCGCGATTCTCTAGTGTAGAGTACGACTACACGGGTGTCCAGCCAGAAAGGAACGAAGCGACTGGAGACCTCGCTAGTCGTACTCTCTTTGCTCTCAGTCCTCCTGCCTACACCTAATCAACCACCCACAGTTCTACCACTGCGCTCACCCAAGCACCGCACCGCACCCACCTCCCGGAGCAAAGTGTCCCAGTCCCAGTCCCCGTCCCAGTTTCCCGTCCCCCGTTTCCCGACCACGCACGCAAACTGAAAGAGCCCCAACCCGCGACGCGACTTCACTGCGACTGAAGTGCCCTGCCCTGCCCTGCCTGCCCTGCTCCATCGCGACCAGCTTCTGCCGTGTCACTACACGCCCTATTCTCATCAATCCGTTCCTCGATAGGCCATGCTGGTGCCCTGGCAAATGCCCTGCTGACCCTTGACCCAAAGGAAAACACGCGGTAACAGCTGATGGGTTCGACGGTGACCGTTCCGATTCCCACACCACTTGCCACTACTACTAACCGCCGCCGCCCACACCACCTCGACCACACGATCCATCACCACACCACCTACTACTCCCTCGTCCAGCTCCAGCTCCAACCATACCCGACATGAGCTCCTGGATGAACGATGCCGCAGTCCCGAACCACAATGGCAACGGCTACCCCCACCACAATGTCAACGCCAACGTCAACCTCAACGACCCGGCCGCCATGACCAACAACATGGCCGCCGCCGGCGTCATCGACCCTGCCGCCTTCATGGCCGCTGCCAATCCGCAGGTCGCCGCTCAGTTTAACGTCAACCCGGGAACCACCATCAACCCCGCCCAGTTCGCGAACCCCCAGATGCTCGCCATGCAGAACGGCCCCATGCGCAATGCCTCGCCCGCCTTCAACAACGCCATGTACCAGACGAACCCCATCATCCCCTCCAAGCGCCCCCGGCCGAGAGAGGATAGCATAGGCCAGTCGCCGCGCCAGGCCCCCGGCATGATTCCGACCTCACGCGCCGACACCCCCCAGCAGTCGCAGTTCCCCGGCTTTCAACAGCAGCCTGCCATGGGGCAGCCACCGACAGGGCAGCCGAATCCATATCCCCACCTGCAACCGAACGGCTCCGCGAATGCGACGCCCTCGCCCATAATGAGCAACCAGATGCGCCCCGGCAGCGTACCCCAACGAGTGGCCACGGCCTCACCACATCCCTTTTCGCCCGCCGCGCAACAGTTTCCGCAAAACTCGCCCATACCGTCCGACCACGGCGGCACGCCTCAGCCCAACTACATGCAGCAGAACTTTGCCCAATCTTTCAACCCCCAGTTCGCGCAAGCGCAACCGCCAGCACGACCGAGCCCGTCACCGAACCCCATGGCCAGCCAGATGATGCAGCAACAGATGGCTGGGATACCGCAACAGCTACAGATGCATGGGCAGCTACACGGTCAAATGGGCGGGCAAATACCGGGACAGATGGGCGGGCAGATGGGCGCACAAATGCCAGGACAGATGCCAGGACAAATGGGAGGTCAAATGGGAGGCCAAATGGGAGGCCAAATGGGAGGACAGATGCCGGGACAGATGCCGGGACAGATGGCCGGTCAGATGGCGGGTCAGATGGCCGGTCAAATACCTGGCCAGATGCCGAGTCAGATGGTCGGCCAGATGCCAGGACAAATGCCCGGGCAAATGCCCAGCCAGATGGCCGGACAGATGCAGGGCCAGATGTTCCCTCAACAGATGCAACAAATGCCCCAGCCCAGAAACGCCATGGAGCAGCAACGGCTGATGTATCAAATGCAACTTCAACGACAGGCAAACATGCAAATGCAACAACAGATGGTCGGCCAAAACATGATGCAACCACACAATGCGGCTCAAGCTCAGGCACAACATGCTCACGTTCAACAAGCTCAAGCTGAAGCGCGAGCTCAGGCGGCGCATCGGAACTTGATGGCTGCCAGAGGAGGACAGATGGTTCCCACGGGAATGCGCCCCCAGCAGGGGATGCCTCAACAACAGCAGCAGCAGCATCCACAGCAGCAGCCCATGGGAAGGGGTGACCCCAATTCGTTCATCAAGAACTTGACGGCCTTCATGAATAGCAAGAACATGCCATTGGAGATCAGCCCGGTTGTTGAAGGTCGCCCAATCAACCTAGCCTCCCTGTTTCAGCTTGTATACCACAAGTTTGGAGGGTATCGCAACGTGACGCAGTCGAATGGTTGGCCGCAAATCACACAAATGCTCGGATATCCTGTCCACCAGGTACCTCATGCGCCACAGCATATCAAGACTGTTTACGAACGGAATATCCTCAAGTTCGAAGAGGCATGGACGGCACAACAGCGGGCCAGGCAGGCCGGTGTTATGTCCACCCCGCAAAACATGCAACAAGTCCAGCCCATGAAGCCGATGCCACCAGGACAGATGCCGCCTAATCAGATGATGTCAGCTGGACCGCAGCCACCTATACAACCGGGTCAGATGCAGTCACCCATGAAACCCCCAATTGCGCAACAACCGAATGTTAATGGCTTTCCTGGGGCGCACCCGGGGCAACAACAAGCGAATGCCGGCCCAATGGGCCACCCCCGTAATAGCCTTTCAAGAAGCTCACAACCTACGCCAACAGCAGAGGAGTTCCCCATGCCGTCGCCGGCCCACAGCAAGACTGGAAGCATGTCGATGCCAGGATCTGCCCACCCGGAGAACCAGATGATGCCAGGGCAGGGCATTGAGGCCGCGCCTGGATTCCCTAAACCAACGCGGGATCCGGAGCTCTACATTCCTTGTTCGAGAGAGGTCACCACATATGGCGGCGTGGATCTTGGCTCGGTAGAACATTTTGCGGAACAGTTAAGAAAGTTCAAGCCAGACGTTCCCCATCTTACCGATCTGGGGAATATTGACGTACATGCTCTAACCAAGAGCATCCAAAGTGGCATCCACGGCGAAGTACGGCTTGCTTTGGATGTGCTTGGGACAGTATCAGCCACATCACCAGAGAGCGGCAAACAGGACCCTCCTCAACCGTATCTTCCACTCGATCTGCGACACTGCGACGACTTGGTAGAAACACTGATAGAATGCGCCGAGGAGCAAGTTGATCTGCTAGCCGAGAACTCGGAAGAAGCTTCCGACGAGATCACCATCACCTCGTATGAAGATGTCGTTCGCGCCTGTCGCATCGAGAAATTTGCCCTCCGCAGCGTGCCCCTCTTTGGCTCTCAGGAGTACGAGCTCGACCAAGCCGCTGACAGGCTAATAGCCATCACCACCATCCTGCGCAACCTCTCTTTCCTCGAGGAGAACCAGGCCTGTCTCGCCGACGAGTCCGTCATTCGCTTCCTGTGCATGGCCATCCGCTACCTCGGCACGCGCGAGATGTTGCTCCGCACGCAGGTCAACACTCTGGACTTTATGAAAGACCTGGTCATTCTGCTCTCCAACATCACACGTTGCGTGGAGATGCCAGGGAGAGAACAAGCCTTTTGCCTGCTCCAATTCCTCCTTGCTTTTGCTCCCTCGCCCGCTCCAAGCATGTCTCCTTCACCCGACGGCAATGATTCTGACCCGGGAATCCTCTTCTTCACGCCTTACGACCCCTCTCTTCACCCATACCTCCCACACGCAATCGACTCGCTCGCCAAACTCCTTGCCCGCGATGAGCCGAACAGGACGTACTACAAAACCATATTTGCCAGCGAATCCCCCTCACCAGGCCCAGTGTCGCCAGCAGACCTGCTGGTAACCCGCACCTTTGCCCTCGCCATCTCGCCTATCCCGGACCTTTCCGCCCCAAACACGCGTCCCGCGAACATCCCTTCTTTGATCGAAGTCAGGAAGCCGTTCCTCATGCAAGGTCTCCTAGCAGCAGATATTCTGGCCTCCATCACCCCCGACGGGCCCGTCGGAGCTGGAGTCGGCGCCGACGCAGCCGAAAATGGACCAGTGGCTGCCAGCAGTGGGGTGAATGTTGCCAGAGTATGGCTCTCCAGCGGCAATGGCCTCGTGCAGAACCTCTTCTACTTGGTTCGCCAACTAAGCATGCAATACGAGTCCCAACCCGTCGGTCCCGCCAGGCCCACAGGGCGCGGGGGCGCCAACCAGCAACATAACAAGCGGGATGCGGATCTGGTGTACATTGTCAGCTTGGCCGTTAGCATGCTGAGGAAGTTGGGGGAGAAGGCTGCGAAGGATTCAGGGCCTTTGGGTAGTAGCAAATATCGGAATGGCGGAGCCATGGCGGATAGGATGGAAGGCATAACAGAAGAAGAGGGAAGTGAATGGGAAAGAGGGGGCGGAGGATGGGAAAGGCAGAGGCAACAAGATGGCCTGCCGGCGTGTGCGGTATTGCCCGGTAAGGATACGTTGCTGGGAGCGCTGCAGATGGGTGCGGCGGAATGGGGGAAGGAGGGCATGTTGAAGGATTTGGTTGCTTTTTGTACTTTGGTAGAGTGACGGGTTTCTCATATTTTTTATCTTTTTTAGTCTTTGGGGAAGTCAATGAATGAACGGATGGGGTTTGCTTGGTAGACGTGATCCTTTATAAGGCGTTGTTGCATGCAGTGGCCGAGAGGTGGGAGGTGCATGATGCAGGAAGAAAAGGACGAGGCGTGGTGATGAAATTCGTTAGAATGAGATACGTGACATGGATAAGGAAAAGCGAGTGAAGAGAACTTGAGCGCAGGATAGGGTGGGAATGAATCGAAGAAGAACAGAGAGAGAAAAAAAGAATTCGTACATAATAGAGGAGTTCTGCCTTGCTTTGTCTGTCTGAAGAGCAGGCGGTTGTCAGGTTCGTTGTCAATAAATATTATGGCTTTGGATGGGATAGGCTGGTTATCTTGAGTTTTGCGAAAAGTCTCGGTTGATGAAGCAAGCAAAGATTCGAAGAGAGTAAAAGTGGTTGTACATCACTCGACCATCATGAACCTGCCGTGAACTGTACCCAATGTGGCAATGCCGTGTATTTTTACATCGAGAACTCTCTCCCATGAAGCTTCGTCAAAAGTCTCCCCTAACCGTGCATATCCCCTTCCGCACATCTCGCCTAAGCTCATAGCTGGGATAGCAAGATTCTTCGTCGTAGAGACAAATATCATTCGACCGCTTTTTGTAAATCCTTGAGCCGTTCCTTACAACCCGCTTGGTGATACATTGTCTCAACATGTGGTATATTCTTCCATCGTACACACAACCCTCCTATTTACCCCTCGGTGGTCTCACTGTGTAGCCGAGGACTCTCTATATATGTGACCACTCGGTAGTCCTCATCCTGGGGCATGAAGCATTCAGCACCTCCTGGAATATGCCCCGGCATGCTCTCCAGTCCGTGGCATGGAGCAGCATGGTATCTTTCCCGGTAATGGGTCGGTCCTCGTCGTGTTATGTGGACTTGTGGCGGCAAGCTGTCCAGGGGTTTGTCGCTGTAGCATCTTTCTCGTTTAAAAGCCCAAGCCGTCCAGGAACTTGACGATTTCCTCTCTGCGGTGTCCCTGTTTTTGTTGGTAGTCCATTAGCATCGGTTCTTTCTGCTGCAAGTTTTACTCTCTTCTTGTTTTCCCCTTCGCCCTATTCGTTTCTCCCGTCTCTTCCTTTTGTCCATTGTCCCATGATCTTCAAACCTCTACCTCCCTCCTTGCCTCTCTTCCCGAACTCCCATCTCTTTGCCGATTTTTCTTGACATTCCCTCACTCCTGGTGTCATACTGCCTCCCACTCTCTCGCAAGTAGCAGCAAACAGAAAATGCAAAAGCAAAGAACTCACATCAACCTCCAAATGCCCTGTCGGCACCTTCACCCGCACCTCCTTCACCTCCAGCCCCAAGAACTGCGCAAGGTCCTTGCGCAGAGCCTGGCCATCACCTTGCACCTTCTTGATCTGGGTGAGCTTCTTGTTACCACCGCGCTTGGCGAGGTGGTAGACGGGCAGGCGCTGGGTCCAGGCACGGCCTACTAGGTAGGGCTTCGCGACGGGTTTCGTGGATTCTGTTGGCGCGGCACCGGTCTGGGTCTGGATAGGGGTGGTAGGTTGTGTGGTGGGCTGCTGCTGCTGCTGGGATGGTGTCGTTATTGTGGCTGTTGTTGTTGGTTGCGATGCGGCGGCAGCGGCGGAGTAAAATCGGGACTGGAAGGCGGCGCGGACGGTGAGGGGCGTCGCGGGCTGGGCGATGGCCCGGGAGAGGCCGAGGAAGGTTGAGCGGAACATGGTTGTGGTGTTGTGTTGTGTGGTGTGGTGGTGGTAAAGACAGAAAGAATGATGGCAAGGCTGTCGCGAAAGTTGGGGAGGTCGAATCGATCGAGCTGGGTTCGGTCGGTCGCAACGGGATCTGATAGGTAGGTAGGCTTGGCTGGGATCTGGGGTTCAGACTGGACCTGCGCTGCGGCCAAGAGGTGCCCGTTTCTTCAATTGCTGGCTCGCTGGAGTCGGATCGGTCCCGCGTCCCGTGCCCTGGGCCGTGTTCCTCTCGGCGCGGCGGGTCCGCCGTCGGGGTCTGGAAATTTGGTCGGTAATCGGCAGAATTATTGACCGCCCGGGCGTCCCCGCGTACCCCGTAGGTGCTCTGCCCGGGCCGTCCGGCGGGATGTGCGCCGAGCGAGAGGGATGAAAGCCTGAAACTGTGTGCGTTCGCTGAAGCTCCAGGCCTTGCCGGGGTGCCTGATCTGGGCTCTACACTTACCCCTCCGTGGTGCCTAGACGGAAGTGGAAGTGGCACCGCATTCAGCTGTGCAATTCCATTGTGCGACAGAGGCGGGCAGCAACTGAATTCGATGGCCCGTGCTTTTTGTCACTGGTCAGTACCTGGTAGTGTCAAGCGCATTTTCCCAATTTTCGACCCCACCAAAGATTGACGGGCCACCACAACTGGACGGGGTCACAAAGAGAAATTTGGCGGATCGCATTTCGAAAGCGCCTGGCAACTGAACGAACGAACCTGGAGACCGGACACACCCTTTCCATCCATATTCCTCTTCCTTTCACTTCTGATAGTCGACCGACCCTCCCCCGGCCCTCTATCTTATCCCACCCACCGTAATTACCCCCCCTCCCTCCTCTCCAGGCCTCGACTCGACCCGATCCCGACTTGACCTTGTCGTCGTCGTCCACTCAGTGTCGTCTGTCATCACCACCATCCACCATCATCATCACCACCACCATCCATACACAGTCACAGGCACACAAATCTAAACATGGCTTCCACATCCCCCGCCACCACCAACGGCGACGTTGCGCCCGCCAACTACGACCTCGTCCTCAAGCTTGCTCCCCATCTCGACCGCCACATGATCTTCCCCCTCCTCGAGTTCAACGCCGGCCGCCTTAAGGAAGATGAGACCGACAAGGCTCGCGAGATCCTCGCCGCCAAGTACGCCCTCCTCAAGAAGACCAACATGACCGACTACGTCGCCAACCTCTACTGCGAGCTCGAGGGTCTTAAGGAGCCCCCCGCCGAGTACGCCGAGCGCCGCCAAAAGGTCTTCCACCAGCTCGAAAAGTACGAGCAGGAGACTGCCAAGATCACCGAGCTGCTGCAGCGCGACGATGTCGTTAACAACCTGCGCTCCGACAAGGTGGCCAACTTGGAGTTCTTGAAGAAGGAGCACGACGTACGTCCTACTTTTTGTTTCCATCAGCACATGTGGCTTGTAGTACATGGCTAACCCCCATATCCTGTGCAGGTCACCATCGACATGGTCAACGCCCTCTACGACTTTGGCCAGCTCCAGTACTCGTGCGGCAACTACGCCGACGCCTCGGAGCTCCTCTACCGCTTCCGCGTCCTCTCCACCGACAACGACAAGGTCTCGTACGCCACATGGGGTCGTCTCGCCTGCGAGATCCTTACCATGAACTGGGAGTCCGCCATGGAGGAGCTGCAAAAGGTGCGCGAGAGCATCGACACCAGGCTCGCTAACAACCCCCTTGCCCAGCTGCAGCACCGTACCCAGCTCGTCCACTGGGCCCTCTTCCCCCTCTTCAACTACGACAAGGCCCGTGAGCCCCTCCTCGATCTCTTCTTCAACGCCGGCTTCATCAACACCATCCAGGCCAACTCGCCCTGGATCCTCCGCTATCTCACCGTCGCCGTCATCACCAACCGTGGCCGCGCCAAGAACGCCGGTGTTCACCAGAAGCAGATGAAGGACGTTGTTCGCATCGTCAAGCAGGAGGCCTACGAGTACCAGGACCCCATCACCCGCTTCGTCCACGCCCTGTGCATCGACTTTGACTTTGAGGAGGCCCAGCAACAGCTCGTGCTTGCCGAGGAGGTCCTCAGGAGCGACTTCTTCCTGCTCGCCCACGCCGATGACTTTGTCGACTCGGCCCGCCACCTCATCTTCGAGAGCTACTGCAAGATCCACGCCCGCATCTCGCTCAAGGACCTCAGTGCCCGCCTCGGTCTTAACAACGACGACGCCGAAAAGTGGATTGTCAACCTCATTCGCGACACCCGCCTCGATGCCAAGATCGACTACAAGGAGGGCACCGTTGTTATGAACCACCCCCCGAGCTCCGTGTACCAGCAGGTCATTGAGCGCACCAAGGGCGGTTTCTTCAGGACGCAGGTCTTGACTGCTGCTGTTGCCAGATAGGCGGCTGATAATAGCGGCAGTGGAGAACTGACTGATGGTGGCGGCAGAAGTATACCCGGGTGGACATGGCAGAAGAGCAAGGGCGATTAGAGGATTGCGAAGGAATGATTATGGCATGGGCTCGATCGCAACGCATGAAAGCGGCGACTGATTTTTCGTCGAATGTGAGACCGAGATTATCGCCGACGATTGGAACGCGGCGAACATCAAGTGGCCAGGCGAACTCAGTCGCTTCATGGCAGGCGAACTGCTTCAGCGTATGGGCTTCAACTTGACCAGGACGAGTCTCGGATAGATCCCCTCCCAGCATCTTTTATCCCATTGCAATGAGAGGATTTGAAAGTGGGAATCCAAAAAGGGTTAGCGATGCATTTCGAAGAATAGACCTTTTTTCTTCTTCCGTTTCCATCTGCCTCGATAGTCTTCTCTATCTGTCAGCGTTTGGCAATTGTCGCTATTTTTCGTGTGGGCATGGGCTCGGGCGGTAAAGGCAGCACGGGAATTAGGACAATGGAAGGAGGCCTTTTTACGTCATGACAACAACCGGTGTAATTATACCTCTTTAGTGTGTGTGTGTTTTCTTTTCTACAGGCTTCTCATCAGGCGTATCAAAATGGTTATGGCTCATTGCTTTTAGCTGGCTTATCAGTCGGGTTGCCTTTCCCATCAGTAACATTGTTCATCGCACGGTAACTTCCACTTGGTCCCTTCTTTATAGCAACTGAGCTGGGGTGATCTACCAGGAAAGACTGTGGCAACCAATTATTGAGGTATGCTCCTTCCCTTCCTCCATATCTGCGTGCTATCGTCCATCTCCCGCCTCTTCCCTTTTCACTCTTCTACCAGGGGGCATTCCTTAATTTCGTCCTTTCCAGCCTTCCAATCAACATACAATATCCAAGCTACCAAGTCGGGCAGTCATATTTGTCGCAGAACGACCAATGGCTGCCCGATACAGTTTCCAGCTAGGTTCACACGGCACAGGCTGACAGGCTGCAGCTGTATTGATATGGCGTTACCCCCGCTTCGAGTCCTTGTCTCCTTGAACTTTCAGCATGCCCGTCCTCGTTCATGAAAGATTTTGTGGAATCCCGTCATAACATCAGGCCTCTTCTGTTTGAGATACCTAACCTACCTATCTTCAGGTTCAGTTCTTCCGCAGTCAGCAACGATGGTCAGAGCGCAGGGTATCTCGCTGCTCTTTGAACCGAATGATGTCGAGCCCGAGCTTGAGTGAGTCCGCCGCTCCTATCTCATCCATTCAATGACTGTAGTTCGGGGCACACTTTTTAACCCGGCTTGCAGCATTATTTTCATCCATGGCTTCACAGGTCATCCACGCTTGACTTGGACGATTGATCAAAAAAAGGCTGAGAGAAGAAGAAAGGCAAATAGCGATGCCCCGAGCCACAATGTCCACAAAAGTGCGCAAACAGCGGACGTTTACTGGCCAAAGGACCTGGTTCCAGTAACGCTACCATCTGCCAGGGTCATGACTTTTGGCTACGATTCCAAGATACGACATTTCTCTCAAGGCCAGATCAGCAAAAACACAGTTCAAGACCATGCTCGGGAACTCTTGGAGCAATTGAGGGATAAGAGGTCGCCAGATGCGAAAGGATCTCGCCCGCTAGCCTTTATCGCACACAGCTTAGGTGGGCTAGTTGTCAGAGAAGCCCTCACTCTGGCCAGTCAACATCAGGATGATCAAATCAGTACCAGCCGCTACAAAGAGATCTTCCGTTCCACCATCGCCATCATGTTCTTTGGCACGCCTCATCGTGGTGCTGATCCTCGAAGCTCTTTTCATCGCTTTTTTTCCGCCTTCGCCATGCGACTGGGAATAGACGTCAATCCGTTTATTCTCGATGCCCTGATTCCGAACGTGAACAACATTCAGAAACAACTCAACCTGGACGGCTTCAAGAGTCTAGCAGCGGAGCGAGGATGGATTGTTTACACTTTTCAGGAAGAGTACGGCGTTTTAGGCTTCTTCAGCAAGAAGGTGAGTAACTCGGCCCTATTTCGTCTGTTCAGAAGCTAATGTGTGGTTCAGGTAGTTGAGGATCACTCGTCTCGCCTAGGACCACCTGTGAGGGAAATTTTTAGACGGATTAGCGACAACCATATGGACATGTGCCGCTTTTATGGCTTAAGCGACCCCGAGTATGAGAAAGTGGCGAGCTGCTTACTAGAGATTCTCAAGGAACCTCTTTCTTCACACTCTTTTTGAGTCTCCACGGCACCACGCAAAAGAGACTGAACACCTTTTGATCATTGGCACATTTTGGCAAATATTTTGCCTGATGCCGCAGAAAAAGAGCCTTTGGAATCTTCAAGAAGTCAATTAACAGAGCAAACTTGCACGCCTACTCTGGGATCTTGTGCTCCTCGGATGGTACACCGGCTTTCCACTGGTACTTGGACGCGATGTGCTCCTCCAACGGATACTTCTGGCCTTGGGCACCATAGAAGTTCTCACGATATGTTCCGCCCGGGACAGCGTAATCGTCCCAGAAGAGACCACGCTTCTTCAACTCGGGGAGCAAAAGATCGATTATATCCTGGAAAGATCCCGGGAAGAGGGCATATGCCTGAGCGTGCATTAGGTTTGGTACAGTCCATGGATATCTGGGACGGATCACTTACAAAGTTGAAGCCATCAACATCAGCCTCATTTATCCAGGCCTCAAGGCCATCAGCAACCTGCTCTGGTGTGCCAACAAGGATGGGACCGTTGCCACCGATGGAAACGTGCTCTGCAACGGTGTGCTTTGTCCACTTTGAGTCAGGCGGAGAGAACCTGGCGTAAGCCTCCACCGTCGACCTGAACCAGGGGCAGTTTAAGTTAGCGCTCTGTTCATTTCACAATTCAACCGGGAGGAAACAAACTCACCTCACAGCATTACTCTCAACCTGTCTCAACTCCTCATCATCACCATATTTGCTCAAATCCATGCCCGTCCACCCACCAAAGAGCGCCAGCGCACCTTCCGTGCTCGCAAATTTCCTGTAATCAGCCAATTTCTCCTTCGCCTCCTCCTCGGTCCTGCCCAGAATCGGTGTAACCAAACTCAACACCTTGATCTTGCTCCCATCCCTTCCAAACTTTTTCCGGGCCAACTGCCTCACCTCGGCAATATTCTTCGCACAAACCTGCGGCGCGTGCGAGCTCACAAAGATGGCTTCGGCGTGCTGCGCAGCAAAGAGCTTGCCAGCTTTGGAGGTTCCAGCCTGCAACAGAAGCGGCACTCTCTGTGGCGTGGGCTGAACAATGGCGGGGCCGGGGACGGAGAAGAACTTGCCCTCGTGGTTGATCTGCCTCACGGCCTCCGGGTCGGTATACACTCCCCTCTCACGATCCAGCACAACCGCGTCGTCCCGCCACGAAGAGGCAAAAAGCTTGTACATTACCCGCAAGTACTCCTCCGCCTGTTCGTAGCGCTCATCATGTGCCACCTGCTTTTCCCGTCCCGCAATGTTACGAGCGGCGCTGTCCAAGTAACTCGTCACAATGTTCCAGCCTAATCTACCGTTGGTCAAGTGATCGACCGTCGCCAGGCGGCGGTGTAAATGATAGGGCGCTTCGTAGCTGGTACTCACAGTGACGCCGAAACCGAGAGATTTTGTGGCGGCCGCCATGGCGGAGACTACCGACAAGGGCTCGTTGACGGGCCATTGCGCCCCGGAGACGATGGCAGGGGTGAGGGAATCACGATAGACATCGTAGCCACCGAGGACATCGGCGATGAAGATGCCGTGGAATCTGGCGGATTCGAGGAGCTTGGCGAGCTCGACCCAGTGTTGGACGGAAGTGAAATTGTGGGACTGGTCGGAGGGGTGGCGCCAGAGGCCCGGGGATTGATGGCCGGAGCCTGATGGCAGATGTCAGTGGATTGGTTTCATGGTCAAGCAGGTGGATGTGTGAATACAGGTCGTCGACGGCAAAGTAACATTGAAGTCGTTGATTCGCTTCAGGCTCTTGTTGTTTGTTTTCAAAAGGGGGTCAAGTGGGCTGACCTCCGGAGTGGGTCATTGGACCGACTTACACATTTCGACGAAGGCATTGATGATGAGTTTCTTCTTGGGTCTGGTTTGGCCTGACCCGTCTGTTGGGCTGGACATGATTGCTGATGTGTATCAGTGAATGCCCGGATTGTGAGAGTCTGTTCCACTTTGCGCTCAAGTGGTTGTTGATGCACGTCGTTGAAGTCAAGAGAACTGAGCCCGTTATCGCTAAGCGAACTGAAGGGGTCCGCAAAAGGGGTTTGTTGACTTTTGCCCCGATTTGAACGAACCCAAACGATCAATGACGACGACGACCAAGGCGATTCGCCATTATAAGGGGCACCCAGACTGCTTTACCAAGACGCTATCAATCACTCAAAGATGTCAAAGAGTGTCGTGATGGTCGATACTGCTGCCGCGTTGCCGAGTTCGTCACTGGTGCCGTGCTCGGAAACGACTGCCCGCGATTGCGTGATTGACGCGGGGATGGTGCTCATCAGCAACCGCAGCTACCCCGACCTCTCGCCCAAGTGCTTCATTGTTCCTGACACTACAGCTCGCGCCAACCCATGACCAGCACCATCATGTACATCTAAACCCACTGCGGAGATAGCATGTTTGTACTGATACCCGAGGGATTGGCGCCACCGACGGGACATTGACAGCCATCGCCGCGTTTCCTCCTTTGCGCTTGCACAGCATCGCCGAGCACAGGACACCCTGTAGGTAGTCTGCAGTCCACATCGCATGCGACTGGTTGCACCTGCTCCCGATTATCGGTACCCGTTCTATCGTTGGCGAGCAAGAGTGGGGGGTCCATGGTCCCTCCCACCTCTATACCAGAGTGAGACTGGATGAGCTGCAGAGAGCTACCGTCATGGTGGGCAACAGGACGTGGTGATTGTCCAACGGCAGGACAGCCTTTGGCTCTCCCCAGGGGATACACATATCGCTCAATTGAGTCGAATCCGACCGAGATGGCGCAATCCAACGCTCAGCCGGATTGTCAGGCACTTGACAGAGATCATCCGGAGTGTGTGTCGCGAATTCGATTTGGTCAAGCGGTGCTTAGTTCCCTTCTGGAAGAACCTGCGAAGTTTCCCTTGGCTTCAGAATGTTTATATATTCGTTACTTTCGACCGTTGATGTTGTTTGCCAGAGTACAGCCAGTTAACAGGCCAGAAACAACGAGCCTGAAGTCACCCAAGTACCAGTCTTGTACTTCGACGCACTACTTGAACACCGCTCGATTGCTAGAGGTACACTTCGATCCTGGATGACGCAAGCATCTCATACGGTAACTTGAGCAACATCATGTCTTTCATCAAACGTTTGTCACTGAAGAAGCTCCGCAAAAACAGTTCGTCACCTACGAAGAACAGCCAGCTGCCGCAAGTACATTACGTTGAACAGCAAGAACAACTACGGGAAGACGACATTCTCATCGGCAGCGGCAACCACAGCACCAGTTCCACTGACATGGAGCCTCTACCAGCGCCAGAGAAGCAAACAGTGCTCTTGCTGCACGCGGCAAAGCAACCATACCAGCTGACAGAGGACTATCCCGTCCCACGAGTAGAGGGGGAGCACGATGTTCTTGTGAGGACACAGACCATTGGACTCAATCCCATTGATTGGAAGGCACCGTGAGTTTCTTCACGTCGTTCCACGTTTGGGGCTGGAGGGAATTGACTGCTGACAATCATGGAGTGACTTCAACTTTGCCATTCCTGAACTACCATACATCTCTGGTCGTGAGTTGGCAGGTGAAGTTGTTCAAACTTCCAGGAAAGAGTCGAGGTTAAAGCCAAGGGATCGAGTAGGTCACTTTCATATCAGCTCACCTGTGACTTCCCTTCATCTTACCTCTTCTCACTTCCGCCCCTTCCCACTTTATCTCATGCCACTTGACACTTCCATCAGGCAGCTGATAACCCCAGGTCCTCGCCATCTCCACCGATTACCGCGACCTCCGCAAAGCTGCTTACCAGCAATACGTCATCTCCTTCGACTACAACACCGTCCGCATCCCACCCTCCCTTTCCCTTGAAGAGGGTTCTACTCTCGGCGTGGCCTTCGTCGCCGCCGCCCTTTCCCTAGGCGTGTGTATGGGCGTCGACTTCTCCTTTATTCTCTCCGGTCCCGATCTCTTCTCCCTCCTCCGCTCATCCGTTCCCCCAGGGTCTCTAGCAGAAGACATCCGCTCCGAATGCCTAGACGGGATTCGTTCTCATGAGAGAGCCAAAGCCGGGGATTGGGTTGCCGTTTGGGGTGGAAGCTCGACGAGTGCCAACCTGACGATCCAGTTAGCGAAGCTCGCCGGACTGAAGGTTGTTACGATTGTTGATAAGGCTAAGCACGGCTTGAGGCTAAGTAACCATGAAGTACTGAAGGCCGACTTGCTGGTGGACAGCCACGACCCTGAAAGGGCGGTGCAGATCATTCGCCAGAATTTGAAGGGCAAACTTCGCTTTGGCGTGGACACCCGCGGTCGGGAATCTGCTACTTCGCTGCTTCACGCCCTTTCACCCGATAACATCGACTCTCCTCCTTTACCAGCCGGCGAGCAGCCACCATCCCCACCTGGCACACCTAAGGAGGAGACCCTCCTGGGTGCGCATCTGATTGGTCTTACCGGCCTCCCAAAGCAGCAAGCACCTGAGGGAACAATGTTTCATACAGTACCAATCAAGTTGTTTCACGAAGTTCCAGAGGTGGGCGGAGCGTTGTGTCAATGGTTGGAGAGGTTGTTGGCTGAAGGGTTGGTGAAAGCGCCAGAGATCATTGATGTTGAGCAGGGGCTCGGTAGTATCAATAGGGGGCTCGATAGGATGAGAAAGGGGGAGATTAGTGGTGGGAAACTAGTTGTCAAGGTTGCTGAATAGGCTGGGGAGGACGTGATTTGAGTTTAGGCTGATAGTAACTGTTGAGGTTGAAGCGATTTTACTATCCATCATCTTGGAGCCCATTTTCTATACGATTTAGCCAGAATTACTGGTCCTTTTGTGTTTGCCACTCGATTCCCTTGAGGTTTTCTTCCAGTTGAAGTGTCGTGCGCACCTCTGGGAATGTCACTCCCGTGTACCCGGATCCTTGACTTCCACTTCTCTTGTGTCTGAGATACAATAGTTGTATGGAACCTGCTTTTACCAGGTAATTTCAAGCTCCAAGAATTGAGTAAATTCCCGATTTGTACCTGCAAATGTCGCAACGGCAGACTCAACATGGAGGTAATCAATGACTTTTTCCAGGTTGTAACTGGAACTAAACTGCCTGATATTACCTTCATGCAAACATAGATCCTTAGAGGTAACATTCGTCATCCCCTCTTTTACGCCTTGATCGTATTCTCAGTGCCGGCCTCATCTCCTGAGCTTGTTGCCGAACTAATCGCGCCCTTCTCTTTCACTCGTTCGATACTTGCCGAATATGATTCATCGCCCGCCAACGACCTATGAACGCCAAAGCGTCTTAGCAGATGCCAAGTGGGGTAGATAGCCACTGCCCATATGACAAAGCTCATGTACACGCCGCCAGTCGCAGTGAACAGAGTCAAGGACTCCAGTCCGTAGCTGAGTGCCTGCCAAGCGGACTCTGTACCGCGAAGGAGGGCAGCATAGCGGATGATCTCCTCATCGCTCTCGGCGATGTTGTGGACGATGAAGTATCTATGCGGGTGTTAGTGTACATCAATCACAACGTCAACATGAATTTGACTGGAAAGGAAACTCACGAAAACAGATAATTGAGCTGAAAGCTGACCGCCAAAAAGATAAACACCCCAAACGCCGCTCCAAATCCGGGCGTTGTCCAATCAAAAGTCGGCTTTGTCTCCTTAAACCTCGTCACCAACACCGTCGCCCACGTCCACCATGCACCCTGGAAGATCACCAGCGTCCAGAAGGCCACTCTGCTCCTGATCTTCAGCGAGATGCTACCCCGATCAAGCCAGTAGCCCAAGATGTTCCCGCCAATGACTGGAACAATGCCCGACATCAAGGATCCCAGAGCTCGCGAACGGACTGAAAACCACATGGCCAGGTAGGTGAAGAAGACGGACTCTGAGAAGACGGCATTGCCGATCCAGAGGAGAAGGAGGAGGAACTTTTTGGTGAAGAAAAGTTTGGTGGTGGCTTTAATCTCCCTCCATGGATTCTGGGTAATCGTCAAGTCCACTTTCTTGCCGTCCTTTCGTTCCACTCTGTCAGGACTATTCAGCAAGAAGCCGATGAAAGGGCCAGCAGCTTGGATGGCGATAAATACCAGGAACACCGTGTATGAGACCTGTCCGGCTTGGTCATTGTTGGCGTTGAGGCCGAGGTTGATGGCTCCGCCCAGCATCTGAGCGAAGAGCTTGAAGGAGAGCCAGTAGCCCAAAGCTTTCCCTCTGTTCCAAGGCTCAGGGTAGGCAATGGCGATGGAGGCTTCGGCGGCCCAGAAGACGCCGGCCGAGATACCGCAAAGGGCGGCACCGAGGAGAACAAACCATTCGTTTCCGTAGCGGTTGTTGGTGTAGAGACCGGCGGCAAAGGGGGCGTAACCGATGCTGTGGTGGGTGCCTGTGTTAGTAGATCGAGAGTGATGGACGGTGGTGGGGAATATTTTGAAGGGACATGCCAGCCAAAGATCAAAGCGCCCTTGACACCAACGAAGTACATCAACGCACTGGACAGGTAGCTGGAGAGGACCATGAGACTGAAAGTAATGGCGTTGGCGGCGTTGATGAGATTAGGAGAAGCGGCTCCGCCGGCGCCGAGTGAGTTCATAGCGGACCAGATGCCGGGGCATGCGAAACTGCAGACACCGACGATGGTGACGTTGAACATTGATGACCGGTACCATTTTACTGTAAGGTAGAGTCAATGTTCCGTTCCCATTGATGTCGAAGAGACAAAAGGATGGAGCTTCAACTGGACAATGGACATACCTGGATGTTGCTGGTCTTTTGGTGGTTCGACTTCACTTGTGTGCGTATCCCGGTGTGGCAAGCCGGAGGGGAACTCGTCCGAGAGACCGACCTGGGAGGACACCACATGCATCTTGTCAACTTTGTGTATCTGGTCGGACTACTGTTTGAAGTCTGTTCTCTAGAGGTGACACAAGATTAGGACGAAAGCTTCAACCAATGCTGTAAAGACAAAAGCCGAGGTATAGAGGTAGGTAGCTTGTTATGTGAGATGTGACATCACAATGAAGTATTTATCCCTTCCTCCTATCACTTCCCTACCTCTACCTCTACTTCTTTTCCCTCGACTGCCGTATAATGCATGCAAGAAAATCGTGCCCGTCCATGTTGCATCAACAACAATGAGCTACAATCCCACTCTGATTGTGAATTATGGATTTCACGTTGCAGACCACTGAAAGTCCAGGGTCTGGTTGATGGTACAGCTTATCATAGTTCGTCTGGGTGCCGTCTCCGTAAAATCGGAGAGATCAGCTCGCCAAGATGTGTGGCTCGCAATCGTAGACGATGCAAATCCGCTTCAGAAGGATTGGTCAACCGTGTTGCAAAGATGCCGCGGGAGCACGCAATAGCGATTCAGCGTTATCAGGGTGAGGACCAGTAATACCCTTTCGGCCTCTTTCACCATGAGACTGGGTCAAAAACGTGCTTGAGTGCCTCGAATATCGTGGATTGCGGGATTTCGATTGTGATTTGCAGATAGGATTCCGCATTTGGTGGAAGCGATGTGTGATGGTGTTATTGTTGGCGGTTGTGAGCTTATCTGGACCCTGATGTGAAATTCGAGACTGTATACCTGGATCAAAGGATGTCTTGTCCGCGGAACACCTTGCTCGGCTTCTACAGAAACATCTCGACGGCGCTTAATGCATGCATATGTCGAACGGCAAGGATTGCGGAAGTGGTCGAGCTGTTGGTGGGGGTCATAATGTTGTCTAGACCGGACGTGAATGCTGGCTGTTTTCACCCCTGGGACGCCATTTCTCCGAGACCAAGACTCATTGAATGCAGCACAAAGCCGGCCGTACCTCCGCACCGTACCTGCCTGATTGTCATGTGCACTTGCTCATCTTGGAGCTTTAGACTTTGAGATTGTGAAGCCCTGCGAAGAAGCTGTACAACTCCACTCAGATTGCATCCGCGGCCATTCCCTTGTTCTCCAAACGACTAGAAAGTCGAAGATTGTTTCATCGTCAAAGGAACCCAAAGACACCGGTAATACAGACAATCAGGGCAAATTCCACCAACTCTCATGTACATCCCTCAACTCCACCTTCTCCCCCGGACTCCTCAAATAAGGTGTCATATCCGACTGCGGATCCGCCTCCCTGCTCGTCCACCCATTACCAAAGTACCACTGAAACCTATTACCTGTCTCCCCAAGATACTCATACTCCCAATCCTCCCACCTGGGATGCTGTCTCACCACCGTCAAGTGCCCCGCTGACCCGGGCCAAATACCATGAATCCTCGCCCCCGGCCTGCCGCCGTTGTACCAAGAGCTGCAGTTATCAGTCAGCACCGTAGAAGAGAAGAAGGCATCCGAGTACTCGACAAAGTCATCCGCTGCTTTTCTGGAAGGGACAATGCTCTTGATGCCTTCCCTTCCCACCTTCCGTAGAATCTTTGCCAGCAGCGTAAGCTGTGTCTCGGCGCTATGTGGGACAGTCCCGCTCGGTCCCGTGCCGTGCGGTCCCTGCAGGAAGAACAGGTTCGGAAACCCGGGCGTGGCCACGCCGAGGTAAGTGTAGGGGAAGCCGTGGTGCTCGTCGCTCTTGCCCTTCAGCTCGGGATTCCACGCATCCTGGAGGTTCTTGCCCTTGGCAACGACGGGGAAGGGGATGACCTGCGAGACGTTGGCGCCCGTGGCGCAGAAGATGGCGTCCACCTTCCGCTCCTTGCCGTCCTCAGTTTCGATGCCGCTCTCAGTGAAGCGGCGAATGCGCGTGTGGATGTACTCCACGTTGGGCTCAGAGATGGCTTCGAGGTAACCGGGACCAGGCGTCAAGCGGCGGCAGTTGGGTGAAAAGTCGGGCACAATGTGCTCGATTAGTTCAGGCTTCTTGGCGAGCCGCTCGTGCATGATTTGCGTGAAACGCTCACGCAGTTCGGTGCTGTCTTTGCTACCGCGGAAGAAAGCGTTGAAGCGGCGCCAATATTTATCTTCCATTTCCTTGCGGAAGTTGAGGTAGGCGTCTGGATCAGACTTGAAGAGAGCAATTTGCTCGTCTGAGTAGGGCTGAGGCCCGGCCTGCCGAACGTCGCCTGCCCAGGAGGCGGCGATCCAGGTCGGATTGCGGACGTAGTGATCCAGCCGGGCAACCGATGGTTGGAGGTTTGCAACGAGCTGGATACCGCTGGCGCCGTTACCAATGACAGCTACGGCCTTGCCAGAAGGGTCAAAGGACGGGTCCCAGTGTGAGGCATGTCGGAGGACGCCCTTGTAGTCAGCGATGCCGGGGTAGCTGGGAAGCTTCCAAGCATTGAAACGGCCGATGGCAGTGATAACGCTGTCCGCCTTTTCGGTGATTGTCTCCCCGGTTTGAAGGTTCTTGATGGTTACTTCCCAGACGGACTCGAAGTCGTTCCAGTTGAGGCCTTCGACCTTGGTGTGGAAACGTGCATATTGGTATACATTGTGCTTCTTTGCTACGCTTTGCCAGTAGTCCCGAATCTCGGCACCACCAGCGAATTGGTCGCTCCAGTCAAGCTTGGGCTCAAAGGTTGACTGGTAGACGTGGGAGGGGATGTCACATCGGACTCCGGGGTAAACATTTTCGAGCCAAGTACCTCCCTGATCATGTGTTAGCTGAGAAGCTCAGTGATAGGGGCTGGAAGGAGAGCTGTGGGTTTACTCACAAAGTCGTGGTTTTTCTCATAGATGGTCAACTTGATGTTGGGGACCTTGGCCGGAAGCAAAACACCCGCAAGAACACCGGAAAGACCACCACCGATAACAGCAACCCGGAGTTCTCGTGGTTGGTCAATGAACCTGTTCACGAGACTGATGCGAGACTTGGGGTATCCTGGATGTGGCTCAAACGGGACGAAGCTGTACTGAGGTTGAGCGTTGACTGAAGTCTCTGGGGTACCCGGCGCGCTGGGCTCACTTGTAACTTCCTCTTCTGATACTGAGAGTTTACTCAGCTTGTCAACCACGGTTACGACTTGGCCGTTTACCTTCGTTTCTGTTGTTGTTGTTCTTGCCATTGTGAATGTGAGTAATGTGGATGTCGCACCTTCTCTTTTCCCGCAAAAGAAACGAACAAAGCACAAGGACATGGACACAACAACTCCACGAAGTATTTGTGAGTGTCCTGACTCCACGCGATAGTCAAATTCATGTCACGGCATTACACCATGCGACAGCATCACATCATCGACACTGCTTCATCGCCATCACTCCCCCTCTTCTGAGTCTCTTGCCCAAACTGGCGCGTTATCGCCATGCATTGTTTCTGGTAGTACCGTATCCGCGGTGTATCGTTCCATCCCATGCCATTTCTGGAGGTTCCCCCAAAAGCACGTCAAGCCTTCGTAGCATAACACCATGTGCGGGGTCGATGGTCGGCAAAGATGACTTGCTGCCGTGTTGCCAATCCGGGCTTCTGTAACCCCCATTGATCGCTCCTCCGAAGACCGGTGGTGGTGGTAGTCTCGGGTTGCTGAACCAGGGCTGAAAGGATGCTGATCGCGTCTTGGGCGTGTCTGATGTGAGGTGGAGGTTGGATGACGCCATCTTGGTACCTTGGGGCTGGTGGTGTTACTTGTTAGCGAAGGTGATGGGGATCCACTTGGTCTTGTCCTGATTGATGTTGCTTGATAAGGTGTCATTTGTTAGTGGTTTGCTTTGGATTCGACAAAAGGAAACGAAAGAAAACTGGCTGGACCCAAAATTGCCCAGTGGTATCCTTTCCATGCAGGGTTGTTTGTACTGCGATAATCATCAGAATGGCGAGAACAAAGGCGAGTGTCCACGGTAAGTGTGAGTAAAAGAAACTCGGAAAGGACGCTTCGGGCAACCCTAACCCGGACCCCCACCCTACTTTCCCCGGGGGTTGGAACATCCCCGTCAACAAACAATCATCGTTCCTTCGGCCACTCTCAAATGGGCATTGATAACGGGGCTGCTTTACCACTACTGTAGCAGGTGTCCAGTCATGTACGTGATATGTTCCTTCCTCCAAACTGAATGCGTGACGATGACTAGCGCTTGCGACATCCCACGCTTCAACCTGCAAATCCCGTACTTTGCTGTTTCTGCTTCTTGACTTTGGGCGACATGGAGACACCCGAGCGGTTGAGAGCAGTTAAGAGCAGTTTGGATATGTGAAAGTCACGATATCCTACTAGTGCCTTCGGAGGTTCGTCTCTGTAGGCCGGCTAGCGAATGAAAGTACAGCTCGACAGAATCCACGTGGCTGGCCCTGATCTGAATTGAGGACGACCACGTCCCCTGCAAACCAGCTCCTTTTACGCCGCAATTGCTCGGTTTTTTGCACAATTCAGTTCCTCGCGCTGGGCGTACGGCAGTTCCAGGTCGAGGCTGCACACCATGGGTCATTTCAGGGTCCCAGGGTCATCCGTCCTGTCGGTGCACACCCGGTGTTTTGGTGTTATCAACCTGCGTCGCGGGAACACTTGGCGTCTCGTAGACAGGTAGGTCTAGATGTATCGCTCTGTCGTAAAGGCATGTTTAGAAAGAAGTACCTCCAGCCTTGTTGATGTCCTTGTGCTAACTCGTTCCGCTTTTGAAGGTGATCAAGTCGCTCTTCCCGTCTGTCCTGCCTCGACATCAGAGTTCGGAAAGAGCTTGACCTAGCACAACCAGACAATGGCGGCCCACCACCAATTCGACACCGTCAAGCGGAAATGGTATCACGTCAAATGGTTCGCTGACAGCGACACTCCTCGCGAGCGGCGCCTCATCATGAAGCTCGACCTGCTCATCGTCCCTTACGCCTTCCTTGCCTACTGGATCAAGTACATTGACCAGGCCAATCTCAGTGCGTTGTTTCTGCCTTCCTTCTCTCTTTCAATTCCTTCTCTAGCCCGCATAAGGACAGCCCAGCTAACAATGATTTCCCCCCACAGACAACGCCTACGTAGCCGGCCTCAAAGAAGACCTCGGTTTCCACGGTAACGAGCTCGTCCAGCTGCAAACGCTCTACACCGTCGGCGCCGTCGTCGGCCAAATCCCCTTCATGTTCCTCTTCACCTACTTGCCCATGCACTGGACCATTCCCTTCCTCGACATTGCCTGGGGCTTTTTTACCTTGGCACAATACCGCGCCAACTCCTTTGGCCAGATGGCTGCCTTCCGATTCTTGATCGGCTGGTTCGAAGCCGCCTTCTACCCGGCTATCCATTACATCTTTGGGAGCTGGTATCGCGGGGATGAGATTAGCAGGAGGGGAGGCGTGTTTTATACCGGGTTGACGCTGGGGACGCTGACTGCGGGATTGATCCAGTCTGGGGCGTCGTCGAGGTTGGAGGGTGTAAACGGACTGGCGGGGTGGCGGTGGATGTACATCATTTGCGCGCTCGTCACCATTCCCGTGGGAATTTTGGGGTACTTCATTTTACCTGGCACGCCGGAGAATCCAAACACGTGGTTCTTGAAGGACGAGGACGTGCAGATTGCGAAGGAGAGATTAGCGAGAGTGGGACATTCGGTCGTACATCCAAAGTTCAAACTTGGCACGCTCAAAAGTCTGGCGAACAACTGGAAGTTTTGGGCGTTGCTGATGCTGGACATCTTCTTCTGGAACGGGAGCTTGAACTACTCGGCTGGAGGCTACTTGCTGTGGCTGAAGAGCCTGGGACGGTACAGCCAGTCCAAGGTCAACGAGCTGGGTACCATCAGTCCCGCAATTGGCATCTTTTATGTCTTGTTGATCTGCTTCATCTCGGACTTGGTGGTCGGCCCGGCGTGGGCGATCACGATTGCTCATGTCTGGAACATCATCGGCCTCATCATTCTGGTCATCTGGAAAGTTCCCGAGTCGGCGCTGTGGTTCGCCTTCATGACGACGTACTCGTCCGTGGCCATGTCGGCGGTGTTATACGGATGGATTAATGCCATCTTGGGGAAGTCATCGGCCGAAAGGTCGTTTGCCATCGTGTTGCTGAACACGGTTGCGCAGAGCACGACCGCCTGGACGCAGCTTTTGACGTTTCCGACTAAGGAGGCACCCCAGTTCAAGAAGGGGTACTCGTTTGTCTTGGCGAATGCCGTTTGCTTGATTATTACGGCTCAGTTTTTGAATGTTGCTCTGAAGAGATCAAAGTAAGTTGTTGCCAGTGGACGTTGAGGAGCCAGGCTGACAGGTTTTGACAGTAAACCCACGGTTGATACTGAGCAGAACGCGGAAACTGAAATCACTGCGGCTTTAAATTCGAGTAAACCTCGGCGCACCCACCCCTAAACCTACGCGCACCCAAAAACCCCTTGGGCAGCTGATATTGAAATTATCGTATTTTTGCTGTGTTTTTAGTCGTTTTATATGTCTAGTACCTTGGTCAGATTTGCCAGCTGGGTCGCCCAGCTATGTAATCCCCAATTACCCAAATCTTATAATACTTTTATAGCGTTGAGTATAAAATATTGGGAATCGATTATTCTATTCAATTAACAGTATTTGTAGATAATTAGAATTAATTAATTGTAAAACTACTCTAAATATTAATATTTGACAGTTCTAATAATTTAGAGAGCTCGTTAGACGAGCCCGACGATAATATTTCGATAATTTTATCCTCCTTCTCTTTTGCTATTTACTTTCGAACCTTCGCCTCCTAGTATCTCCCTAGTTCGTTGTTTTCCTCCTCCTCTTTATTGTTGTTAGCTATATTAATATAATTGCGCGCTTCGCTCTATATATAATTGCGAGTATTATCGGCATTTATTTCTTTAATTATAGGATTAGCTTTGTATTGAGAATAGTTACGGCGGCCTACTATTCGAATAGGTTGAGTATTCTTTAATTTATTACGTAGCGTGGCGGGTTTTTTGCTAGCCTTTTTGTTTTGATTTGGTAGAATAGCTTTGTTACTAAATGGATTACCCTGCTTTGGCGGGCGTTCCTTGGGTATAGTTTTAATGGCCGGACGAAGATGTAGATATTTATCTATTGTATCTTAGTATGGAAGTTAGTATAGGGTTGATTCGGGGAGGGGATAATAGTAGTTTTACCCGTTATTAAATAAAATATTAGAATAAGTAGTAGTTGTTTTTAGTGATTAGTATTGTCTTGTTAATTTCCTTTTTAGCTTTTATTTTATAGGTATAAAGTAGATTAAATTGCGTTTTAAATTGCTGAGTATACGGCTGGAGAGTCTTATTAGGGTAATTTAAAGTAGGGAGGCTACCCTTTAATTAGTTATATTAATTAGTAAGTAAATTATATACTTAAGTTGTAATATTAAGTAGAATATTGCCTACCTATGGGAGCCCGATTGTATTTATATATATACAAAATAATAATTTGGTAATAATCTCTTTAAAGTAGATATAGTGGCGGAGGGAGTATTGTTTGTTGGCGTTATATAGATTAATTAAATCGCTGTATATAAATAACCTATACGATTTGAGGGAGCCGTTATTGGATTTACTTAGTGATGTAGTTCTTTATTTATAGTTGAAATACCCTTTTATATAGTAATTAGTTTATTCTGTTTTGTAAGGGAGTAAGTTAGTCGTAATCTATTTAATAATAGTTCCTTGTGCCCCCCTAAATTGATAATGTAGAAGTGATAAAGCGTTTTTAAATTCCGGTATCGACGGTGCGTAGATTATATACTGCTATATATAAAAGAACTTTACTCTAGTATTAGCAACCTTATTAGGAAGTAGGCCTAACCTAGCCTACATTCTAATAATTATCTTAACCTTTTTATATATATAGTATACTTTATTAATATTATCTTAATTATATTAATCTATTACTTCTTATTATAATTATTATACGGCCGCTTTATTATTATTAGAATTATTTCTATTGCTATCCTCCTCGTTAGCCTCCTCCTTATTGTCCTCCTTATTACTAGATTGTTATTAATCGGCCTCGATCTGTACTAAATCGTTTTGATTTATGCGTTGCCAATTATCTTTAAGGTATTTAATAACATTATAGTTAATATACTATACGTAATGTTAACGTTGAGTATTTGGGAAGATTTGATTAATAGCTCGAATTAATTGACTATTACTATTAATTATAATAACCGCTGGATTGGGTATCGAGAGGTTATTTATCGTCTTTTTAATATATTTAATAAACTAATTAAATTCTTTATTCCTTTTATTGTTAATAACTATTTAAAAGATTAGTATAAATGACTTTTCTAGTATAACTATAATGCCTTATACGGTTGGTATATAATACCGGTTGGTCTTGTACGTTGTATTAAATAATAGGGTATATAGGTATTACTTTTATATTTTCTTTTATTTATATAAAACCTAAAGACTATAGCGTAATATAGTAGTTTCATCGTCCTTATTACTGTTGTTATTAATACTGTAATTAAAGTAATAATATTTGAGTGTAACGAGTTTATTATTTTCGATAATACGTACGAATATTTATATATTAATATATTTATTATTATTAATTCGTTGCAATTATTAACGTTAATTATTAAGGTCTTTATATATAAGTAATAGTTTGGGGAATTTAGTCTTGACTATTAAGTATATACTGTATATAGTCAATTCGTATTGTTGAAGGAGACTTTGAATATACAACTAACTCTCTATATTAATTTATTATTGAAAGACTAAATAATAAGAGAGGTTATAAAATAGAGGATGATAGTAGTATATACGATTAATTGCCCGTACGGTATATTTATAATCGTTCTTCTTAAATATTTGGATAACGATATTAAAGGGATATTTGCGTACGGTCTTTTTGGTCGTTAAATGTCGCTTTTTATAAGGGTTCTTAAATTCTCGCGGGTATAATTTAGCGCGGTCGTATTTAAAGATTCTACGATACACTTCGCTAATTATAGGCCCTATCTTAAAATAATTGTTATGCGCGGTCGCAATTTTAAATTTATAGTAGTAATATATTTCAATAACCTTACGTATAATTATATTAATATTACCGGGAGGGAGGTTGAATAAGGCGTCGTCGGCTAGAATAAACTATTCAATATTATTGTCGATTAAAGTATAGCTATTTACGAAGGTAGCCGACGAAGTAGTAGAATTACGATAATAATAAGGTTGCGCCGACGTAGGGGTATTGTAGAGAGTTTAAAAAGATATTTATTAAACGTTAGTAATTAAATATAATTAATACTATTTATAGCCGATTAAGGGCGATTAATTTGAGTAATATTACGTATATTGTTGGGGGGTGGATGTGGTAGTGCGATTGCGATGTGTAATTGTGTTAAAGTGCTGTAATGTAATAGTGTAAATGGCCGTGTGAAAAAAGCGCGAAAGAAATGACTAAGTTAGAGGGAATGTTTCGTGCATTGAAAAGTCGAAATTTAGCTAGTAAAAACGGGGTTTACAATGTCAGGTGTCATCAGCTGTATGGTCCTACATTTCCCGGTTTTTGGGTGCGCGTAGGTTTAGGGGTGGGTGCGCCGAGGTTTACTCTTAAATTCGGAGAAGAGACGAGAGGAGGTGAATGTGACTTCGAAAAAGTGTGGTTAGAACACATTGGAGAAGCCAGAGCTTTGTGGCAGTGACCCGCAAAGTTGATAGAGAATGATACGGAGACTTCAGCGATTTGGCTGTCGATGGATGAACAGAAGCACGATCGTGAACCTCCTTGGGTTGCCCTGTCCAATGACATCAATCTCTGTCCGTAAGACTGTAAGACGAAGCGCGGGATCCGTAGATGGTTCGTCTTGACCAAACCGATGACATGACAAGCGTGGCATCCAGGGGTGGTGGTCTGATGCAATACCTCCAGTACCATCTGCATGGCACCATCCACCCCTTGATGACAACATGCACCCCCGCACGGGACTGTGACCGAGGGACCGGTGCCGCGATGTCGACATCCCGCTGTGATCGCGGCAATAAGAGCGTGAGCAAGGGTTGGGCCTGGTATATGAAGGGTCTGAACCCTCCAAAGAGCTGAGCCCTCAACGGGACGACAGCTGTTGACATCAAAGTGTCAGCATCATCCTTCAACGCGGTCAAAGTCATCCTCACCTAACTTTAAACTTTCCACACTTTTGTCATCATTGAAACCCACACTCACAGCCGCATCACAACCCCCCAACATGACCAACACACACGAACCCCCTACGGCCAATGGCACCACCCAGATCCCGAAGAAACAAATCCTCCTCAACGCCTTCGACATGTTCACCCCCGGCCATCTCTCACCAGGACAATGGAAGAACCAGTCTGACCGATCCACCACCAAGTTCGAGTCGCTTGACTACTGGATCAACCTGGCCATACTCTTGGAAAAGGGAGGCATCAACGCGCTGTTCCTGGCGGATACGTATGGCGGGTATGATACGTACGAGGGCAGCTTGGATGAGTGCGTGAGGAGGGGGGCGCAGTGGCCGGTGGGGGATCCTATCATTGTAAGTCGTTTCTTTTACAAACCATATTTGTTGATGGGGAAGTGGAAGTCCATGGAAGGGAAGAAGGGGGTTCAGAGTGGAGGAAGGGGTGAGGAATCGTAGACGTAACGAAAAGAAGGAAATAATGGTGAGGAAGATCCGCCAACATCGGATGACAGCCGTCAACAGTCAAAGGACGGGAAGGCACGCATCCAGTCGAGCCCCCCAACCTAACCTACAGCACCAGCACCCTCCCTTCGCCCAGGTCCCTTATAGGATCCCGTCCCAAGTAGATTCCCCAACAACAACCAACGGGTAGTTGGTCGAGCGGCGGCTGGTATTACGCACCCGTAACACCCATATTGATTCCCGCTCAAAACGCCACGGGTTCGAGTCCTTGTGGTGGCAACTTTCGACACAACTATTGCTCAGGCACACCTGTAGTCTATATGATTGCAACATCAAGTCTACCTGGGCTGACGAGGTCGAGCTGTGACCGATGAGGGGATGCCTTCGGGTATCGTTGACCAACTACCAAAATTTTTTGGCCTCTTATTTTTGTTCATGTTCCTTTTTTTTGGTTTTTTTCGTCGTGGTGCCGCGGCCATATAAAACGTGGATATTGCAACATGGATGTATTTTCCTTCGACAAAAAGACACCGCTAACAGCAGCTCTGAACAGCCCATTTCCGCAATGGCGGCCGTTACGAAAAACCTCGCCTTTGGTATCACGGCTTCCACTTCCTTCGAGCCTCCCTTCTTGCTGGCGAAGCGGTTTTCGACGCTTGATCATTTGACCAAAGGCCGAATTGGTTGGAACATCGTGACGAGTTGGAAGAAGAGCGCGTTCAAGGCTATCGGGCTCGATAACCCCATCGAACATGACCAGCGGTACGAGCAAGCTGACGAGTACTTGAGAGTGTTGTACAAGTACGTTGCCCCCTTTTCTCTGTCCTCTTGCTCTTTCTCTCTCCCTCGAAATTGGAGGCCTGTACTGACGCATCTGCCCAACTTCAGACTCTGGAACGCCTCCTGGACCCCCTCCGCCATCCAACTCTCCCCATCCTCTGACATCTACAGTGACCCCTCCCAAGTCCGGCAAATCAACCATTCGGGAAAATACTTCCAACTGTCCACCCCGCACATCGTCCCGCCCTCCCCGCAACGCACCCCCTTCCTCTTCCAAGCTGGCACCTCCTCAGCGGGCTCCGAGTTCGCGACAACTCACGCAGAGGCAGTCTTTGTATCTTCCCATTCTCCCTCGGTCTTGGCACCCAAAGTCCAAAAACTGAGAGAGTTGGCGCGACAAAAAGGTCGCGATCCTGCTAGTTTGAAGGTGTTCGCGACGTTTACTCCCATTGTTGGCCGCACGGAAGAGGAGGCACAGGCCAAGTATGAAGAAGCGCGCAACAACGCCAGCGTCATTGGTGGATTGGTCCTCTTTGCTGGATGGACGGGGATTGATATTAGTCAGTTTGAGGATCTGGATCAGGAGATTTCGGCGTCGGATTCCACGGAGAAGAATAAGATCTTGTCGATTCTGGATAACTTCACCACTCCTTCGGAAGAGGTGCCTAAATGGACGCCGCGCGTAGTAGCGGAACGAGCAGCAATTGGTGGTCTGGGGCCTGTGGCGGTGGGGATGGCGGAGCAGGTGGCAGATGAGATGGAAAGGTGGGTGAGAGAGGCAGATGTGGATGGGTTCAATGTCGCGTATGTGGCGACGCCTGGGACGTTTCAAGAGGTGGTGGAGTTATTGGTGCCGGAGTTGAGGAGACGGGGGCTGTATCCGGAGCAAGAATCTGAGGGAGTGGAGGCATGGACGGCGAGAGAAAAGGTGTATGGAAGGGGACAGAAGCAGTTGAGAGCGGATCATGTGGGGAGAAAGTATGATTGGGATGTGTATGTGGAGGAGGAGCCTTATAAGGCTGAGGAGGTAAAGGAGGAAAATGCAGAGGCATAAACGTGAAGAGATGGGCGGGACAGAGTGTATTTGCTGCTTAGCTGGGCCTCTAGCTGAGGGTGTCCTTGACCATGGGAATCAACGCCCCGTTGACATAACTTGGACTCCTCCACGTACTCCAATCATGGGTCAGCAGCCCCCATCCCTCGTCGTAATCCTGCGTGCCAGACCGGATGTAATACGACCCCGCCAGTACCCAGATAAACCAGCCAGCCTTCTGTGCGGGCAAATAGCTTGCCAGACAGCTAGCGTACGTCCCCTGCCACGTACTCGCATCCATCTGGAACCCAAACTCGGTCAACATAACCGGGAACTGGTTTACCGCATAGCTCGTCAACGCCTGGAATCCATTGCTGTACAAATTATTTTGCAAATCATTGCAGTTGGTGGCGCTGGTTTCATAGTTGTGCAGTTCGAGGACGAGTTTGTTGGCGTAGCCGGGAAAGTCGTTGAAGCTGAACTTGCCGGTTCCCGGGGTCAAGGCGGTGCCCCGGACGACAGGCGTCAGGAAAGTATCGAAGGACAGGCCGGACAAGAAGATGAGAAGGTCGGGGTTCGAGGAGTGCACGGCTTCGGCGCCCTGCTTCATGTATGTGTACCATGTTTGCCAGTTGTATGTGGATTTGGCTGCCCCAGAGGTAGGCTCGCGCGGTTCATTGCGGAGGCCGATGGACATGAGGGATGTCCATTGTTTGCCCTGGGAATCACGACGGTGTCAATGGGAAGCAGGATGACAGGGAAAAGGGGGGATTCAAGGGAGACATACATGGTTAGCCATATAAGCAAGACCTCTCGTCCAGTTGGCTGCGGAAAAGTACGTGTCTCCCCACCAGCTGTTTCCATCGTCAGTCGAGCAGCACCACATGCCCTTGGAGATATGGTTATCCAAATGGACAAAGATGTGCTGCTTTGCGCACTCGGCCGCTACGGCGTCAAACACCTGCAACCTGGTAGTACTCGCCGTGAACTGGGGGTTCTTGGCTAAGACCTGGTTGAGCAGCTTGGGGCCATTGGTCGACCCGAGAGCCTGAGTGAAGGCCTTTTGGAGGGTAATATCCTTCGCTCCGTTGGAGTAGATTTCGTCGACCATTTGAATGGCGAAAGTTAGACGGATGGCGTTCATGCCAAGGCTCTTGATCTTGGACACGATGGTCTCAATGGATTGATACTGCAGACCCTCGGGGATCATGACATCGGCTGCTCCAGGCCAGTTGATGCCGGCGTAGGTCAAGTTGGTACCAGAGGCATCGTGGATCCAACGGCCGGAGGTTACAAGGGGGCCGTTGGGCCATGGGGCGCGAGTGCCGAGGGCATCGCCGTGAGGTTGGTTGGTGGGAGCGGCGACAGAGAAGCCGATGAGGCCAGCGACAATGGTGACGAGCCTCATGATGAGCAGTGGTGATGATACATTGTCAAGTGCACCTCGGTCAACATGTCTGGGATTTCTCGGTGTTTATACCTTGTATTGAACCCGAACATGGGCCTATATCTGCGAAATTACACCGTGATATATAAGGTAGATGTCGCATTTTGCCAGTTAAGATGTCTTTGGCCAGGATGGTACTCTGGAAATGTGCGGGGAAAGCACGCGGAGAGGGTGAATATTCCACCTATGAGGCCGAGACATGGTCCATTGAGGTGACATCCAAGTGTAGAATGAAGCAACGATCACATGTTGACATGGTCCAGGAAAAAAAACGTGGTAGAGTGTCCGGCTCAAGGTCGTTGAAGTCCATGGATGAGAAGACTGTGAGAAAGACTCGGCTCCGCGATCCCCGTCTTCATTTGGTTTGCTTTGGACATGGCGTTTGCGGGTTCTTTCGTCTGGTCTGGTGTTTCCATCCAATGTTACAATGGAAATACTCGACACTGACGCGGTCTTTCTTTTGTCTCTTCACAATTCGTTGACTTCGTCGACGAGTTGAAGATGTGATGGAGTGTTGGAGGCGATGAAGAGAGCTGAGGTGTGACGAATTGTCGGGCACGCAAAGACCATTACAGCATGCCAAGCCCCCGTTTGTGGATGCTCAAGGGAGGCAGCCACTGCTCAGCCACAGAAATGACATCAACCGACTTCCACCACGTAAGATGCCAGCCACCCCACCACTTCTCCCGTCGTCCAGTCTGATAAGGTGTGAGACTACAGAGGGGCTTTTAGGGGAGCTGTGCACTAACAATTATCGCCAACAAGGCCGGGTGAGCATCACCTATGGCCATGCCGTGGACCTTGATGGACAGCAACAGAATCCAGATCCATCACGAGGACAACAGAAGCATACGAAGTAGATCTCTACAAACCACGAGAGCTTACGAATTCGGGGAATTCAATCTGTAACTTGGTTGTTTGTTGAACCATTCCACATCCAGGAGACAACAGCGTCTAAGCCCCCTTCTGTATTCCCGACCCCGCAACAAGTGACAGCATCCATCAACTGATCTTCCTATAACAACAACAACAACACCATCTCTCCTCCATTGACCTCAACCATATTCACGGTTCCCTTGATCCACACTTGGACCTACAGCGACACACATAAACGATGAGCGGCAACGACGAAAAACGAAAGCTGGAAGCCCAGTACTTCCCTCCTCCCCCTCCCGGCCCTCCTCCCGGCCAAGCTCTCTCTTCCTCTTCCTCTACAGCCCAGGGCCAACAACAACCTCGCCATCCCGACGAGGTGCCCATTCCCGACTACAACCCATCGCATCCCCAATATGCGCCTCCACCGAATGCCAACAAAGACGACATTTACGGCGCTACCCCGACCGACGAACACCCGCCCCCGTTCCCTCCCAGGCCTACCTCGTCTGGCAAGGCTGGAGACGAAAAGGTCAAGCTCTCATGGGGCCAGAAGCTAGCAGGATGGGGAACCAAGGCCGCCGCTCCCATCAACGCCCTAGCCAACAAGATGGGCTCCGAGGCTTTCTTGCCAGGCCCCATGGATAAGGAGGTCGAGAAGGCCGCCCGTATCCTGAGGAGCTTCTGCAGTATGTCAACCTTCCCGCCGCTTCTATGCTAGTCATCAACCGCTAACCATGTCATTTCACTTCCAGAGGACGGCATCTACAGCGACGCAGCTCCCACCACCGCCCCTCCCCAAACCACCTTCCCCGTCGCCAACAAGGTCGAGCCTACCGCCGCCGAAACCGCCTCCAAGCCCCCCGTCGAAACACAGCCTGTTGACGCTGCCACCGCCAAGAAAAAGTCGCGTGTTCTCCTCACCATTCCTTCCAAAGTCATCGCCAAGGCCCAAGGCTTGGCCATCTTCACCACCGTTCGCGCCGGCTTTCAAGTCACGGGTGCCAGCGGCTCCGGCGTCCTGATCGCCCGCCTCCCCGACGGCAGCTGGTCCCCTCCGTCCGGCATCCACGTCCACAGCATCGGCGCCGGTTTTGTCGTCGGTCTGGACATCTACGACTGCGTCGTTGTCATCAACTCCAAGGAGGCCCTCGAGGCTTTCACCCGCACCCGTCTCAGCCTGGGTAGCGACCTGGCTGTTACCGCTGGGCCATGGGGCGCCGGTGGTGCTTTGGATTGGGGCGTGCCACAGGGGCAGAAGACGGATAAGGGCAAGGGCAAGGATGGTAAGCCTTCGTCGCGGCCAACAACGGCCGATGGCAAGCCCATCCTTTCCTCGGACAACACCCAGTTCACCAACCCGCCTGTCGATCCCGACTTCGACCCGGATCACCCAGAGGAGGCCGGCAAGCAAGTCAACAAGAACCGCAAGCCCAGCCCATTCGTCGAGGCTGTCAAGAAGCCCGTCTACAGCTACGTCAAGTCGCGCGGCTTTTACGCCGGCGTGCAAGTCGATGGAACCGTCGTCACCGAACGCAAGGATGCCAACGCCGCCTTCTACGGCAGGCCAGTCACCGTTCAGCAGATCCTCAAGGGCGAAGTTTCCGCTCCTCCCGTCGTCAACGGTCTTCGTGAGGTTTTAAAGGGTGCTGAGGGGTGGAGGGGTCAGCAGCAGGGTGCGGGACAGCAGCAACAGCAGCAGACGGTACACATGCCTCAGGGACATATCCCGCAGCATCATGTCCAGCCTGTCACTGCTCAGCAGCCGTACCCCAGTCAGGGACAGCAGCCCTACCAACCTCAACTTCTGTCTGAGCCGTCTCCCGAGGGCTACTACGCTCCTGGCAAGCCTCCCAGTGGCCCAGCTGGTGGTCCCGCCCCAGCGCCCGCGGGAACAGGAGGCTACCTCTACAACCCCCAGCTCCTCTCCGAGCAGCCACATCAAGGCCAGGGATATTCCGGCGGTGCCCACGGTCACTTCTCCCCGCTGAACCAGCAGCCAACAGACGCTTACCGTGCCCCTCCTCCTCCTGCCTCTACATATACAGGAGGCGGCCCAGCCGAGGTTAGCGGCGTGACCTCCGGTGTCCGCGGTCTTGACCTTAACTCGGCTGGCCCATCCACTGAAACCACCGGCGTGGTACCGCCCCCTCCCGGGCCCCAAGCATCAGATGCTGCACGCGCAAAGGCCGCCGAAGCCGCTGCTGAGGCCGCCCACGCTCATGGTTCCGAGCCGCCCCCGCCTTCGTATGAGGAGTTCGGGTCGTCTTCGTCAACTGCCCCTGTCGTGCCTGGGTACCCTGGGCATCCGGCTCACGCTCCTCAGACAGATGGAGTGACGGAGGAATTGCCGCCTGCGTATGTTGAGGATGGAGTGTACAGGCCTGATGTGGGGGATCATAAGCGTCAGCAGTAGAGCAATCGTTGGTTGGTTAGTATGGACTATGGACGCAGTATCATGAAACCTTCTCTTCTGAGGCCTTTTTGGACGTTCCTTTTGGCGTTTCATACGAGTTACCCCTGTCCCTTGAGTTAGTCCTTATATGTAATGGATGGGGCTATTCCGAATTCCCTGCCTGTCTTTAGTTAGCTTGCTTTTTTCGCCGTCAATTAAAGTTTCGATACCCTTTACTTCATACTAGCCCAAGTTCTTGTCTAAAGTTCAATCGATCAATGAGCTGTTCTCTACAAATCACCAGCCGATCAGATCGCAAATTGCAAGAGTTCTGGAAAAAATGAAGTTATTAACTCGTAGGCGTGAGGTCTAACTTACTCTTGCTTGATGAAGTTAAATTACTGCAGGAGAAGGATCGAAGGGAGATAACGTTAGCCACTGGCAGTGTCCAACTCCTAGAACTTGTCCTGCTTGCTTTTGCGTAAACACCTTAGTTTTCGAAGACGGCAATAGTGGCTGTCAACTTCTTTGTTTGCTGCAAGAGAATCAAGCCACAGATCTTTCCCCCTTGACAATCTAAATGCGATAAGCGGACAAAGCAAGAATGCCGAAATGGCTCTAGGAGGATCGACTTGGCTCAAAGAAGGTTCAAGTACAAGACAAAGAACCCAATGCACCAGGTACTGGCATTGAACTGACAAGAATTTCCACCTGGACAACAGACGACACATCTTCCTGACTCTTTCTTTCCCATTTGCTTCATACCTAGGTATCCAAACCTTCACTGACGTCTGCCCTACCCTCACTTTATATTCTTTCATAACACCTTGTTCCTCGGGCATTGTCCTGGATATCAACATGCTACAACATTGATACCTACCTCTAACAACTAAACCACCATAGAAAACATATCATCACATCAAACATCCCGTGCAGCCAAAGCCATGCCCAGATCCGACTTTCCCTCCTCTGGGGTCCCACCGCTGCGGCCTCCACCACCTCCACCACCACCACCAACTCCAAACCCAACAAGACGACGACGTCACCAAAAAAAGGAGAAAGGCAAACTCCCTTTAGCTGATGAACGGTTAAGGACGGGTTATGGTCCACCAAAGCCAACGACTGCATGTACTACCACCCACGCGCTCAACGCCGCTCTTCTTACATGTAGTCCAAGTCCAAGTCGAAAGGCGACCACCACCACTGCGAGCTCAACCACCACTTTGCCTGCGGAAGCAAAAGCGCCCCTGGTCCATAGCTCTAGTACCTCTAACCAAGCAGCGACGACCCGAATTCAAATTCGCCAAGATGACATGGAGAACAAGTTTGATCGGACAGGTCTCTTCAAAGCTACTTCTAGGGCGCAGAAATCGCTACATCTAGTCCATGTCGTGGATGACGACGAAGGTGCATCAGATCCCCCTCGGTCTACAAACGTGAAACCCACGCTCAACGTATTCGCTGTGAGAATCAAGAAGGCAGCGCCAACCGACAAAGCAAGCAAACTGAAGTCTGCTGCTGCTGCTGCTGCTGCAAACAAACAAAGACCTACTAAAGCACCTGCGATAAAAGATCCGTCCTATCGCCCCTTGAAAGGAACAAACGAATGGTCATCCGAGTCCACCGATGAAGATTTGGACGTGGGCTTTGTCCCGGGTGATCTCCCTGTCTTTCGACAAGTCAAGGGGCAGCAGGAACATGAACAGTTCTCAGCCGTTACTGGTATCACTAGAGGTACCTCTAGTGTGTCGCCAGCACGACCAACACAACACCCAACACGACCACCGCCGCCGCCACCGATTCCAAATCGACTCAAGCGCAAGCGCATAGATGATCCGACTTATCGGCCTTCTAAGAACAGCGAGGGATCTACTTCCGATGACAATGATGCTGAGGAAGGTGACGAGTCTGACGAAGGGATCAAAGCGTTGAAGAAGGTGGTCAAGGATAATAATGCAAAGATCAAGACGGTCAGGCGCAAGGTGGCTAGAGAGAGACAACAGAAGAACATGGATGTGGCAAAGGAAGAAAAGCACAAGAGCCAATCGGTGCTGAAAGAGATCGATGATGATGATGAAAAGCGAAACCTGTCCATGAAGAAGAAGAAGAACCGAAAGTCCGTTTTGGATCCGTCTTATAAGCCACCCAAAGACGAAGAAGATGACAGTGAGGAATACAGTGACGAGTATACCTGTACTGATGGCTGGAACAGACAACGAAGAAAAAGGGTTCGCGTGTCAGACGGTGAGAAATATAATGAAGATGGCGACGTCAGCCTCAACGATAATCCCAAGAACGACGGGGTTCCTACTACGAAGCAAAGCCTTCATCCATGCCAAGCACGTCCCTGTCTGCCTCCCAAGTTCGGCAGGCGAAAGGTGAACCGCCCTTCCAAGCCTCCCCGCATCTACGATCCCTCCTACAAGCCGGGGACTACCACCTCATCGGACAATGATAGCAACGGCATCGATTCGAGTTGGAGCTCCACGGGAGAGGGCAAAGACAGGAAGAAGAAAAAACGAAGAAGATTATACCAGCCAAAGAATGCACCCGAGAAGAAAAACCAGACGGTCAGCAACCTGCAGCAAGAGGTCATAAGATTGATGCTAGAAGAAACAAAACCAAAACCCGCCTTCGCAAAGCCCATGACCAAAAAGCGAAAACGCCCTCGTCTCATCCGACGCAACACCAGCGACCAATCCTTTTGCCCATCGGACACTCCTAGTGACCAGTACAGCGATGAATGGTACAGTTCTGAGTACTCCTCTGAGCTGGACGTCAAGAACAAGAAGAGAAAGAGGGGGACGAAAAAGAAAGACCAGTGGAATGTGAACCGAGTTGCCTCCGGATTGGGACCTGTGACTGGGAAGGTCTTGGACTTGGATTGTGGAAGACCAATTGAAGCAAGCGAAGAGGAAACGAGAGATAGTGTGAAACCAGAAAAGCACGAATCAACAAGCAGGGAGAACATGGCAACAAGAAGAATTGGGACCATCGACGCCATTGATGGCACATACGAGCCATCTAGGGACTCTCCGTCATCCGAGTCTGAGTTTGCAGCTATGCCAGACTTGGATCGCTCCGCCTTCAGCATAGAGATTAGCAACGACAACGAAAAGCCTGAGCCGATATTCGAGCCGGAGAAAGAAGTTATTCTACCACCCATGGATATAAAAAGGGAAACACCGCAGCTCCACACCGGGAACGAACCTCTTTCCAATATCAGAACTGCTTTCTACCCCCTTTGTCATGGTCGTTACTCACCTTGGCCGCCAGCGCGCGGCACGGTATACTGCCAGCCTTGCTTCCGGGAGCAAGTGATAGTTCGGGGCTTACTGATTCGGCGGGGGATAAGCGAGACTTTGAGGTTACTGAAAGTGTTTTTGGGTGGCGGGTCTGACTTCGGGAATGAACTGGATGAAGCTCTTGAGGAGATTCTGGGTGGTGTTGTTGTAACCGAGCAAACGAGTGTGACACGTGTAGAAGACCACGACCAAAGCCAGGATTATGAGGACGAAAGAGAAGAAAGGGTTCAACGGGGACAAAACACTCGCACCAAGCCCATGCTCTCAGCACAGTCATCCCTTGCCGAACTGCCCGAAGATGTCCGGACCCTCTTGGTGCTGAGGCGCCTCTCAGATGTTGTCAACGCCAGGAGCATGCCAACCTTGTCCACAGCGCGCTCCTCCGGCTTCGATGTTTCCCTTCAAACGCCCGCTTCTCTTCACGTCCCGTCTGACGCCAACGTCGTCTCTCCGGACCCTTGCTACCAACAGCAAGACCCGACCGGTCCGAGCCGCTACTCATCTCCGTTCGCTCCATGTCCTCCATGTCCTCCATTAACCCTGCATGGCGGGACTCCCAACCGCGCCGCCACCAGTACCGGCATCAATGCGTCTTACTTCTCCCTCAAGCTCCCTTCAACAAGATCTATTATTTCCCTTCCGGTTCAAAACCCACTGGACAACGCCATAAACATCCTACACGACGCCCTCGGCATCTCTCCCTGGCAAGCTCGTCGATTATGGGATCAGTATGAAGGCTCGGGTATATGGGACCTAGCGCAGGTGGATTCGCTTGTCAAAACCCATGCGAAATTCCTGAATGAGCAAAAGTTCACGAAGGAGCGCCCATGGGCCGAGGCCAAAGAGTTGAATTTAGAGGGGGGAATGGGGAAGGATGAGAATCTTCAGGCCGCTATGCTGGGGTTGGAGGGTCTGGGTCGGTTGGAAGAGGAAATCATGACCGCCTTGGCAGAAAAGGAGAGCCGAGAAGAGGAAAACCAGGGTCGAACTCGACAGAGTGATGGTGGTGGGACTGGCACTACAACAGGAGCGACACGCAGCATCATGGTTGGGGCTGTGACGGGGAGGAAGCAATCCCATGATGATGATGTTGATGATGACTGCAGGTTGGATTGGGGCCATGCTCCAAATCCAAACCAGAAATGCAAACTGACCAAACCCATCGACTTATTCAACCCCACGAGGCAGAAGGCACAGCCAGTTCCACCACAGCGACCAAGAGAGCAGCTGAGGGTGATTCCTTGCCATTCCTGCTCTAGGTTCAATACTGTCAACCATAGCAGTTGCGCTACCGTAAGACGCAACGACTACATTGCGATGGGCGATAGACCATGGGTAAAAACACTGCAATGGACTCTCGACATCAACGGGTCAGAAGCGGCCAAGATGACGCTCAATGGCTTGTTGGACTTTATCATCCGGAGTGGAAAAGCAACCCATGTGAAGAGCTCCGGGTGGGAGTTTGTGGTGTACCGCCCTGGCGACTACAATGACGCGGATATTCGGATTGTTTTCCTGGATGTTGAGCCTGGGCTGGATCTTCATTTGTAGGTGCGAAAGAGATTTCAATGACATGTGCATGTATGGCACAAGGTTGTAGATCGTGGGCCTCTTGGGTCGAGGTACATATTTTGTAGTCTGTTGTGGCATAATCAAATCGAACCGGCAAGCTCAAAACGAGCACTTGCTCACTGGTGTTGATTGATGATGAGGGTACATACGCCTGAAGACACTTTTAAACACGTCCAAATCGTGGCATGGACGTGAAAAGCTCCCATCAGCCAGAATCAACCATGCAGGCGCCCGAAACATACATGGCTCCCGTCGTTTGACAAGCGCTGGACGCCGACGGGAGCAGACATGAAGATCCAGGTCCGAAACAGCCGTTATCAGTGGCTTGGCAGCACAATGGTGTTGAGTATGCCGCTATCCCGGAAACTGGCAAGTTTGGGTGTGATTCGGAGATGAGGCTGTAACTCGTAGGTAGTCTGTCGACCACCACACGACGAGAACGTGAGAGGTGGCGATTATTGTATCGCACGCGACAGGTGGTATACGGTTCGTTGGATGTGATGTTCTTGAAAGAAACTACAGGATAATACAGTTGATTGTACACTAGAACACGCGTCAGCTGCGCTGGGATTTGGGCATGATTGATGAAAAGGGGTTGTTGGTCGTCCTCTTGTACTACCCTCCAGCGCTTTGTTCGTGATGTTTAGGTAATTCTCCGCTTGACTGAAACGGAGTCTCTGGGGAGCGGAGGCGACGTCCTCTGGAACGCCTTGTAACGGAGGGCAATCATAACCATTCGAAACAGAGGGTCCTCCACTGTGCGGTATTATTGACGAGTGATTTGCGGGTCGATCAGGGGCTTCCTTGGCCTGGGTAGGATTCCCGAATCAGGGAATTGCAATGCGGTATTCCAATAATAGCACGACGAAGAGTTGACACCCTAACGATCTCGGCTGAGAAGATGGAAGGATGGGTATGGTCGTCCAACTGTACTGTAACAAGACACAAACAAACAACCTGAAGGTGGGTGACCTGGGAGGAAGCGTGTGACGGTAGGCGGATAGGCCGATTGATGGATGACTTGATGAAAAGGGTGCGCGGGCCTGGACTCCTTCGGTGCGACTTTTGGGGTCTTGGACGGATGCGTTGGTAAAAAGACGGAAATTGGATGGCCGTTGGGCGACCAGGGGCGTCGTCGTTTGTTCGGGGAAACGGGGGGGACATTGGGAGGGGAGCCGCGGGAAGGTAAGGTATGTAATCGGGACAGGGAATGGAAGCTTGATGTTCTTGGCGATGTTAGCACATTCTGGCAACAAACACCCATTGAGTGTAGTGTAGATCCTATATCGCGTCAATGTCGAGTCGCCGAGATAGTGTAGTTGGAAAAGCAAGGCGACGACGACAAGGCGAATCGTCAGACAAAAAGTGCCGGGCTCGTGTGATCAGCAGCAGCCAATGCCTCAACAAGGGGAGGATATGGCTTCGTGGAGGGATTGGATTGTCGACGGAGAGCGAAGTTGGAGGTTGGAAGTTGGCAGCGTGATCCAGGCCAAATCAAGTGATGATCCGTTGGATTTGCGCAATAAAATCAGGATTGGGGAGAGAATGGAAACTGAAAGATGTGCGGTTGACAGTTCGTGTCCAGCGGAACGGTGGGAGATACGAGGGAACGTCGGACGCTGTGCGGCACAACTGTCACTGCAGTCAGTGCAGGTGATGGCGCGTCCCCTCTGCTGCCTGCATTGAATGTGCAGTGGCTTCAGCTGGACGAAGAGCTGAGATTCCATTCGAAGCCGTCTCGCTGTGATTGAAGACAACAACTTGACGAGTTCTTCTACTTTGCGAATGATGTCGTGCCCCAAATCTCTCCCAAAAGGCGACGAGGCAACGAATAAACAATGGCTCGGCACTGACACCCGGACATTTCTTCCGTGGGAGGGAGGATCAAAAAAAAAATAAAAAAAAAAAGGAAAAAAGCACGCCATGTCGATCTGCACAGGCTGTACATAGGGAAGAGGTAAGAACGTAGGTAGGTACTTACTGTTGCGTAAATTCCGTCGTTCTGTCTCGAGATGGCAGATGGAGAGGGACGCGCCATCCGTCGGCACTGCACTGCAGCGGCGTACGCGGCAGTGGGGGTTCAGTGACAGGGGCCGGGGTTCCTCACAGAGAAGCGGTGGCGCAGGGGCACGGTGGGCTCAGAGTTGGGCTCCACCCACTTTTACCACTCGGGCCAATTAGAGCGCTGATGAGGCTCCGTTCACAAACGTCACTGCGTTCCACGTCCGTCGAGTCGAGTGGTCGTCCCCGATCACCGTTCTTTCTCCTGTCGGTGGTCCCTTATCTCCATCCTTATCACAACATGGAATTCCAACTTGTCGATCCAATCCGGCGGTTGGTCACCAAAATTCCAATTGAACATGCTATACAGTGGATTGTGTCTGAAAGTAAACATGGAGGTAAATTGGGTATCGGTGCTCAATTCTCCCAACAGTGGTAACATGTCCGGGTACTTGGTTACCTCTATTGATACCTCGATGCTCGACACGAATGGAGAGAAGGTGAGGAATTCGGGCGACTGGATTGGCCAAAAGTGCGACTCGAGTGGAGCCTCTGATCCAGGACTTGGACAACATAACGCAAACCAGCGCTTCACAGCTTCTCTGTGTTGATGTCTATCTTCCTGTCCCATGCAAGCTCGGATTGGATCGGTGGGTTACTATCTCGTAGTGTCTGCAGTGTCCGCTGTGTAGCATGTAGTGTACTGCGTATACACTTATTGAACATCTCAGACGATCCAAACTACGAGTTCAAGGAGATTCCTTGGGGTTGTGTTTTGACAGGGAACACAAGCCAAGCACGGTCAGATGAACAGACGCAGGCGAACCGTGGGATACAGTTCACTTCAAGCTGTTCCATCACTTTACATACACTGCTAGATCGAGTTGACAGCCAAACAAACACACGGCTGCTTTAGGTTCTCGATTTGGCTCAAAATTTGAAACCCGAAGCGGTCACTGCAGATGCAGAGATATACCTCGCTATGTATGTAGGTCCCAAAAGCAACAAAAAGACAAGACAGCCGCTCAAACATCACATTATGTACATACATTTCATGCAGTGCCCAACGAATGCCGTGCTGCTTATCAGATCATGCCAGGCATTGACTCGGGAAATCGCACCGTGACATTTTCATTTCGATTCGAATCATCGTCAACAACGAACCCCCAATGCCCGCCCAGCCCTACAGTACTGGCACTTCCGCCACTTACTACCTTGGTGTGTTCATTCCCCTGAAGCCTGCAGTAGGTGAACAAAACTAAGAGAAAGGAAAACAAATAATGGCACGGACCGCCCGACTGAGGAATCGATGGCAGCCAAGATTAATCAAGCTTCTCACTGCACTGCGCTGCACTGCAGGTTCATTCCTGCCCTGGCAGTCCCCACTCCCCACTGCACGACCGCATTGGATCCACCCGACCCAGGTACGTCCCCACTCCTTCCTTCCATTTCCACCACCACCTCACCTCTTCCCCATGGCTCCCCCACCAGTCCCCCTCGACAATCTCATGTTTGATCTTTTGCGGAATGGTGCAAATCTAAACTGTTTCGGGAAATATCCCAGACAGAATGGGCATGGATGGACATTTCTGTGACACAAGGGAAAGGGTTTCCTCTTCAGTTCTCATCTTCTTCCGACGACTTTTCCAGTTCAGTTACTCCTTTTTTTTGGTCTGTCAGTCCCCAGTCCTCCCACCACTTACACACTTACACTCGCTTGCCCCAACTTTTACGCCTCTCCCAGTCCTCCTTTTTTCCTTCTTTCTCTGTCCTTCGTTTTCCTTTCGTCTCGTGCTTCAGTCCCCTCCTCCATCGTGCAACTCCGGTTCCTCTGCCACCAACGGAACAGAAGCAGCACGCCGGATTCGTGCCACGGGGAAACAAGCAACCCGTCACTCGTACTCGATTACAGGCCATTACTCTCGTTTCAGGGCCACCACCGAGATATACCGACGTGACCGCCCGCCGCCATCGCTCGCCACCAGAGCTAGACAGTCTCGGGCCAAATCCCATTTCCCTCGCTATTCCTCCTCGAGACGAGACGAGACACGACTTAGGGAACCCTCTCTGTTCACCTAGTTCGTTGCGTCTTCCGCAACACGCGGTCGATATCACCATATCATACACATACACAAGACACACATGTCCAAAATGGGGGCAACAATAATACCAGCACCCCACCGGTGCTTCAATATGCGAAACCCTCTCGCCAAGGCCCTCGTCCTTTTCATCTCAGTATCCCTTTTCGGCACTCTACTCCTACAGCAGAGCGGAGACATCGACGTCCGCGCAGCGTTCCTTAAGACGGCCAGTAGTGCCAAGGACGCCGTATCCTCCTCTCAACGACCACTCGGTAGCAACCACCCACAATCAGGATGGGGAGGAGACAGTGTCCATACTCCCGTTGAGTTGACTGGGGCCTACCAGCCAGATCATCCCAATGAGCTGGGCAACATCACCACCAACGGGAACATGCACTGTGACTACGACATGGACCGCTTGAGGGAATGGAAAAAGAAATACAAGCTTCAAGACCGCTTCGAGTACACACGCCGCTACATCCAAGTCTCGCGCCAGCCCATCGCCCGCAAGTCTCTCACCAAGCTCGACCAGGACTTCCTTTCGGATCACGTCAAGGTTGTCGACGTCAACAAGCACTACCAGCCCGAGGCCTGCCCGGCTCCTCTCGTCGTGCCCGTCTCCCGCTCGCCCTACCCCTCGACCGCCAACGCCTCCGACTTCATGTTCGGCGTCTCCACCACCTACAAGCGCTTCGTCGACCCCAAGACCAACCCGACCAACGAGTGGAAATACTGGCTTACCGACAACAACGGCTCATCCAACGGCGGCAAACTCTTGCTGATGCTCATGGGTGCCTCTGACTCGGAAATGGCCGACGTGCGCGAGCAGCTCACTTCGGTCGGCATCGACGTCGACGTCTACCGCTCTTCGCCCTCTGACGAAATGGCCGTCCGCTATCTGACTCTTGTCCCCACGCTCTACAACCACCCCCTCCGTTCCCAAAAGAAATGGCTTGTGACGTGCGACGACGACACCTTCTTCCCCTCGTTGCACGCTCTGATCGCCCAGTTCGAAACCTACGACCACACCAAGCCCAAGTACATCGGCACCTTCTCCGAAGACTCTAACAACGTCATGCGCCACGGAGAGCAAGCCTTTGGCGGCGCCGGCGTTTTCCTCTCGGTCCCACTTGCTGCCCTCGTCACTGAGAACTTTGCGCAGTGCAAGAGCCCGGAGAAGATCAAGGAAGCCAACACGGGCTGGGGACCCCAGGGTGATGTTTTGCTGAGGAAGTGCATCTACGAACACTCGCCCGTCCGCCTCACTCTTTTGGACTCGCTCTGGCAGCTGGACATGCTCGGTGATCCGTCTGGGTTCTACGAGTCCGGCATCCAACCCCTTTCTCTGCACCACTACCGCGGCGGAGGCTGGCATTCGGCTCTGCCCTTCCACTACACCAAGGTCTCCCACCTGTGTGGAGAGGAGTGCATGATGCAGCGCTTCATGACGGCCGACGACTTTGTCATTAGCAACGGGTTCTCGGTGGCGTATTACCCTGAGGGCACCGAAGATTTGGATTTCGACCAGCTGGAGGGCACTTTCCGCTCCGCGCCGGATTACAAGGGCTGGAACTTGGATTTCAAGTGGGGACCGCAGCGCGCGGGGTTGGCCAAGACGGGGAGGAAGTTGAGCTGGGATTTGCAAGAGGCCGAGATTATCTGGGAGGATGACGAGCCGAAGGCTGCAGAGGGGGGGAACAAGAGAGACCAGAGTGAGGAAGGGCAGAATGGATCTGCCCAGCAAGAGAAGAAAAAGAAGGGAGAGAGGAGAAAGGTCAAGGAAGTCAGACAGATTTATGTGCGGAAGCATGATGATTGGAGGTGGAAGCTGGCGGATGGCGCGACGCCAATGAGCCGGTTCGACGGCGTGGTGGAGCTTGTTTGGTTGCCTGATACGAAGGAGTAAGCATGTCGTAAGGACATCAAGAGGTGGCGGAAAAGCCAATTAACAATAGTATACCTTCTAATGATGATGATGCACGGGGATCGATAGAGATGGGAGATGGGTTTTGCACTGGGATCAGGATAGATCATTCCACAGGCAGAGGAAGGTACCTCTATTTAAACTTACCTTTTAAGATTCAATGTTTTATTACTTTTTATTTGGACACAAGTTTCCATCGATTGTAACAACAAGTTACTGTCCATTGTCATATTTGGGTTCTGTTCAATTCCGAACGTCAACTTTTTACTTTGTACTCTGCTTTTTAGTTCACACCCAGAACGCGACCAAATCTGTTAGTGCAGTACAAATTCCGCCCAACCCCAATGCCAGGACCGACCCGAGCCAACCAGTGCAGACAGTGATGGGAATCCGACCTGACGACTCACCACTCACCAGTTTGATACACCGACACCCAACAATAAGTACCTCTATACATGGCCGCTATCATGGTTACGCCAACGAACAGATATCATCGGATACGACGATTAGTGAAACTGCTGTGCCGGCTGATATCTTGCATGTTCATCGACGGTAGGTAAGGTAGAACTCGAGTTGGGGTTGTCCGTCCGTCCGTGCCGTCCGCGCCTCCGATCCACAACATGAACTGAATCCTCGGGACCGGAAGTAGGTATTTCGGTAGGTACTTATGTATGCAGTGAGATATAAGATGTGAGATGTCAGCACGATATACCACAAAGTATAATCTTGTAAGGTAGGTAGGTAGAGGTAGCTGTGATCACCTCACTAGGTAGGGAATGCTGCTCGGATTCATATCCAATTGTTGCTCTCTCGAGATTTATGCGTGCTGCTGACGGACTACTTTACTTATTTCCCGGTGATGCCGCCTGTCAGTGCTGGCCACTTGGGCCACGATGCTGCTTGCGGTGGTGTTTGGTGTTTTGGGACCGATTGGGATCGAACTGGGGTTGATTGGGTTCGACTGGGTTCGACTGGGACAGAGGGATAGAGGGACTGGATGATGAGGTAAGAGGGGAGAGGCTTGTTGAACAAGGTATACTCTTCGATGGACTAAATACGAACCACAACCTTTCATCGTCGCCATCCTGGATCTCGTGCTATGGTTGCTCTCCCATCACATACTGCGGCATCTGAAGGACGGCCAGCCATGAACAAGATCGCATCACACATAATCATACCTCGGTACCTACTTATTGGGAAAAATCTATCGTACACTCTTTTTGTCAGAGCCAGTAAAGTGGCGCCAGGTTGGTCGTCGCGTTGGTGACGGGCGGCAGACACCCTCGCGTTGTCTACCTTTTTTCGCTCTTGGGAAGGTGGGGAAGGTCAGGGAAACGATGGGTCTTTCCCTCTACAGTAATTCAGTCATCGCCAGGTCAATCGAGATAAGAAGAGACGAGACGAGGGTCCATCTGACTCAGTTGTATTTGCGCGAGTAACTTGAAGTAAGCCAAAGCAACAGAAAACCTGACCTTACTAGGCCAGGCCACTACCTAGAGGTAAGTAGGTACCTAGGTAGGTCGCCCTTACAACTGAACGTTTTTACCTATTCCCTTGATGTTATTAACTGAAACCACATCACCTGCCCCTGTCCATCGAGTCCTCCGACATAAGAAAACCGCCTCCTTGTTGCCAACATCGATGTTACGACCAGCGCAACAACGTATTCCCCTTGGTCTACCGCACTAGGTAGTTGGGCAGTCCAACATGTCGACAATTTGTTTGCAGCGCCGCTTCGATCGATAGTAACCCCAAGCTCGAGCTCAAGACTCCCGTCCCGTCCCAAGCTCAAGACTCCGCCCAGGCCCAGAAGCAATGTACCTAGCTACTCAAGCAGCTCGGCTTACTTCCCCTGCTCCTTCTGCTCTTGCTCCTCCTGCTCCTTCTGCTCCTCCTCCCGCTCATGCCTCTGCCGATCCTCCTCCCCGCCTTCGTAATCATATCCGTCCGCTGGCTTCCAGTCTTCAACTTCCTTAAGATCCTTAGCTCGCTTATCAGTGCAGTGCGTGGAGTCAAAGCAGTCTTCTTGTCCGCAGTCCTTAAACCTCCGCCTTTCCACAGGGTGCATCCAGCCCGCAACAGATACCTTGGTCTCGTCTCGCGCCAGGGTGACTTCCTTTACAATACACCTGTTGAAAGTGCTCCGTTAGCTCTTGTCTTGTTTATGGGCATCACGGGACTCATGGGAATAGGGAAGAGGAGAGTTTGAGATGGAGATTGCGACCTACATTTTGACGGTTGTATCGATATGTGAGTGAGGTGAAGCTGAGTGTTGGTGTTGGGCTGGTGTGAGCTACTACGCTGGGCTTGTAGAGAAGACGGGAAGTTGTCGCTTTTGGCTTGGAATATTCTTTGGGATGTTTGTGACACGACTGGAGCGTTCTGATTTCGTTTGGTTCTGATCGGATGATGAACACCTTGTCGGGAGGTCGATGATGGGACCTTTATACCTTTTCGGCTGCTTTCAGACCATGCGCTTCTGGTCAGCATCACGAGCAGCCTCAAAGAAGCACGAGAAGTTGATCTGGTGGGCTCAAACTGTTGGATGTCGGATCACAAGAATTTCGTTTGCTTGTCGTCCTTGAGGAGAAGCCGCGCATGGTGGTGTCATAGATGGTCGACCACAAAGAGGTGTGAAAGAGTGGTGGTATCGCCATCTTTACAATCTGAAAATCGAAGCGAGTAGCGGTAAGGAGACGCCGATTGAGCAATATGATGTTGGTGACTTGTTTATGATCATTGAGAGATGTTGGTCACCACGGCGGCGGGTGATGTTTTTCCACTTCTTCGGCACGTTCAGCATTCTCGACATCGGTGCCAACAACCCGTCTCTGACAAGGCGGGATACACATCAATCCGGGCGTCTTGTCAATCCCAACATCCCACACGTGTAAATTACAGGCAAGGACTTGTAACGAGCCGCAGGAAGGGTGTTGAATGGCCTGACGAATGCTTTGGCTGGAAAAAAAACTTCCTGTCAACGATATCTTGAAGAACTGCTGTATCCTTTCTCGGCCTATACCTCAGTTTCGCTGACCAAACGACGAACCGCTGCACCCCTTGAGTCCCTTCAAGTCTCCCGTCCGTGTCCGATCCCCAGAATTCCTCGCTTCAAATAGGCCTCAATTACCTTGAATCCCTACCTCTAGATACCCTCCCTATTCAAATCAGCACCTCCATCATCCCCAGGGCAACCTTGTCTCTATACCTACCAGCTCGATAGTCGTCCGCCCACCCACCCATGAACCTCGCTTCCGATACCTACTCTTCTTTTCTACTCTTCTTCGATCCATCCTGACTCACGAACTCTGGAAATGCGGGGCGCTTGGTGCCCGGACGAGTTTCCGCCTCCGGATCGCCATGATCAATCTCATAATTTGAATCACTCTCGTGTTGCTTTCGATTCGCGTCCAGATTGTACTCGTCCCAAGCACTCTCAAACATCGATGATGGCTCGGGCTCGGACGACCCTTTATATTCATCCTACTTCTTGGTATCCGAGCTGGATGAGCTGGACGAGCTGGAGGCAAGTGCATGTGGCTGGTAAGACGTCGACTGGGGACAACTTTTGGAGCCGCAATCCTTCCACTTCTTGACTAAAACCTTGATGGTGTATGTGTTGCTGTTGTCCTTGTCTTTGTCCTTGCCGGAGGCAGCGGTGACGACTTCGCGGACGACTTCTTCTTCGTAGCACCTGTTGGGTGGTTAGTGTCTGTCTTGGATAGGGGTACGTGGGGGACGGGGTCAGTGATGGGGGACATGGAAGGGATGCGGGAGATGGTGCTTGACTGACATATTGGCGGTTGGGTTTACTGAGATTAATGGTATTCTTGATAATGCGTTTAGCGAATGCTGATGTCCCGGCTGTACAGTAGTGGAGAGGAAGTGATGCTGCTGTCAGAATGATTCTGAGAAGAAATTGCCGGTCGTTGCTCGAGGTCGAGAAGAGAGGTGCCTTTTTACTTGAGTGGTGACTTCCGTCACTCGATCCTTTTCTAGAGGTAGGTTTGCACCGAAGGTTGCCAAAGCTAAAGCAAGTTCAAATCCAACATGATGCATCAGTGGGAAAGAACGGCTGGTGTTGGGCGAGTGGTGAAGTCAAGAACCATTTGCTTCCCGTCCCTATGGGTTATGTCGGTTGAAGGTGCACCACCCAAGATGTCCGAATTCTCTATGTCAGCAACGGCGATAGCTCCGGCTACATGCCTGGTCGAGAAGGGGATCAAGAAGGAGTGCGGGTCTTCGACCTAGCCCCGGTCGCCTGCGTATGGTAGAATCCGCCTTCCAGGATCTAACTCTGAGGTGGATTTGATCCGCAAGGGAATCAAAAGAAAAAGGGAGCCAGATTTTCAGGCTGAGTAGATACCAAGAACAAACTTCGTTTTTGCCATCCGTGTAAAGATAGAGTGAATTCCTGTCCCGCTATGCTATGCCTCTACTAAATGGGCCAAATCCATCGAATGATGCTCCGAAACATGCACTTCCAGTGGCGGACGGTAGGGACTTTGGCCAGTCTGTCTCCATTCCTGCCCGCCCTGGCAAATTCACCTCAGCACACAACTACCAGCTACCCAAACCGAATCCCTTGAGATGGATCCCATGTAGCGTTTACCGGTCCTGGTTGCCCCTGCTCTTGTTGATGCTGCTGCCCCTGGGCCACAGGGGATCCGAATTTTATCCCCATGTTTGGTGCCCACGCCCCAGGAGCTACTGGCTTCGGCTGTTGTTGTGGCACGTTGTCGGCCCAGCTTTGGATGTGCGCTTGTTCGACTATTGGCTGATGAGGCTGGATGGGTTCGGGGAAAGGAATTTGTGGTGGTGGCGGTGGTGGTTGTTGGTGATGTTGCTGTTGTTGTTGATACGAAAATGATGATTGATGCATGTTGAGGGAGGACAGAGGGGGCATGTTGATTTCCCTGTTGACAATTGGTTAGCTTCAGAAAGGCAAGACGGGTAGGATGAAGACAAAAAGAAGGGTGAACCGAAACAAAGAAGGACATACTCTTCAAGACTCCTCGCATCCCTCCTCCGTTCGCTCACCCACCCCCTTACCAACCCCCTCCACTGCTCTACAATCTGGCTCAGATCGTTATAAAACTTCCTCCCGACCTCCACGTTGCTCACAATCTCCTTGTATTTGTAATAGGCCGCATCCAGCTTCTGGAGCGCCTCTTCTCTCTCTCGATTCCCTCCTCCGGCTCTATCGACCTGCCTCTTTTGTGCCTCAAACTCCTTATTCGCCCTCTTCACCTCCTGTACAATCTTCTCCTGCTCTTGCTTATCCCTTTCCACGGCCTCCAGCTCTGATTCGTATAGGCGGTCGAGGCGTTTCTCGAAGAAGTCCTCAAAGTGGGCGGTCGCGATGGCGGTTGTCGGGTACGCCCGTTCTAAGCGAGCGGCTTCGACGAGGATGTCAGGCTTAATGTCATCTGCACGAGACCGAGCGCGCAAAGATTCGACGCGCTTGCGCCGGCGGGACTCAAGACGCTGCACGTCGTTGTAGGCGCTTCGTAGCCTTCCTAGGGCCGGCTTCAAGCTCTCGGGGATGTCGGTCCGTCGCGAGTTGGGGATGAAATCCATGATTGATCGGTCTGACCCGGCAAGAATGGCGAGCGTGTCCCTCACGGCGTTGAACTTCTCGCGGACTACTTGGTCCGAGGCTGTCGAAGAGCCAAAGTAACCTTCGATATCTTGGGCCTGTCGCCAAAGTTTAGCCCCGCCATTGGGGGACGGATCCTGACGAGATTGCGGGCGGTTCCACCGTTCGGTACCGTACTTTAGACGGAGACGAGAGTCTTCCTCCTCTTCGGCAAGAAGAAGGGACCGGCCTTCTTCGAAGATGGCTAGGTCCGAAGAGCAGAGCTTGTCAATGTCCGTCAAGCCTTGCTGCAGGCGGTAGAGGGCGTCGGCTTGGCGTATCTCGTCGGCGTGCTGGACCAAGGTGCCTGGAAGGCCGAGCGGCTTTTCAAGGGCTTGCAAGGAACCAGGGAGGTTGAGAGAGGAAAGAATTTCGTGAAGTTGGGATGTCATGGACTCGAGCTCGGAGATGATGGAGTTGTTGACCAGCCTGTCGCGACGCTCTTCGTATATGGAAACGGCCACGTGTACGGCAAAGGGGACGAGCTTGGTGAATAAAGCCGGCCCAAATTCGGCGTTGTGGTCGCCCAGAAACTCGTACGGCTTGGCCACCTGGGGAGGCACACGGGCGACGGCCATGTTGGCGCGGTCGAGACGCTTGAGCTCGGTCTTGGGCGGCACAATGTGCAGGTAGACGCGGTCGTTGTCGATCTCGGCGCGCTTGAGGTCCTCTTCCAGGCGACGCTTGAGGCCCTGCAGGTCTTCGACGACGGCTTTGCTGAGGTAGCCACCCCGGGTTTCTTTGAGTCCTTCGTTGACGCAGGCGAGGGCGTCCCGCAACCGGGCGATCTCTTCGCCGTATTTCTTGCGTTCGAGACAATCGCTGGCAGCGCGGAACTGGGCGGCGGCGGCAAAGTGGTGGTGTTTGGCGCTCATGTGGTGGATCCAGGCCGAGCTGATGGCCTCGCTGCGCATGGCGGCCTCGCCGGCTTCGTTGTACAGGTCGGACACACGGGCGGCTAGCTTGGCGATGGAGGCGTCTTTGTACCCGTCCATGACGGCTTTCTGCCAGTAGCACTCTTGGGCCTCGGCGAGGAAGAGCTGTATGAGGGACTCGAGGGTGGTTTCGTCCATGTCGTCGGGCGGGCTGGGCATGCGCAGCTCGGGCAGGACCTGGGTCTTGATGTGGGTGAGGACGCCGGCGGCGTGGGAGAACCAGCTGGCAGCCGTCTTGAGGCCTTCGGTGCTGTTGCGGTTGGAAGCCACGGCCAGCTGGGAGTAGAGGGCGGCGAGGTTGTAGAGGACGTTCATCAGCTCGTACTTGAGGTTGTTCTGGACGAGCGGGTGTTCGGTGTGGTAGCCCAGAGCCGGGTACCAGGTGAAGTCGGCGCCGACATCAATGGGGAACTTGCCGCCAATCCACACGAGCTGGGCGGCGTACATCTGGAGCTTCCTGATGCCGCTCGGGTGGGCTTCGCGGACGTTGATGGCGTCGCGGCGCAGAGCGTCGATGGTGTCGAGGTCATGGCGGAACATGTCCGGGTGTTGGTCGTATTTGGTGGAAATGTACTGCTGGATGGCGCGCGACAGTGACAGCTGGGTCGACTTCCGGAAGGGAAGCGACAGCACGTGGGTGGTTGTCATCTGGCCGGCGGGCGCGTGTACCGATTGCCGGATGTGTTGTTTGTTGACTTTTTATTGTGTTTTGTTGGAGGAGGAGAAGCACCGTGACCTGATCACGAAAATGACATCAATCAACCAGGCCGCGGTTGTCTTCCCCCAGTGGCATGGACCTAAGTACTTACCGTCAGCTGCCCCGCCCAGATATTAAACGAATATGCCAAGGCTTTGGTGGGTAGCGGTACGAATGTATGGCATAGAGGTCTCTGGGACAAGAGCCACAACCGTCACATGAGGATATGAAGATGGTTTTTGATGGTTTGTATGACCTTTCACTTGAGAAGAGATCAGTCCGTCCTTTCTCAAGCTGAGCAATTCAATCCATTTACATATGTACTCTGGAGACCAAGTTCCACTTACACTACACTCTGCTGGCTGGAACATCGAGGTCCTGGCATATGCGTTTAAGAATGACCTTTGATCAAGTGGCCTGTGCACCTTTTCCTCCATCTCACTGCACTAACAATTTACGCCCAACAGACGGGCATCATCCCTCCTCTCACTCGCTCAATCTCGTCCCCCTCACTTCCATCTTTCTTTCCACTTCACCACATTCCATTCCATTCAATCCCATGTCGGGTTCCATCATCCATCCCATCGACCAACAGATTGGAACTCCATCTTGATCAATGTCTCAACCTCGAACAAAGCCATGACATGTCTTTCCATCCCTGGAGCACAGAGGGGTCCCTCGTGCAACTCTGAATTGCTTCCCTTGGCCTTCCAAACCACCCCATGGTCCATTGCACTGGGACGTGGTCAGTTACCCAGGCAGTCAGTCGTTGTCCAGCGTCAGACAAGTAGCGTGCACGACAAGCGTGAGACGGATGGTGACAGAGACTGACTGGATGACTGCCCCAATCTGGGTAGGTAGGGAAGCGCCTACCTACTCCTAATCCATGGGTAACGCTACAACGCATGGACAGAAAGGGAAATGGGGAGGTTGCGTTGCTGAGTGCGGCTCTTTCTGTGTGTTGCTGTCTGTCTCTCAGTCAATGTCAGTCTTCAACCACTTGATCTCGACAAACATCATGGGTAGACGGGAGCACTTCGAGAATCACCTCTCAAACGAATCCACGGACAAGTAAACCAGCTCCAGGAGAGATTACCATCGGGGCATGCTCCTTGAATGGAGTCTCGAGTTACACCCACCAGGCGCACCCTCGGCTTCAGTTCTCGTATCGACTACACCAGACGCCATTGAGATATATCAGCTCTCACATGCCTACTACACTACGTACTTAGGTACTCACCGCATGAGTGGCCATCTGCGTCACGAGGTTGTTCTAGCTCCTCTGCCTTCAGTTCTCTCGTTAGTTACTCTGGCTACACTCTCTCACAGTTTCTGGGTGAGCCCTTGCTAACGTTACCTCTCCCAGTGCTCACTCCCTCACCCTATGATCCATCCCTGCGCGGCCCGCCCCGTTTCCCTGGTCCCTGGGTGTCTAGACTACACCGTAAGTAGTTCATGGATGGCTGACATCATGGGGCCCAGAAAGACAATACACCTCCCCGATGTCTGAGTCAAGGAGGAAAAGTACTCCCCCTCAACAGCAGCCATCTCCGCAGCCACTCGCGCCCACATCACCACCGAGAAGCTGAAGAGTTGTACCGCGACCAGAATCCTCCAATCACAACCCCAAGACGCCCTCCCAAGGACAAAAAACTATCGTCACAATAGCGGCTTGCATCGAACAAGAGCAGATTTCGATTTCCTTCCCCACCAGCCGTCCTGGGTATCAACACCTCCACTGGCCTTCATACTGCTAGCTACTTCGGCCGTGATGCGTCTCTCGGTCCCGATGGCAGACGCAGACGGGGCGCCACCGCAAAGCCTCTCGGCTGCATGTATGTGATACGGATACCAGCCCGAGGAAGGCCTGTCGACCATTTTCATGTCAGCGTCTCGGCCTCTTTGATAGGCGAGGCGGACGGTCTTCATCCACACAGGGTTGCTGCTGAAGCCATTGTGTAACGGAATATGCCAAAGGCCAGCATCCCCTTCCCACTGCACCCATCCGCCTTTGCGCACATAACGCCACGAAAACCTGGTAGTCACCTTGTCCCTTAGACGACAGTCTGCTGTGCTCGAGACTGTCTCGCTGTCAAGTCAAAGTATGCCAGGGACTACCCATATCAGATCTCCCATCCTTCTTCAGCTCCAATACAACAGCTCAGGGTTAATGACTCGGAGCAGGTCAGTTAGCAGGTATTTTCCCTGATCCATTCGTACCAGAAAAACAACCTACGCCAGTGGCTTTTTAGCAGACAACCCGGCGTCGAGATGATGCCGACTTTCGGGATAATCCCAATGTCGTGCAACACCGTCACCCTTTTTTTTATTGCTTTCGGCACAGCACGCCAAGTGGCCAAGATGCCATAGAGATCCCGGCCACGTCAATACTCAGAGCAGCACCCCAAGCAGGAAGCCTTTGGACTGTAATGTGTGATTGCCGGTCTGCTCTTTGCGTACCCAAACTGCTTCCGCATCAACACAAGGCACGTGTCGTTCGCGACCCTTACCAAGGTACTTGTTCTTGAACACGGCAGTCACTTCGTTTCTGAAGAACCCCAGTTGGACTGAAACCTGCTGAAGAAGAGGGGAAAAAAAAAAGAAGAAGAAAAACAAGCGAAGGAATCGGAGAAGCAAGGGGAAGTGCTAGGCTCACCTCCGCCATGCCATGGTCACACTGCGTTGCGATCTCGGGTGCAGAGGTTTCTACCTTTGGCCATCAAGCCATCAGTACCGAAATATGATTTGTTGGCCCTATGCTATGCTGGTCACCTCATGGCTCGTCAGCTTCATTCACTTTCTTGAGTCGACGCCTGAGCCAACCATGACTGCCAGCGCAGCCTCGCCCACAACGGGCCATTGTCGTATCTTTGGACTTGCTGCTCTCATGTCAGCCGCCAACTGTGCCCTCCACTCACTTCTCCCCATCTTCCCCCCTCCGGGGATGGCCCATTCGGCTCCTCGGGTCCGGGTCTCCCTTGCTCACCCGAATCAAGTCAGGGATATTGATTCCGCTCGCTTGAGGCCTAAGCCCAAGTAGACAAGCTTATTGCACATGCAAGTAATCGCCAGGTTCTTGAAAGGTGTACTATGAAGACAACCGTCCCAGGGCCTCTGTGAATAGTAGTGTATCAAATGGTTGTTTGTTTTTTTTCCCGTCTTATATGTTGCATAAGGATCGTACAGGATGCTCTCCCGTGTGTGCGCGAATCATAGCCGCGCCTAAACATGGTGTGCAAGTTGATTCGTTCGCTTCGGCCCTTTGGCTACGGACATTCCCCAAACTTTGGTCCTGCCGTCCTGTTCTCGAAAGACGGCATTTGGGTCAAGCTCTCTTACGTATCCATCTTTCTTTGGAATTCTCTGCGCCGGGTTTACACATAATTCAGTGACTACATAGCTCCAACCCCATGCCCAGGGAATGCCCCTGTCATATTCCTGCCGCATGCTCCCTGCTACCTATTTTTGACCTAGACATACACTCTCCCTAGACAGCAGCCTCGTCCAATGTCGAAGCTGTCAGAGCGGCTGTGGCGTCCATACACTGGGAACACGGAGGAGCAAAATCCTCAGAGCGGATTGGACTGCTTGACCCCGAAAAGGCAACTCCACGACTATCGGATGTCTCGACTTCGTGTCGTTCAGCAATCAGCGTCTTCAGCCATCCCCTCTTGGGTGTGTACCTTGTTGTTTGTACTCCCATTCTCCTGGAGTCCACGTAGTGCAGGGAGTGGGCGACAACAGCTGGGGGGGATGGATGCAAGCGGCAATACCTACACCTACCCTGGAATGCCCAACTCTGCTTCGTGTTGTCTCCGGACATTGTGCTCGTTACTTCTGTTCCTGCACTGCAAGCTCCTAGCGTTGTGCCTCGCTCGTGATGAGGAGATACACAGGCTGAATCAGCATTCTGTCGGACAGGTACCGTTTGCGTCTTCGGTCTGGTGGCCACGCAACTTGGAACATTCCCTACACAGACCCTTGTTGGTCGTTTAGATGCGCGTATACCTCGTACGGTAGAGGTACTTACACAGCTGTCGCCAACCTACCGAGCTACCTGTACTCGCTTCTCACGAACCAGGAACTCTTGATATCTATTGCTTGATAAGAATCTTACCCCGGACTGACGAGCGACTGTCGACAACTGGACAACCGGTAACCAATATCTTCTAAATGGCGCCAACTCCCCGAAGGAGGGTTTCACTTACGATCATTGGAAGGAAGCCAAAAGGAGGAAACGAGGAAGGAGGGGGTGGGGCGTATCTAGTGTACGGTCTTGCCAATAAGTCGCCGCAGTCGGTTTGGAGCTGAAGAGTGGACTTTTGTTCTAAGCTGTCACCGCTTTGGTCTAGCCAGTCCTCGACTTACTTCTTCTTGTGTCCCTCCCTGCTGGAACAGACATGTCTTGGCCTCCGTGTCTGTCTTGTGGCTGGAATGCATGGAAAAGATTTAAGTGTGCTACTCCCTGCCTCCGACCCTCCCCCCTATACTAGACCTAGGTCTCGTTCTGTCTTCCACTTCTTCTCTGGGTTTTGAGCGAAAAGGCAACTACCAAGAGCGTGTAGGTATCTGTCGTTGTTGACACTCGTTGTCGTTCATCAACTTTATCCCCATCCCCACACTCAACTCATTTCCTAACTCGGCCTGACGACGTCCTTCTTCAACCCCTCGGATTTGGTTTCTACGTCGCCGCTTATAGTACAGACTCGCCCGAATCCCATCGATCGTATCTCACCTTATCCACAGACAACACAGTGAAAAAAAGGACACTCTACTTTACGCCTCACACTTGTGAGCTACATACAAGACCTGTCCACGCAAGGCAGGACTAAACTTGTACCTTACTCATATAGTTGCCATCGGTCATCTCGTTCAGCCCATCATGGAGACATCCAACCTTACGCTCTTACTCCTCTACCTCGCCATACCGTCTCTGCTGATATCCGCCGTGCAGCAAATCTTATCATGGCGGAAGAAGACTGCCTTGGTGGGGACTTCGGGGAGCAAAGCCAAGTTCCCCGGCCCGCGCCAGTTTCCCATTGTTGGACGCATCCACGACCTGCCACGCTTCTCGCTTTGGCTCAAGTTTAAGGAGTGGGCAGACGAGTTTGGTCCCATCTATACGACTTCGGTCCCGGACGCCACCTTTGTCATTATATCAGATGAAAAGATTGCCGAGGAGCTCTTGGTAAAACGGGGACATATTTACTCCGGACGGCCGCAGATCCGGAGCTTGATTGGCCATAAAGAGGGAGTGGTTTATAGTGCTTTGATGGATCGTCATGGTGAGTTCTTTTCGTTTCAACCGACTTGAGGCAATGTTTATTAATGAGAGCATACCTAGACACCTGGAAATCTCAACGCAAATGGGCTCACGCCGCCATGGCCGCTGCCTACAAGCACCACTTCTACGGGCACGTTGAGTCGGAGATGCGCCGCTTCCTGGTTGTGCTGCTTTTCGATCCGGATCGCTTCCTCGACCATACGCGCGAGTACTGTGGTCGTGTCATGAGCCGCCTAGCCTGGGACGACGCCACGCAGGGCCGGCTGAACGGGGAGAGCGCCGACAAGACTCTGCATTGCATGTCTGTCTCAGGACCCATCACCAACACCATGACGCCGTTGTGGTCCTTGCCGGCCAGTATTAACCCATGGTACAAGTACGAAGTCAAGAGAGAGGCAGAGTTGAGGCAATGGTGGTTGGGCCTGTTTAGGAAGGCTAAAGAGAGAATGAGGAAGGGTGAACTACCCAGCGATACGTGGGCGTATAGGTATTTTGAGCAGATGCTGCAGGATACGGCGCCATCGATGCCTGCCTCCGCTAGGGCCCCAGGTCCGGATGTCGAGAACGCCGAGAAGTCCCCTTCCACAGCAGCTCAGGAGGAGGCATACGAGAAGAAAGACGCACTCGACCAACCCGAAAAGGACGAGACCTTTGCCTCGTGCATGATCGGCTTCCTCAACCTCGTCGGCGTCGTCACCATCTCGGGCCCGCTCAAGTTCTTCCAGATGGCCATGGCTCTGCACCCGGAGTGGCAACACAAGGCGCAAGCAGAGATTGACGAGGTCTGCGGTGATCGGATGCCGACCATGCAAGACTTTGAGAAGCTTCCCATTCTCCGAGCCTGCCTGAAGGAGACGGTCAGATGGAGGAGCGGAGTCCCACTTGGCGTGCCACATCAGGCGGAGAGGGACGATGAGTTTAGGGGCGTCAAGATCAAGAAGGGCACAATTGTTCTTGCTTGTGAATGGTATGTCTTTTCAGGTTCCTTCCACCCGTGTCAATCCCAAGCATCACTAACTCTTCGTTCGGCACAGGACCCTCAACCGCAATCCCCAGAAATACCCAAACCCAGAAACTTATAACCCAGCCCGCTACCTTGACCCTTCCTATCCAACTTTCCAGGCCCCCCTCACGCGCTACCCCAACTTCCGCGAGGGATCCTCGATGCACTCGTTCGGCTGGGGCAGGCGCACCTGTCTTGGGCAGAACATTGTCGACGACGAAATGTTTGTCTTTGGCGCGGCGCTTCTGTGGGCATTTGATGTTAGCCCAAAAACATGTCCAATCACGGGCGAGGAGGTGCCGATTGACACGCAAAAGACGAATAGTCATGTCATCTTGGAGCCGGTTGACTTCCAGCTGGGCTACAAGGTAAGAGAGGGGAAGAAGGAGTTGATCCTGGAAGGGGGAAAGGAATTTTTTGGTAAAGTGTAGGTAAGGTAGAGGTAAGCTCGTGATGCAGGTTGATGTGTACCTATGATGGTATTATAAGGGTGGATGGGGTGGTTTCTGACTTTCAGCTGTTCATGTCTATAGCGACTTCTTGGATAGGTGGTTAAGACATGGTTGGATATTGTGTTTAACGAGTAAGAAGGAGTTTTTTGGGATGTTTGTTTGTGAGGTTTTACTTCTTTCTTTTCATAAAATCTGTCTCTACTATCTACCTAGTGCTATAGATTTAACTTCTACTTTACAACCTCCCATCTATTATCATTTCATATTTACCTAGGTACCTCAACAACGCGAGGGAGATGTCTGGGACTGAGATGGATCGAAATGAGTCTTCTATGCATTGGTACCTCTGGATTGAATGAACCCTCATGACCGCTTTGGCACAAGGCAAGGAATTTGTTTCGCACAACGACGGACGAGACATGACGGTGTTTCGGTTGCATAGGTCCTCACTGCGTTGGAAGGAGTGGGGCTTTTCCCAGGGGTACGCCCCACCAAAGTAAACAAAGACGAGAGAGACGCCGAACAAGAACAGCCAGCATTGTCACGCAGACCAATGTAAAGCTTACCAGCAACCAAGCACCAGGAAAACCCCTTTATTGTTGTCCCTCTTTCCTACCTGGTACAATGATGACCGCCGTGCCGCATAGTGTCTCTGCCTTGCTCTAGCTTCCAGGATCATCTCGCCGGCTCGCAAATCAACATCAAGAAAGATGAGGAGGATGACCAAAGTGAAACCCACCGACTGCCAAAGATGGAAAAGTTCAAAGGTGAGGAGAAGGGTGGAAAACAGAAATGCAAGAGACATGATTGGGTGTCTGGTTAGTTTTCCTGACTTAACTTGGAGTTCTCTTGCCTGCACCCAGATCAAGCTTGGTTGCGTTCACCCCCAGCCCCCAGATGCTGCCTTTTCCTGCCCAATAGAAAGACAGGGAATGGTCAGCATTGCTAGCCCCACCCCAGGGTGAAGTGACATGGATCACCTTTCACATCAGCTTCCACCTTCCTCGGTTTTCTGATATCAAACGGCCTTTGCTTCGCCAGCTTTTTGTTGCGCTCATCCTCCTTAATCGAACGTTTCCCCTTTCATTTCAAATACTGCAAACAGCCACACACACACACCAATACAATTTTCCAGGTACAAATCACAAAGTCGACACACCACAATCGCAACTTGAACCAAAAAATCACCGACCCGACCAACAACAAACACCATGACTTCATCACCAGAAACATCACCACTCCTCGGCCCTAGACCTACAACAGCCGACCTGCCCCCTTCAGAATACGAACCACACAAAACCCGGCCCGGCTCAATCCGCAGCATGCGCTCCTGCCTCACCAGCTCCTCCGTCACAGCCACCGCCGCCGCCGGGCCGTGCCCGCGCCAACAACTGCCGCACACGTCTTCCGACAGCGCCTCCTCTTCGTCCTCCAAAAAATTCAACACCTTTGACGGTCTCTTCCGGGACATCATCCTCGGCTTCTCCGACGGTCTCACGGTCCCCTTTGCCCTCACCGCCGGTCTTTCCACGTTGGGGTCCACGAAACTCGTCATCATGGGCGGCTTGGCCGAGTTGTTCTCGGGGATGATCAGCATGGGCCTGGGCGCTTACCTGGCGGGCGTGACGGAGCGACAGCATTGGGAGGCGGAGCATGCGCGCAAAGCGTGGGAGGTGTCGAACCTGCCGCAGTTGGAGCAGTCGGAGATTTTGGCTATTTTGGAAGACCATTATGGGGTGTCGCGCGCCACGGCTGCCGCGCTGGTGCAGGATCTGTGTCGAAAGGGAAACGAAGAGAATCTGGTGCGGTTTTTGATGGATCTCGAGGTGCGCATGATGGAGCCGGACCTCAATCGGGCGTGGGTCAGTGCGGGAGTGATGGGCCTTAGTTATTTTGTGGGTGGTCTGATTCCGATGCTGCCGTATTTCTTTATGGAGAGAGCGAGGGAGGCGTTGTGGGTGTCGGTGGTGATCACGGCGTTGATTCTGCTTGGGTTTGGGTTTGTCAAGAATTGGGTGACGATTAGGACGAGGGAGGCCGGGGTTTGGGGAGCGGTGCAGACGTTGATTATTGGGGCGTTGGCGGCAGGGACAAGTTATGCGATTGTGAGGTTATTGGATTCGGACCATTAGGGGGGACGACGGTGATTGTTGATGGTTGTTCATGATGTACATGTATGGGTTTGGCGTTGGGGTCAGCATTTTGCTGTGAAGCATGTCATATGACAGCGGCGGCGTTGAAGGCGTTTGGGAGGAAAGGTTGGGCAAACGACTATATCCTTGATAGCAATGATACCTCTACTCAGTTCAAATTCAATTGATAAATGCTCGTTATGCCTATTCCATGTTCCCTCTTCTACTTCCCTAGCCCGGCCTGGTGACACTCTTGATTAGAAGTCGGGTTAGGGTTGACTGGGGTAAAGGATAAGTGTTAGTGGTGGTGTCAGTCATATTGGTGATGGTAGAGATGGCAGATACTGCCCTGTATGATCTCTCCTCCTTCGTAATACCTTTCATTCCCAGCCCGATAGAAACTGGAATGCTTCAAGTCTTGCACCTGACATACCTATGCGTTCGGGCAGCCATTCCTGTCAATCGGAAAATCACAACCAATTCCGATGTGACGACCTGATTCCTTACCTAACTGTTTGCAACTGAATGGCACTAACACCATCCACTGAGAGCGCTGCGCATGTACCCACTGACCAACCTTGCCGGCCGGAAGCGACGCTTTATCCGCACCAGGGCAGCGCGTTAGAATCTCGAGGAATTCCATCCACTTCCAGTTGCAATTCAATTCCCCATCCATCCAGCCAACTCCTCCTCGACACCTCTTCCATCCCCGACCATTGTGACCCCCGTAATGCGCTACCCGTTAGTACCTCAGTGTACCCCGCGAAGCCACGAGGCTCCCAACCGTCACCCGCTTGGAGTGTTTTAGACTCTCTCGACCGATGGCACCCGTCGGCCCGTCAGACACCGTCGCACGCCTTGCGAACTTCGAACCTCGTAAAACAAGGACCTTGAAACAGAAGAATCGATGATCTTTTGCCGATCCTGACTTTCGGTGTGGGTGGGTGGGTGGGTGGCTTGGAAGAACGTCGAACTTGGTCCATGGAACACGCGGAAGGTGGTCGATCATCAGGGACCCGTGGGGCGGCCGTTGCAGCGAGCATCCCGGCCAAGTGTTTGGCTGCTGATGGGAAGCCAATGATGGCCCATTCTGCAGTGAAAGATGGGGTCAGCACAGGGGGCGTGGAGACCGCCAATACGAAGCTCGATTTCCACTGGGAGATGCCCTGGTGTGCGAGGCTCGGCAGAGATCCCGATGGACAGAATATTGGGTATCTTGAATAACGATGGACGGTGATCAGATGGAAGGGGATGATCAGGAAAAATGCCAGAACGTCAGCAAAGGAGGGTGGGTGTCAGGAGGAAGAGCTTCAAGTATTCCAGTCCTCCAGATCACCAAGTCGAGTCACGGATCAAACATCGTGGAGGAACATTCCGACAGGGACAACCATCACACGAGACATCCAACCGCCCCGAACCAGAACCCATATTTCTGTCGACAACCCCAGATTTCCGATCGTCTCACCTCATCCCGGCACCGCCATTTCCACTTTCTCACCACCACGGCCACCACATTCACCACCACCACCACCATGGAGATGGAAGCGGTCAAACCCCGTCCGCATGACCGTTCCTGTATCCACCAGGTCAAAATGTCTATATGTAAACATCTCATCCCATCTCCGCTACCTCTCACAGCTACGGCCGCTCTAACCATCTCACCATCTCAACAACCCCGACAGCCAAAATGAGCGCCTTCCTCGGTCTAGTCCCCCAGTATCCCAGCCCAACCCTGGAACCACCACCACCCTACGGCGGCACATCTTCCCAACTCCGGCCCCTCCGTCATCGCCGACCTGCTACTTCTCTCCCCAGCACTTACACCCCCTACCCGCCAGACGCACCATGTCCGCCCAACCGCACCATGGTCCAGGGCTTCGAGTGGTATTGTCCTCCGGATTTCCAACACTGGCGACGCCTGACCAAAATTATCCCCACGCTCGCCCAGCTTGGCATTACCCAGATCTGGATCCCACCCGCTTGTAAGGCCAGCTGGAAGACCGGTAACGGATATGACATCTACGACCTCTACGACCTAGGCGAGTTCGAGCAAAAGGGCTCTCGCAAGACGAAATGGGGCGGAAAGGAGGAACTCCAACAGTTAGTAGCCGTCGGAGCTCAATACGGCGTCTCGGTGCTCTTCGACGCCGTCCTCAACCACAAAGCCGCCGCCGACTTTAAGGAACCCGTCCTCGCCCGACGCGTGGACCCCAAGGACCGACGGGTGGTGCTAGACAGAAAGCCTACAGAGATCGAAGCCTGGACCGGTTACGACTTCCCGGGAAGACAGGGGATGTACTCCCCACTCCGCTGGTCGGCGCGACACTTTACGGGAATTGACTACGACGACCTGCGCAAGGAAAACGCCATCTGGAAGTTTGAAGGCAAAGAGTGGGCCGAGGACGTAGACGAAGAAAACGGAAACTACGATTACCTAATGTTTGCAGATATCGACCATCAGCACCCCGAAGTCAAGCGGGATCTTTTCCACTGGACATGGTGGCTGAAATCCCAACTGCCTCAACTCGGTGGATTGCGACTAGACGCCATCAAGCACTACTCCTACTCCTTTGTCCGTGAATTTCTAGCCAACATCGACCGCCACGTCGCCCCTGGACCCCCTGGGAGCCCAGGGACGTGGTTCATTGTAGGCGAATACTGGCGCGAAGATTCCGAGTTTCTCGCGCGCTACATCGAATTCATGCACCACCGCTTATCTCTCTTCGACGTGCAGTTAGTCTCCAACTTCTCCCGCATCTCTTTAGCCTCCGAACACCTCCAAGCCTCTCCCACCGGTGGTGGTGGTGGTGCTCCCGGGATCACGTACGGCAGCCGCGACACCGACCTCCGCACCTTATTCGACGACACCCTCTGCATCTGGAAACCGCACAACGCCGTCTCCTTTGTCGTTAACCACGACACGCAAAAGGGCCAATCGCTCGAAACGCCGATAGCCCCCTTTTTCATGCCCCTCGCCTATTCTCTCATCTTACTTCGCGCCAACGCCGGTGTGCCCTGCGTGTTTTGGTCTGATCTCTACGGTTCCTTCGGCGTCACTTCCAATGACACCCCTGCCTCCGAAGACGCCGCGTCTCCTCGAGATACGCCCCTACCGGACCCTCAGTACTGGAAGCCACCGATGTGCGGCGGGCAAGTACTTCCAAAGTTGATGCTAGCGAGACGGTTGTGGGCGTACGGGACGCAGTACGATTATTTGGATCATCCGCATTGCGTCGGGTTTACGAGGACGGGACATTATAGCCAGGCTGGTGGGGCGGGCGTGGCGTGCGTGATGGCCAATTGGTGGGAACATGCTAGCAAAAGGATGTACGTGGGCGTGGAACATGCGGGCGAGGTGTGGACGGATTTGCTCAAGTTTTGCCCGGGTGAGGTGATGATTGATGAAGGAGGGTGGGGAGTGTTTCCTGTTGCGGCGAGGAGTGTGGCTGTGTGGGTTAGTAGGGATGCTGAAGGGCGGGAGGGGGTTGATGCGTTTGAACTGTAAGTTGCACCGACATTCCTTGGACGGGTGGATGATGCTAATGCGATGATACCTAGGGACACCGATGTTTACGGTTTCAACCAGAGGCAGCAGGAGCAGATGTACGAGAGTCAGAGGGGCCCAGCGGTGGAGGAAGAGCCAGAGGATTGGATGGTTGCTGCGAGGGGGGCGGCGGCCGAGTACTTGGCCATGACAGGATCTGATTAGATGTGGACGGGAAGGCGACTGGACCTTGATACCCTGGCGGTATGATTGATGTCTAGGCCAGTCGAGAGATGACTGGACGGCGGTGATGAACAGGCACTGGTTGCCGTGCACATAGAGAAGTATCACCTGTGCATAGAGGTATGAGACATAGATATAATGTAATGCTTATTACCAGTACTACAGTAATTTTTGAACGTCCATCGTCATTAGGATTACCAGCGCGGCCATCTCCAGACAACTCCATATCATCGACGAAGTCTCCGTGTCTATCTTCCTCCTCTCGACCCATTGTTTACCGCATCGGCATTATGCATTTCCCGTTTCTCATCTCCTACATCCAATTTTCGTCACTGCTTCCCAAAGCCGATCAAGCATCCAGATCCCTTCAGTACCTTCTACCCATTCCTGACATGCCCTTTCTGGTCGGATACCACGTTCAAGGTGAGTGGAGTGAGTGAGGGTAAATGTTTAGGAAGGGATGATGGCAGTCGCAGTGGCGGTTAAGGTGGCAGTGGCAGTTAAGGTTGCGGTCCGAGTGTTGATTAGAGTGTTGGTCTCAGTCATGGTAAAGGTGTTGGTCAAAGTAACAGTTCGAAACGGAGGATTTTGAGTCGTCTGTGGCCTCGGTCGAGGACGAGGTCGAGCCAGCAGCAGCAGCAGCAGCAGCAGCACCCGGATAAACCCCTTCAGCTTCAACTCCAGGAGTTGTATCATCATTCAAGACCGCGCAGAGGTCGGCGGAAGCAGAGGCAGGGTAGTTGTATATATCGGACAATCGAGCGTAGTCGGGGCTGGCTGAATAGGCTTCAACGAGAGCGGCGCCTTCATTTTGGTCTTCACGGTCTTTGGGGAGTTCGATGTGGAAGGGCTCAAGGATCCGGAGGCGATCGGGGACTGAGACAGCGTAGGGACCATTGGCAATTGGTTCGGTGGTGTCGATGTTGCTGGAGACATGTCGAATTGTGGAGGCACCCGGGAGAGCGGCGACGCCGGGGAGGTCGTGTAATGCCAACCAGCCAAGGATGATTGAGAGTGCTTGTATGGTGAGCATTTTGATGGTTGCGATATTACCTAATAATCAATTAATGTAATGCCGATGTTGAGAGGACTGATGGTAGGTGATGTTGACGTTCCTTGGGTTGAAATACCTCCTCTAGCCAAGTAAATGAGACCCCGTGGCTTCAATTTCGCGGTGTTGTGGTCGGAGACGGCGGGGTTCACTTGCCTAACACGAGACTGGACAAGACAGCTCACATGATTGAAGGTACTTAGGCAGTTCCATCCATGACGGATGATTTCTTTCCTTTCTGTTCGGTACAGAAATGGCAAGTACCGCTGTTGTCCCGATACCGGCCAGCAATTGTATGTAAGTCAGGGAAAGAACAGACGGGCTTTGACCGTCTGAGTTGCCAATCAAAGAGTTGATGCCGGCAAGTGTAAACAAATGAGTCGAAGCGGATTTGCGTGCAAGTGCCCAAATAGAAAAGATGAAGTTATCGTCAATGCTTGGCATTTTCAATCATTCCGCTGTACCATTTTTTGATGCTTTTCCTGCACAACACTACTTCTAGCTTGCGTAGCTAGCATAGCTAAATGAAGTCAAAGTCAACTTTCCGCCACTTGACACAACTTCAATCCCCTCTGCGCCTTGATTGGGGTAGATGAGCCCCGACAACACCGTGATCCCTTCATCGTTCACAAACGTCTCAACCGAATTCTGATCTACATAGATCGCCAGTTCGACTGTGCTCCCACCGGAAGGATTTGTTGCAGTCCGTACAGCATCCCAAACTGCCTTGGGCCCCGATGCCAATGTATCCGAATCGGATCCGTCAGAGCTTCTATCCAAAAATACCTGGGAATTGGAAAAGTCATAACCGATGGTTGTGTTGAACCTTCCATCGGATTTGATACGGAAGGAGACCCTGTTACCATCATCACCACCGGCTTTGGTGACCGTTGCTCGAATGACATAGGCACCTCCGGCGAGATTGGAAGGAAGCGATGCCGTCGCCGGATCTGTGGTAATGGTCGTCCCGGTAACCAAGAAAGGGCTTGCGAAGCTCGCCGCATACTCGGGAATTGGGACGTTGACCAGGGCGGGAGTGCCGTTAATCGTGCGGTATTTCACCTCGCGTACTAAACTCATCTGGCCTTCAAAGCCGCCGTAATAAGGCAAGGTCGATGCATACTCCCAATTGTTCATCCAAGCAATAGCATAACGGCTGCCATATCTGTTGCTCGGGTTCTCCCAGCTAACCGTGGCGTAAAAGTCGGAACCTTCATCCATCCACCGATGGCTGGTCGTGGCTGTGAAACGGGTCCCGTCCCAAGTTCCAGCCCAGTAGGCTGTCCCTGTTGTCTTTTCTTCCAGATAGCCATTTGCGCCCACAGCGAGAATCCAGACGCGTGACGCCGGGTTACCATCAAGATCAATCTGATATACATCTGGACACTCGAGTGTACCCAGATCCACACCAGGGGGGTAGAATCCTGAGACATAGGTCCAACTCTTGAGATTTGCTGATGTATAGAACCCAATCTTGTCTCCTTCTGCCACCGCCGCGACCCAATGCCCTGCTGTGTCGTCCCAGAAGAGTTTGGGGTCTCGAAAGGCTGGTTTGGCGCTTGGGTTGGGGTTTGGCATTACGGGATTGCCATGGTAGGCGGTAAATGTATATCCGGCATCGTTGGAATAGAAAAGGGACTGCTGTTGCATACCGTCTTGCATCTGCGTGAGGACAGCGACAACAGCGTTATGTCCAAAGCCGGCTGAGTTGGCTGTATCAATCACGGAGCTGCCGGTCTCGATGTCACCCAAGATGGCACCCCCGGGAGGGTTAGGTTGGTACTTCCGGATTGCTACACCTCGAGCAGTCCATTGCACCAGGTCACTACTAGTGACATGGTACCATTCTGTTCCGCCCGAGCCGGGATCGGATTTGTCCCAGTTGGAATTCCAGAGGTAATAGAGATGCCATTCGCCTCCTTGAAAGAAGGGGCGTTGGGGGTCATTCATCCATTTCGTCGCGGGAGTAAGATGATAGCTGGGTCGGGTCTGGCCGGCAATGAGGGGAACGATTGTGACTAGCAGGGAGAATAACAAGAGCACAAAAGACCGGAAAAAGGGCTTCTTGAACCTTGGTGTAGAGGAGGGGGAACTCGACATTGTGAGAAGAAAATAGATCGGCTCGAAAAGAAAGAAGTAGTACTAAGCTCCAGAGTCGAGGATGAAAGAAAAGAAGATGAAGGAGGAACTTACAAGAACAACACTTTTATGACCAGTCATACTTTTACTGGTCTCCCTGGGAACATTATCCATCCCAAGCATTGTTACCGGCCATGGAATACTGCCGGTTCCAGCGCCATGTTACCGAGCCGTCTGATGTAGAGTCTCTAGAAGAACAACACCTCACGCCGCAGCCACTCTAGGCACACGATAATAAGGCGATTACGGGGGTATCAGAGATTTGTGCGGACGGGAGGTATTACTGGTGCGAAGTAAGCTGCTTATTCCGCTTGCAACCTTGGCCTGCACCGGCACTTTGCTGCTCCCACGATCCATCAACGGCGGCCGGGGCCCGGGAGTGCTACGGGGACTTTGCCCAGCCAGCCGTCAGCGCAACAGCAGATCAAAGAATCTTTTTGACCTTGAATATAAAAACCCAACTCAATGTGATTTGGAGGCAACGGACTAAAGATCGAAGGAAGGAAAGAAGCAAATGAAGTGGAAAACGTCGAGTTCCCTTGAACGGCCATGACTGGAGGTACCTCGATGTGATGCCTGCCGGGATGGTGCGCTAACCTAAATTGTCCATGCATGTGGATACGCGCCCACGTCCACGACCCCGCCCGCGCCAAGTCCCAAACCTTCGCAACTGTTCCTGCCCGCGATGACAACAACACAGCCACCGTGACGGCATGATCGCATCGGGTTCTTCAAAGTCACGGAAACAGCAACTGCCTTCTCTACATCCGTTGTAATCGGAGCTCCCGTCGTTCATTCTACGAGGTACTGCATCCCAGCAACCGGTACCCGGAAACTGCTGGTGCACCACGGCCCTTCCTTAATGGCCCGAATGCCCGTCAAGCCCAGGCTGTGGTACTGTTCGCACTCACACCCCGATTGGAACGTTCCCGGAATCGATATCAGTGAGAGGATGATTGATCCGATTGGAAGTCGAACTGGGCGTACACGGGGAGGCAGGCCTTCTTCAAGTGAAGCATACGGTGGTACAACTTGAAAGAAATAACCGGTTGATGAGGAAAGAGCAGGGCTGCTGCATGGTGATCTCGTTCATCAGTTATTCCCCAATCTGATGGGGAAGGTTCACGATGAGAAGGTTTCAGGTTGAATCAGCTCCTTCCACGTCGTTGACCAGGCCGAAAAGGAAGGAAATAGCTACCAGGCGGGACCTTTTCAGTCGTATCCCATTTGGTCCATCCAAGGGAAGGGAACAGCTGACAGATTTCATCTCTGGCCCGTCAACGTGAGTAGAGGTAACTGACTAAAGATTTCGCCGGGGATGAGATGGAAAGACGTATTGACGAGCTTTGTGACGGACTCCGGATGGACACAACACTGGGGCACCTCAGCTGTGAGAGGTAGGTGTGGGGTGGGCACCTTCAACGCGTGGGAACGGAAGGAGCAGACGGATGATGTTTGGTACCTCTATCGAGCTTTCTCAGAGATGGAAGAACAACACACTCAATCTGTGTCCAGCGGAAAGCACTGCCGGAAGTCTTCAACCCCAAAAATCACACAATCGCAAAACCCATTTGTCACAATGTTGGCCAATCTGGGCCTGAGTCGAATAACGCAAAGCAGCAAGGAATCTTCAGGATAATGGCAGTCTACTAACAACGGTAACATGATTCAACACACACGAAAGTCCACGCCCATATTCCATCAACGTCTCTCGACCCCAACACCTTTCCAACGCTCCAACCACACGCCACGCTCGATCCAATGTCCTACTCTTCAACCTCGATGATCAGAGGGCGTCGTCTTTTCTTGTCAATCAAAGACTCCATGGACAATCCACGAGGAGAACCAGCCTTATCCTCTTGCACCGGAGTTGTGTCCTGTGAGCTTCTGCTGACCGACATCGGAGACCAGGATTGTCCACTATCACCGCCAATTGACAGCCCTCCGAACATAGTCGCCACATCATCCGAGTCATCCACCGCGCCCATGGTCGACATGCTGTCCATGCTATCGGGAGAAGCCTGTGCTGACAAGTGTGCATTGTAAGCAGAGCTTCCTCCTCCAATGTAGCTAGTCGCGTTCGTGTTGGAATCGTGGAGCTTCCTCTCAGCCACATTGTCAGTAATCCACCTCTTGATCGTCTGCCGCAGTGTCTCCAGCATCCTGTTATGGATATCCTGTCTTGTCTTAATAGCTTCCGCAACATTGACGCCGTCATCATTGTAGATGTCCGGGGCACGCCACTCATGGTAGACGTTACAATGACCATGGCGAAATTCGACCCCGCTCGGGTGGTTGTCGATATACAACTTGCACAGGCGGCAAGTGGGCTTGCTGCAGCCAATATAGCGATCATAATCCGCCTCGGCAAAGAAGCGCAACGGTTCGCCCTTGCGCTGCTCTCGGAGGATTGAGTCCAGCAACACCAATTCGGCATGCACATACGGCCTGAACTTGCCCTTTGTGCACGCCTTGATCTTGTCTTCTACCGCACCCCGCTGCTCCTCCGGGAGATTGGTATTGCATGCTTGAGCCATTCTCATCTTGTCTGGAAAGCGTTGGATGATACGATCAAGGGTGCGACGGACGTTCGGGCAGCCAGATCGAACGCTGGATGGAACAGGTACGACCTCAAAGTCTTCAAACAGCTCCCGACGCCGACGCCGCATCGAAATAAGTGTTCTGACAGCAATGTTGTAGGATTGAAGACGGCCAAAGGCGTGTCGCAACTCGCTCCATGGTGTCTTTGAATTGGGATCTCTGTCCGCTCGGGCCTTGTCGCGCATGAATCCTTGAAAAGAAGAGTTGTACAATCGATTGATGGTCTCCAGGAGCTCCCGCGTTTCGGTTACAACTGTCGATAACCTGTTAGTATGTTGACTGGGAGACAGAAGTATGTAAGACTTCATCACTTACAGATCTCTAGACCACTCGGTCCGCCTCTTTCTTCTCGTTCGGACAACCAGGCAAAATTTCCGAGAGAGTTGATACCACAGGCAGCTTCCCGACCTGTATAGGCATCGCATTATTAGCCAGTGAAATTCTCTCCATGATACCCGTGAGTGCTCTTACTTTCAAAGGTATCTTCCTCTTCACATACTTTCACGCAGTGATTGATCCCTTCTTGTTTGGTCAAGTTCTTGATATGCTGTTGGATGGCAGGTCGGTTAAAGGATATGACTCTTTCAAGAACCGCCCCAAACACTCCGTTCAATTGGTCGTCAGGAGTGCTTCCCAGAGTTCCCAGGATGTTGGTGATGTATTTCTTGACATCTTGCAGCTCCTCGTTCGTCCGCTGGTTGGATGCAAATCGATATTGAATCCCCCCAGGCTGGAGGACAGCGAATGCCGTCACACTTTTGCCTCTCAGTTCGCTGTCGCAGATCTGGCCGAGCTTGTTGACGAAGCATCGGAATGAGTCCCTCGATGATCTGCCAGTGTCGGACTCGAGGTCTGCTTCCGGTTCCTTGACGCTCTTCGCCTCGAACTTGACTTCCTTGAGGCTGTAGAGCAAGAGAACCGCTTCGTAGAACCGGAGGCTGAGACCACGCTCCAGCGGGACAAGATTGGAGGGGAGATCGTCAGTTGACATCTTGTCAATGGCTGGGAAGAATGGGTAGGAAAGATATCGGGTAAGTGAGGTCGCAAAGAGGAAACAGTTGAAGAATTCTGGTGAGCTGATGATATGGACTAGGTCGAGGTGCTGCGTCGTCGATGTCGAAGAAGGCGAGCTTTTCGAAAGTTTTTATATAATGGACAGCGCCAATTCCACCCATCGAGTACTTCATCCCCAGCTCATTGTACCAGAGGCATCACCGTGAGGCCCACAGCGTTGGCGCGACCGGTTTCGTCGAGATTCGATGGCGATCTGAGGTTGGTGAGGCCCACCGCCGCGGAAAAGACGAGCCAAAAGCATGCCTCCACGCGCTGCCGCAGCCTGCGTGATGTGATTGACAACAAACAACAAGGCTCTTAGCCCCATGGAGGTCGAACCAGGTCTATGCAAATGTTAGAGGCCCTTTTGCCCAGTTCTTACGCAACCGCGCGAGTTGAGGAAGCAGTTTCGGTTGCTCAGAGACCTGGGCTGAGCTGGGTCGAATGGAGGCAGGCTGATCGTGCATTGGAGGCATGCCATTCTTTATCTACTTTTACGCCTTGCCTCGACAATTGACAGCCTATCACCGTTTCAGTTGCCTCTCTTTGGACCAATTAGAGGGTGTTGGAGGGCAAGATCAGGTCACATCATTGGGCCAAAATTGTGGCTACACGCTACCAATCCTACCACGCCAGTGGGAGCAAGGGCCCCATCACCATCGTGGGCCTCGTAGGCCTCAGGCAGATTTAGCATTGATGGCCATGTGGATGATGTATCCAAACCACTTTCCTTGCTTGGGGTTCTACGGTTGGCGGTGGGCCGCGTGCATTAACAGCATGGTCTGAAGATAATGTTTCCATTGGAAATTCACGGTGTCAAGAAACCATGGCGGACCCAGTATTTGAACCAAGAGCGCTGCTAAGCAACGGAACACAGTCTTGCCTGTCCCTTCCTGACTTCCAGGGGTTCTTCATATCACCTTGTTACTCACACCGACGGAACTCTGCGTGTCTCCAATGGTGTCGAGGCCACCGGCAACCGAAGACACGTCTTGTCGTTTTCAGCGTCAGCAACCTTAGGATTGTCGGGACCGGAACCGCTTTGTCCGTCTATTGATCCGTTTCGAACGCCGCCATCACACATGCGCACACACTCACGATCAGATACAAGCGACGTTATCGACGTACTATTGTCATGTACAACAACCATACCAGGTCTGACCACAACTTTTCAGTTGCTGAGGCCGGTTACCATCCTGAACTTGGCCCCAATCCCTGGGATGTCACTGTTGACAGCTCCGGTGAGGGTTTGAGCTATTCTGATCCGGACAGTCCTTGCTCGTCTTTCGCTCCGGACACTCCTCCTTGCATTGGCATCGTGACTTCAGCTATGCCATTGACTCCACAAGGATCTTCCTTTGGAATCAGTGGAGACGACCCTGGGGAAAACGAGCAACACAACTTTCCCACGCACCACAATGAGGAGAACCCGACTGTCAACCCCAGTCATTTGGATATGAGCCACTATTCAGCCACGTACCACATTGGAATCCAGGACTCAGGCTTCTATATCAATACTCAGGCCTGCTCTTATTCCCCTTTTTCTGGCTTGGGGCCTTCGGGTCCCCCTCCCATCCAAACTTACTCGGAATATTCATTTGACCAACCCGTCGAAGCCTATCAGGCCTCTGACCCCCCTTTGACTGGACAACAGGACTTCAACCAATACGATTCGGCAGAAGTAGCAGGAGCCCACCCTCCACTCCTCTACGCTTCATCTTCATAGACGATGGATCCCGAACAACCTGCGGTTGGAGACTTGGACCTGAGTCTAGAAACAGACTCGGGGTTTGATCCAAACAGCATTGGAGCCTTACCACTCTCGGTGGGCCCAATATATGCTATTCCTGAGCAAGTTGGCTACCCACACAGTCAAGAAACTATTCCTTATCAACACTCGTTTCAACACCATTCTCCGGCCTGGCATCAGCAACAGCCACCACTGTCTCTACCAGTTCAGCCCTCCGAGGACGACGATACCATGGAACAATCTAGCGACCAGGAGGAATTAGCGAAACTGACAGCATTTACCATCACTGAAACTGGCGAGTATAAATGCATTGGGTCCAAATGCAAAACTCAGCCAGTCTTTAAGCGAAAATGCGATTTAACGTACGTCCATCTTCCGATCACGACACCTCTACCTTGCCTTGTTTTCAATGCTTCGTTTCGTCTTGTTGCCTTGTTTACAATTTCTAACCTACCATTCTTCTACAGCAAACACCAGAACAACCACCGCCGACCCCGCGAATGTCCGAACTGCACCTACAAAGCCGCAGAAGTCAAAGACCTCCACCGTCATTTGTGGACGCATCACCCCGGCTATGCTCACGACAACAAAATTCCTGAGGAGAAAACGAAGTGTGATTACCCGGGTTGCGACTACAGAGGGAGAAAGGATAATGTGCAAAGGCACAAGGCTGCTCATGATAAGAAACAGGCTTGATCACTTTGAACCTGCTGGCTTCCCGGCGATGAGCATTCTGTTTTACGAGTTGCGATTTTCCATTCCTGCAGATTTTCACCATTTTCTTCGTTGTTTTTCTGGTTACAAGGCTCGTGTTATGTTGACTTTGTTCCGAAAGGGACACAGTTTCGGTAGTGCGTTACAGGGGTACTTTTTTCTACATTCCTTTCCTGTCAGTGAGTACGTACCTACATTGCTATTTGTTAGACCTTCAGAACCACCATACGATCATTCATACACTATTTCAGCCCGAAGCAGTACAATGATCATTGTCATGTGCCCTTTATTCCGTTCATCCCATACCTCTAGCTACCTACCTAGGTACCTCTACCTTCAAGGTGGTCACCCGGTGCGGTCCTGGGCTTCCATAACAACCCACATCCTAGTTGTCCACGGGCCTCTCGCAGCAGCGTTACACCACTCTACCCAGTCCCCATCACTCTATCCTCCACCCCACCAATAGCATTGTCAAGTTCCCGAAGCAGGCACGATGATGTGCAGACAGTCCATGGATAAATCTCGAAACCGTGTCGTGGACTGGTGGTCGGACTTTTTGCTCTTGGGCCTCTTGCAGCTTGGTGGGCTTGGCAAAGGTACCTAGTTGGTAGTACTAGCGCCGGAGGCCAGAAGTCGAGTCTTTGGTGCCCCTGATGATAGACAGACGAGTGTCTTTGTGGTGAGCAATCCCAAATTGGGAGTCCTATGGCTGAATGCTTTGGTATATGGTTTCGATAGAATGCCGGAGAGACCTGTACCTTGGGTTTGGGCTTGGGTTCCGGTTGGACCGGCGGTTCGGTCAAGATGGGTCAAGATGTCCTTGAGTGTCCGGCAGAGTGGGGACAGTGAGACTGTGCAAGTGGGGCCGGGCCCGGGGTTCGTGGAACTTCTTCCGGTCCCGGGGACCGGGGACCTGGTGGGGCTTATGTTGTGGCTTGAACCGTGCCTCACCCGAGACAGAGAAGCTGATACCTACTTTTTGGGCATTGACTAGCAATTACCGCCCAAAGTCGTCACCAAAATGAATTTATTAAGTACCTATATTCGGTACTTGCCTCTAGTGAGGGCGCCTTCAAGACTACTTAGGTAGGTGGTCTTAACGTATCCAAGATACAGGATTAAGAGGGGTTTAACATGTGCCTTAGTTTAGCTCAACCTCGGGGATGCCTTCATCTTTCATGTGTGGGAACTCACACGCATCCCTTTAACGGTATTTGCGCCTCCATACATACTACAAAGCGGTTTAATTTCCTGGCCGCTATCCATAAACCTCCCCAACAACAGGCCTCTCCGCCTCTCCCCTCGTAAACCCCAGCCACTTCTCCTCAACTTCCACTCCATCTCTCACAACAACCTGCCTAATGACTCCCCAAGACAACGGACCCGCTGCAATATCCGTATCCCCTTCCTCCTCCTCCTCATCTCCATCCCCATGTGCACCCTCTCTCTCCCGTCTCGCTTTCCTTCTCCTCAGCGGAGCATGACAAGCAGCAGCAATAACCGCCGAGCACCCCCCATAATCGGCATACCCGCCGGATACTTACCAAAAACCGCCAACCCCAGAATAGTCATCCACGAAAGCGTTCCCAGCACAATCACCCAGAACATGGCACAGACGGAGTACCCGAGCGTGAAGGTTGTTGGATTTGACTTGTTCAACGTGGTTCCGTCCAGATCGATAAAGTCCACTTCGGTGAAGTACAGGCATTGACTCACCAGCCAGTGCATAACACTGGAAACGGCGACGAAGGGGAGGGCGTAGCGGTAGGGGAGGCTGAGGAAGAAGGTGGAGCGTTGGGAGCCGCGGGGTTGGGAGGTGCGTAGCGCCTTTGTTGTTAGAGGTATTGTTGGTTTGGGGCTTGGTTTTTCTTTTCTTTTCCACCATATAATCTGGCATGTCTTCTTCTCCTTTGCGCTTGTACTGCTGGTACCGTCCGTCTGGGTCCCGATATGGAAGGAGTGCCACTCCCGTTCGGCGACCATCTTGGTCAAGATGTTGTTGAAGAAGAGATAAGTCAGTGAGAGAAAGATTTGAGGCGTGTTGGCGAGCAAGACAAGACGCCAGCGGCGGGGTAAAATGTCCACGTCGCTGCCGTTGCTGTGGTAGAGGATGTGGTTGGAGTCCAGGGAGTTGTTTGGGTCGAATATTGAAAGAGAAGCGAGCCATTGAGCTGGGGTGTCAATGTCATCGGTGAGCAGAGCAAAGACGAAGGAGAGGAGGCATTGTGGGAGCAAACCAATGAACCAGGCCATGGTTAAAGACCAGCGTGTCAAGGAAACTGATTTCCACAAGGGCTTTACTTTGGGCTTGTATGCCCGCGGCGGCAGTGCTGGTCGGAAGATGTTTGTAAACGATGGGTGGTGGTAAATGCAGCTAGATCTCGGAATCATCTTTGAGTCTGGCGACGGAGGTTCGGTTATGAACGAGTCGATCGCATCTCCAATGGTGACCAGTGGTGCTGATCTGTAGAACCAGGCCATGGAGCTAAGACAGGCCGCAATGACGAGGTTGCAAATGGTTGTCAACCACCAAAAGACTGGTTCGGCAAGTAATCGGCATTTGGGATCGATCCGTCTCACGAACATCTTGCCACGAACTCTAAAGACCGGTGTCGATGGGCTAGATCGATTTGTTATTGCCAGATAATCCTCGACGTAACAATGGGCATCTTCTGGAGTGGGCAGATCCATGTCAAAATAGCATAATTGACCCCAGAAAAAGCCCTGCCTATCGACCTTCATGAGATATTCCTGGGAAAACACGTCTTCTGTAGAGTCGAATATGTCTTCTCTTTCTTCTGTTTCCCAACGGGGGTCCTTATAAGCCCCAGGGTCTTCTGAAGACTTTCGCATGACAGTGATTTCTCTCATCCAATCTGCACCTAAATCCGAGAAAAGACTTGCTTTTTCGATGCGTTGATAGAGAATTCCAGACGCGGGCTCTGACGTCTTGTTTCTAGTGGCCCGCGTGGACTTTTGGTCAGCGACCAACACGACGCCACCGTAAGAGGATGCCTTCGTTCTAAGATCCCTCTTAGCCGACGTGATGAGATTACCTCTAAGTTCTTCCCATTGGCTGGTATCTTTAAGGTCAAAAAGCAGACCATGGGTCATATTGTCATGAGTTTGCTGGTGCACAGAAACTTCGGGGACAGCTGAAGTTAGAGGGACCTCGAATGGATGCGTCAAAAATTCTGGGGAGACTACCACCACATTATATGCTGGCCTAGAAGTGGTCGACGATATGGCCGAGTTGTACACCAGGTGGAGAGGCAACGCCGTGACCAACATGATTGTCCACATGATGAGTCGTTTTGAACGGATATGGAACATGTTGCTCATAGAGATGATACCAATGTCAGCGGTACCACCACTTTGGTGGATTCGATCAACGTCCGCACGAGTTGGGGCTGCCCATGCTTGCATGGCAAAGTTCTTCGAGAGCGAATTTTGTTAGCGTCGTGAAGCTCTGCAGTTTACGTTTGATGTAACTGCCCTGCGGATTGCGTGATGCTGACTGACCGTGGCTCCCAGAAGAACAGCTGAAAATATGTTCATAAGCAGGTGGACAGACGTATCTATCTGGCTGACCTTCTCGCACGAAGCGTTCATCACGACCACGCTCGCACTCTTCCGGTCTCGATTCTGATGTTTCGACATGAATGTTAAGATGAGACTGACGACTATATTGACAGATAGCATCAGCCAAGACAGAGCACACAGGAGCTTCAGAGTTCCTCGCCATCCACCTAGACGACTAAAAGAGGTTGAAAATCGCTTCATCGGGTAGGTAGGAATGGCTTTCTGGGGTCGATAGAGGTATCGTCTGCTAAACAGGCACCGTGAATGGAGCAGAAGAATGTCTACCAAGTTTTGGCAGCTCATGCGAATTGAGGACAAGATGGGAGTCCAAATACAAAAACCGACTCTGGGTTTTCAAAGCTTGAAAGCCCATCCCTAGAGGCATCCACGAGTACTTGACAGGTTTGGTACTTGACCTGACCCCGCGTACATTTTTGTGCTACCAACGATCACTACACTACGCTTGCACAAAACGAAAACACTGCCCACGATATGACCTTACATAGCCTCTACCGGTTTCGGGAACGGACACAGCCGACGAAGACTGTACCTCTAGATAGGCACCCCCACTTGCTTTGCCGTGAATTTCATGTAACATAAAGGGGCTGCGCCCCATTTTCAGTATGAAGCTGAAGTGTGCAACACCTGCGAGAAAGTTTCAGTGATCAACTGCCGTGGTGTCATTGGCTGCTTGGTCGGTGTGATACTGATGCGCCGTTCATGAGTCCCGGCTTGAACTGCTGCATCAATTAAGTTGGAGCGTTGCGGAAGATGTAATTGGAGAACCATGTCTTACTCCGGTCGGCGGCAGTGCGAAGGTCCTACCACGTTGTGTGACATAAACGTTCGGAGCGATGAACGGGGTGGGACTGGTTCCCATTAAACAGTTGGTGTCCTAAACGAGAAAGCCTTGTTACTAGAAATCTTTCCATATCCTCGTTATTTGCTAGAGGTACCTACTGCTTTGGCCGCGATGTATTTGGCGTGCGGCCGATGTCCGCACTTCAAATACAGCTCCCATTGACCGCTCCCTGTCAACCTTAACGACGGCATACCTCTCTACCTTTACTTTCTCTGATACAAACCGCAGAAATGGCTTTGGCGTCATTCGTTTTGAAATTTTTCATCACTGGTGACTCGTTAGCCATCGCTGGATCGACACTGACCGTCCTTTATACCTTTCATCAAATTACCGTTGCGCGCCATCTTCAAAAGGAACTCAAGAAGAACAAGAGCAATCGCAACACTCTTGAGGAAACCCGTGTCAGCAATACGGTTAACAGGTTCCAGCCAGGTCAAATTCTTGCAGCCAACTTGCTAATCCTCCACGCCGCTCTGTGGGCCATCGTCCGTTCCACCCTCCACCTTACCTTCACCATCAAGCAAGTAAGGAATCCCGACCCCGATCCACAGAGATCCCAACTATACCCCATGGAATGGAACATGGACCGTAGCGACATGAAGCACCTCTGGGGTACCATCCAAACCTTCACCTGGGGAACGTTGCTATTCACGGCAATTCCCATGCTCTGGATGGTCAAACAATTCTTCCCCAAAGTCTTCCTGCCCAGAGCGCGCACGCTATCGCTTCTGTGGAACGTGGTGCTTGTCTTTGTCTTTTCCATTCTTTGGATAGTTAACAGCTTCGGGACAACGGCATCGCATGGCGTTAGACTTGCCATGCTGGCGTGGGTCAATCTCATCATGGTCAGTCTTCTTTCGTCCATGGTCGAGATCCAGAGACATGCAACAAGAGCAAAAGTTCAAGGTGTAAGTAGACCGCTCTGACTTGACCTTGACCGGTGTATCATATCGCTCGGTAAAGACTAAGGTACCTACCTTGACTAACCATGCTGGCCATCAACAGAGAGAAGTCAAGATACTGAAGAGGTTCGTTAGAGGGTTGGCAGGCTTTCTCGTGGCTGGCATCGTTTTCGTTACATCAATATGCACCATAACAACCCTGATACTTTTTGACCCGGACGCGGACGCGGATTTTGATGCGTACGGTGATCCTGGACTGACATTGACATGGGTCGTTACGATGGGATGGGATGATCTGCTTGGATTTCCACTCGAAATCTTTGCTGTACAGTTTTTTCAGTTGTGGTTGCTTTTGACGATAAAACGACTGGCGAGATGTCCCATTGATGAATGGACAATGGGGCAAGAAGAGGTGCGCCAAGATGGACCTGAGCCTAGAGGTACTAAAGGTGTTTTGACAGGTTTTCGGAACTTTTGGCGTTTCCTCGTTTATGAGCAACCACAAAGGTACCTCTACCTTACCACAGCGGAAATATAGGGAGACTTTCAATGCTTGAGAGGGGGGGACAAGGCTAGATAGTTCCAAATCTTAGAGCAGATACCTAACTGGCCCAGCCTTGTTGTCAATGAGATCCAGCACTGTTGGTTGAGGGAGGCCCCTACCTAAGTTAGCTGGTGGCTTCAAGCTGTGAAAAGTTCATGGTCGGTGTCGTTGTGTCGATGAGGAGCGGCGGCGTGGTGCCGGCGTGGTGCCTGGCTTGATGCCATTTATGCAAAGGCTCAGCGCCAGGCATGCCTAACGGGGCCTGCCGATGATCGCTGAAGCACAAGGCTTGCATTATCTGCACATCAAAGTGCCAATGAAGTGACATGTTTCGGCAGAAGATTGCACCGTTATCACCGATACACCGGGATCTGGATATTGCGAGCGGCTCTCAAGAGGACAAAGTGAATGGACAAGTAGAAGGTTCTTGTTGTACTTGCAAACGCCCCAAGATGGCCGAGGCGAGCCCAGGATGACGAGAATCTTCGTTCCTGCCCCAATTTAAAGAAAAGAAGGTATGATTTTGAGGTATGTACTTAGCGGTGTTTAATTGCTAGTTACTTACATATCCACCGTAGTACCGCTTTCCCCGTGGGGCTTATTGCGGGTGCTGACTGGTGCACGTGCCACCCCCGCCTTAACATTATCCAAACCTCAACTGCTGTTTCCTCCCTTCTTCCCTTTCGGGCTTCCCATCATCATGAATCTCGGCAAAGCGCCACAAACTTGTGTAGTTCATCACGTTAAGGTCAGTGTTGGGCAAGCGCAAGGAAATTGATTCTAGGCTAACTTTTAGACAAGCAACAGCAGATACATCGGCGAGGACGAGCAACCTGACGAAACCGCGGCGATTAGGCGCGACGGCCCGACCCGACGACGCAACACAATGACGTGACATAACGACGAGGCATCGCAGCGCGCCGCGAATCAATGAAACAAGGAACCAATGCGGCAACGAGAAATGGATCAACTTTTCAAAATCAAAAAATCAGCGACGACGGAAACCACGCATGGATTCCGGTGGGAAGCGTCGCCCTTACTCGGAGCGCAACACTTCCTTGCTGGAGATACTCAAAACGACTTCTTTCACGCCCTTCGCCACGTGCTTTCCCATGATGCTTTTAGCCTGGCGCTCGGCTGCGGCCAGGTGGACACCAAAGTTGGGCATACCAGCAACATCGAGGTTGGACAGCTCACCAAAGAGCATTCGAACCATTTCTGGACATACAGCGTGGACAATCGAGTCCATGTCCTGCAAATGTGGGGAAAGGAGTGCCAGCGGGGCTTGCTCTCCGCAGAGTGAGACATTGGTTGACAATGTAGCTGAATGAGCAAGCAATATGTGGTAAGTACTGACATGTTTCTTCACACAATTTTCCCTCATTCTTGCCCATCTCTTGGACACCTGGTTCGGTGTTCTTTCCACGCCGTCGATCTGGTAGAGATCTTTGATGATGTCCGGGACCGACTTGCCCGCTTGCTTGCCTTGGCGGAGAACCTCGGCGTGCGCGTCCGTCCACTTAGACTCCGTGTGACCCCGAGTGGACGTCGACGTTCTCGCTCTGCCATTGTAAGGTAGGATCATTGTGGAAATCTGCGGCATGCCCGCTGCCTCTTGGGACGCGAAGCATCCGGCCTGGCCAAACTGGGGGAAACCAGAAGAATATTGCGGCCCAGCATCCACGGCAGCAAGGTACGATGGCGAATAAAAGCTTGGTGCTCCTTGCATGTTCTGCATCATGGGCATGGCCCGTCCATGATGCTCGCCTTGGATCATCCCCGTTTGGCAATCATGATAACCCATGTGAGTCTGCTGATGTTCGCCGGAGATGAAGCTGGGGGATGATTCATTCACGCCGCAATCAGCTGGCGAGTTGTACATGGGTGGTTGACCGGAGCTGCTATCATCGGCCAGGACTGTTTGGCGCATGCCATCTGCTTCGTCCGAGGGCAAAGGGAGCTGGTGGTCCGGGGAGTGGGCTGGCGACATCTTGAGAATGAGTCGGGAGTATGATTGATTGGGAACAGACAGAATTGGACAGGGAGTTGTTGTGAAAGTGAAATGCGAATTGGGGAGAGGTAAACATGCCGTGAGTAGTGTGGTCGTGCCTTCATATATACCAGAATGTGTAGATATGGTTATCTGCTATCCATTGCGCTCTGATGAAAATTTTTCAGTGACCAAACGTCCACTTTGTCGCTCCGTATGTGAGTATGCAACTATGCATGCCGGTTGAAGCTGTCACCACGCCGAACATGAGTGGTCTACCACAACAGGAGCACAGCAAAGAATGGACCCTGGCAGCCTGGAACCTCGTACCTTTATCGGTAGGCGTAGCGGTGAAAATCGTGTGTGAAAGTTGTAGTACTTACAGCACCAATTGGTGCACATCCCATGTGTACTAACACCTGGTGCATTGTCATGTCAACTCCCATTTGGTCGAATGTGGGGGGTTATCGAGGCCCAGTCCTGTCAGATGCCAAAAAAGGACAGGAAAGATAGTCGCGGTAGGGTGACAAAGGGGAGGCAGATCATGTGAAGAAAATCATCTTAAAGGTACGTTACCTCTAGATTAGGTAGCCAGAGGAAAAGCAAATTATAGGAAGTTTACAAGAGGAGAGGAGAAATTTGTCTACGGTAGGTTAATAAAAAAAAGCAAATGACGGGAAGCAACTTATCTTTATAGTAGGCTTGCAAGAAGAAAAGCAAATCGCGAAGCAAATTGCAAAGGTAGGTTATGCAGGTGAATTATGGAGGTCAATTGCAATAGTCTTAGTGTCTGATAGTAGACCCACTTTAACTTCCAAAACCCACCCCACTCCCCTCCCCGAAGAAAGTTTGAGGAGACCCACATTTTATTTGGAGCAGAGGAGCGAAGGCAGAGGGGGTTAATGTAATAGAGACTGAATTGCAAAGGCGAGTTTGAATGGCAAGTTAGATAGGCAAATAAATAAGGCAAATTAGTAAGAAAAATTGAGATAGTAAGTTAGTATGGAAAATTAACAAAGTAAGTTAGTAAGAAAAAGTATAAGGAAAATTAGAAAGGCGAATTAGCTAAGCAAATTAGCGCAGCAAATGAGCGAGGCAAATAAGCAAGGCAAATAAGCAAGGCAAATGAGCGAGGCAAATGAGCGAGGCAAATGAGTGAGGCAAATTAATGAGGTAAATTAGTGAGGTAAATTAGCAAGGCAAATTAGCCAGACAACTCTAGAAGGCAACTTTAGAAGGCAATTTTAGAAGGCAACTGTCACGATGCCGACTAGGAAGGACTTGGAGAAGACGTAATATTGTACGAAGGGGAGAAGATTAGAAGAGAGTAACGAAAATTCTATTCCTAAACTATATATATAAATTAAGTAGAGACTCGATAGAATTGATTAAAGGACGGTTAGGTTGCGGTGGCGGAACGCCGAGAGGGACGGGACTATGTTATATGGTGCCGTGACAGTACCCCCGGCCTTAAAACGCAATTGACCTCAATTGCAAATAAAATAAAAGTATTACAAGCTCCCCGCTCCCCTACCGTAGTAGTATCGCTATACGTTTGCGCTCGCTAAGACGCGTTACTAGCCGTACGCTGCCTATTAAAAGGCTGTTGCCCTTAATAATAGAAATAGCGTTACGCTAGTCCCGATTCGGTTTTAATAGTACGAGTGCCGTACGTCGCGTATTTATTAGGAACGTAGGCGAAAGGTAGGCTGAGGTGACTATAGTCGCGGCTATACGTAGGGGATAGTAGTTAGGGGTTAATTTAAAGATATATTAATAGCTACCGATTATAATAAGATACGCCCTATTAAACCTCTTTTATATTTGTGTAAATTCTGTTTATTTGTTAATAAGTATTATAGAACTTTATACTAGTTTAACGCCTCGGTATAGTGCCGGATTATCCTTCTTGCAAATCCGACCTGATATAGGCGTTATTATTAGTAATCCTACGTGTCGGTTGACGAAGGGGAGTAGTAGCCGTTAAGATACTTCTATGTACGAGTTTTGAGTCTTTTAATACAACCCTCCCCTTTATAGGTTCCGTCCTTAGAACCTTTATAATTTGTAGTAAATTCCGGTTAAGTAGTGAAGGGCGTTAGTATTGTATTATTGTAGTATTGTCGGGTTGCGTTGCTGGTGAAGGTACGATATCTTTGCTTCTTAGTTTAGACGAGCCGTTATTTATAATAGTTATTAACGTTATATCCCGGATATTGTAGCTATTTCACTACTAGCGAGCCGCCCGCTAGAATATTAATATTATAATGTCCCTTTTTTTAAATTTTAAATATAGATACGAAACTGCCTACTAGAATATTAGTATTATAATGTCTATTTTCCCGAACTCTAAATATAAATACGAAGCCGGCCGTTAGAATATTAGTATTATAATGTTTATTTTTATAAGTTTCTAATACGGCGAGTCGTCCGCTAGAATATTGGTATTGTGATGTTTATTTTTATGAATTTTAAATATAGATACGAAGCTGGCTATTAGAATATCGGTATTGTAATATCTATTTTTATAAATTTTAAATACGGCGAGCCGTTCGTTAGAATATTAGTATTGTGATATTTATTTTTATAAGTTCCAAATATGGATATAAAATTGTCTATTAGAATATTGGTATTGTAATATCTATTCTTATAAATTTTAGTGCGGATACGAAACTGGTATTAGATTTAAAGCGTTAGCGTATTACCTGTTAGAATATTAGTATTATAATATTTATTCTTATAAATTCTAATACGGATATAAAATTGGTATTAGATTTAAAAAATTAGTTAGGTTCCCAATTATTATTAAAACTGTTATTCCGTAGGCGTACGAGGTAGTAAGCTTTATTTTGCCTAATGAGGAGTATTATTCTAAATTTAAGAGTATTAATAAGTATTTTAGAATATTAATATAATTACGCCCTATAATTCCTTCCCCCGAATATTCTCTATTATTTATATTTACGGTGCGGTTTAATATTTTTGTAGGGTACCCTCCGTTATTTACACCTACTTCGGAATATTTACGTAATTGAAACCCGAAGCTCCTCTCGTAGGTTATTCTCTATTATTCGTACCTACTACGGTTTATTATAATACTTGGATATAATCTCCTTCCTTATAGGTTCTATCCTTAGAATTTTTATTTCTATCCTCCGCTTCCTATAATTCTATATATTATTTCTTCTATAAATTTCCTTTACTTATATTATTCCTTCTTAATTATTTTCTTATTACTTTCGCTTTATTCCTTATATTATTCCTTCTTTTCTAATAGTATAATTTTTAATTATTTCCTTTACTCTTCCTATTATAGTTTAAAGTATATACCTTTTTATTATTCGCCTTCTTTCCTACCTTTTTACGGCCATTGCTACTACTTATTTATTCTATTCTTCTCCTTTTAATTATTATCTTTATTTTATCTTTCTATTTACCCCCTTCTATTATTTATATAATTGTTTAATATTCTATTTACCCTACGTTATTTTATACTTACCTACTTTGAATTATATTTACTTATTTCGATTTGTATTTGTATAAGGATTTCTTCCTTCGTTTATATAACGTCCCTTCCGCCTACCCTCTTCGCTTTTTCTCTTTTTTTCCTCCTATTTTTATTTTTACAATTATATCCGCTACCCCTTCTCCTAGCTCCGCGGCTGCCTTATTTGCCCCCTTGCTTGAATTACCCCCTGCTACGGACGTATGTATCTTTATTGTATATTTACATATTAATCCCTATTTCCCTTATAAATTTAATTAGTATATTCGCTTTTTCTTCCCTATTTTCTTCCTTTTCGCTCCGTCTTCTCCTTCCTCTTACTTTACGCCTATAATTAACCTTTAATCGGCTACTCCTTTCCTATTTTTTAGTAATGTCCGCCCCCTCGCTTATTTAGGATATAATATTATTTTAGCCTAAGCGTTCGCTAGCGTTCTAACCCTAAATTTATACGAAGTATTCTGTTTAATTGGTACGTATATTTGCTAGACTAAAGGTACGCTATCTTCCCTTTATTATTTCCCCTATTTTTTTTTTTTTTTTTTTTTTTTTTTTTTTTTTTTTTTTTTTTTTTTTTTTTTTTTTTTTTTTTTTTTTTTTTTTTTTTTTTTTTTTTTTTATTAACGTCTTCTCCTTCCAGAATTCAACGAAAGATCGCAGTATTCACTATCACTACACTATTATATACTTGAAGTCCCTTATAATATTTATAACCTTTAGAACGATATATAGAATATAGCGGCCGAAATTGTACGTTTTATTAATATTAATAGCCCCTTACTTACCCCCCTCCTATAGCGGTTATATTAATTTATAGTAGCGTTTTGGGTTACAATATAGGCGTATTTTATTAATAATAGTCTCCCTATAATATTATTTAGTATATTCCGAACTAGGAATTTCGATTGTAAAGGTTATTCGAAATTTAACTATTATAGTATTAGTGATATTAATATTAATATCGATCCGGTAATCCTTACTAGCAGTCTTATTATTAGTAATAGCGGCTCTCTTATAAATATTTCTATATTAAATTCTCTTATTTATATTACCCCCTCCCTTAATTATAATTAGGGTCTTTAATATTAAACGGTTAATAGGAGGTTAATATTTATAAATAAGAAATTAGACGAATTATTAAAATTCGCAAGGGAGGACTATAAATAAATAATATAAAGTAGTATCTATAAATATTATTAATAAGTACGGTAGTACGCAGGAATATTTCTCTTAAAATTGTAGGTTCCAATCTTATATTAATAATAACGGACACTACTAAGGATTTTTTCGTTTGGGGCGATAATGGAAAATGCGGGCTATATTCTATTTAGCACTTTATTAATATCCTATATTAAATTAAACTACCTTCTTTTTCTATTTTTCGTCCCCTCTAGCATTTCTACTTTATATTTCCGTTTTACATTTCTATTTTTATATCCCTACTTTACACTTTACGTTTATATCTTACGTTTGTATTTTATATTTGTATTTTGCG